CCAGTCTGACTCTGACGAAAAGGTCAAATCTGCCTTTGATTCTTTTCGGCCTGTTATGGAGATCAAGGGTCCTACTTGCTTTCATGTGCTAATACTAAAAATTTATGCCATAACTCAATGCTTAATTTGATAAAATTTTCCCTTTTCATTTCTTTTTTAGATATTTCAATTCGAAATCATGTCATATTTTCGTCGTTTTTGAAAAGTACGAGTTAGTCTATAAAAAAAAAAATGAGACTAAACACTCCTTGAATTAGAAAAATAAATGGTGTAAATTTGAAATCCTCTTTAAATAGTAGTAGGATATTGTCCCAAACCAAACGCGCCCTCCCCAAAAAAAGGATGGCAGTGGAATTTCCACTTTAACATACTTTATTTGAAATTCAACAAGAAAGAAAAAATTTTTTTTTAAATCATTCAAATAGATGATTAAGTTTAGATAAAATTTAAAAGTACTTTTGATCGTAGTACATAAAAAATTACTTACTATAAAAAAAATACTATAAAAAAAATGATAATTCACCTCCGAAAATGCTAGAAAACTATATTACATTTTGCATCTGCAATTCTTTAGGTTGAACAACAGTCGCAAGGCAAGAAGAAAAAGATGGTTAGTGTTAATTTGAATTTTTTTTTTTTAAATTGAAAATTTGTCAAATAATAACAAAGAATAAAGAAAAACGTGAATGGGTGAGTGGTGGTAAGCTATTGAGGCATGGGTGTAGGGCAGAAAAGCCCAATGGGCATTTATCCACAAGTAAAATAGGTTATAGAGGGCCCAGTGATGAGCCATCAAGCTTAGCCTGCCGGCACTCCCAACAAGTACCCATCATTTGGTATTGGACACCATTTTATTTCACTGTCACATCATAACAACATTTACACGTGGAGCCAGTGGCTTCACTCCTTAATGTGGCCCCCCTTCCACGTAGTATTGGCATTACCATACGTCCATTTCAACTACATCCATTTAATTTTAACTGTTAATCTTTTTACATGCATGCACATTGAAATTATTTGGTGGTCAGGATTATCACGCCCTTGTAATTTAATTTAATAAAATTCTAATGCATAAACTATTTATCCGTAAGTAATTAAGTATTAATTTAGTTAGTAAAAAAGGAAATTATTTTTGTCCATTAAATTTTGATTTTTATAATAATATTTTAAAAGTAAAACTTTGAAATCAATCAAATTAATAAAAAAATATATATTATTTTAGAAAGAAAGTTTAAATGTAAATAAAATCTAAAATACCTCTATCATAAATTTTTTAAAAAATGCACAAACTTTTTTTATTTTTAGAAAAGAACAAAGTAAGATTAGGTTTAAAAACTAGAGAAATAGATAAACTACTGTCGGTACACAGCTATAGCTCGCGACGGAAAGAAATTATCGGATGATCCTTGTTCTCGGATGCTTCAAACAAAAAGGAATTGATATTACCCTAATGCCCCTAAAGTTATAAAATATTATGACTTGTTAGTGTTTCATTAAAAAATAATAATAAAGTAGGACTTTTTGTGGGGACCAGCCCGAAGTGTCCTCACATTTGCTCCCCAACTTGTCCGACTTTTAGCAAAACAACAAACGGCAGAGCCGGATCAGGCGAGCCTCGTTGTCATGGGCATGGTGGCAAATGTGGCAATTTGTAAATTGTTGCAGCATGCATCTCATCACCTCGATCAACCCTAGGTTATGTACACACCTCCCTTGTCATCATTGACCGCTGAGATTTATGTCTTTTTATACCTGAATTTTTGTGAAACATCAAAAGGAACGATGCTGTTCTATTTAGTAAAACTTAAAAGGGTACCTCCTCGTAACTCCAACTCTAGTAATCATAATCAAAGGAAGACTTGTTCTATACAAAGAATGATGTCTGAATTGTTCCATTGAATGTGTTTTGCTAATATAACATTAATTGTTGTTAAATATGATGAATATTTGACATCCAATAGCTTGGTAATTATATAGAGTAGGATTAAAAAAAAGATTAACAATAAAGGAAGCATTATTTGTTCTATTGTTCAATTATCTCATAAAGAAAAAATACATATATATATATATATAAACTTATTGCAACTAATCTATTGACCTTTTTTTTTTTTTATATAGATAAAATGGTTAGAAATTGAATTACTTTATAATAAATCACACTGGTATTAACTAATATATTGATTTAGCTAATAACATTGTTTGAACTTAATAAACGAGTAAATTAAAATAGCTAATAAAATGGTTATTATTCAAATTCTAGTTCAAAGTCAAAGTACATAATTATCTTGAATTTCTCAAAATGAATTCTCGACTTCCTATGGGAGAGGTTTAGATTAGAAAAACTTTGCTTGTTCCTTCGAGTTTGAGAGAGTTAAAGAGAAAGGAGAAGAATATGAAATATATTCTAATTCTTAATGCCCAACCCAACCAACAAACCTAGCTAATTATGAAAAATATATTCAAATGGGTTGAGAAATAATTCTTTTAGAGCTCATTTACCTGTCTCAATCTCACGAACTTAACGGAGGATCTATCTCAAGTCCCAATCTTCATGAAATGTAAATGGGTTTGGTTTTATCATCCGGATAAAACAAAAGAGGCCGTTGGCTGGCTATAGTGCCGTTTAGGCTTTCAATGAGCTCCACTGCATAAGAGGAGATGGTTCTCCACCGCACTAGACCCCTAAAAAGCCGAATCAGAAAAAGTATTAGTTAGTAATTTAATGATAAATGTTTTTTGTTTAGATTTGAAGTACTTGTTGCATAGTTGTCCTTGATCATAAACAAAAGCTAATAATGCTTTCCAAAGTCGATATTTGGGAGGATAATATGAATGCTGGTCATGGGAGAATGCCTGGAGGAAGCATTGGCCTCCCATTGCCATCATTTGACTAAATATAAAGAAGAAAAAACTGATACTACATATTATATTAGGAGACTCAAACTCCTTCAAAAGCTTTCATCATTCCAGCGGTGTACAAGTAAAAGATGGAAACATGAAATTGAGCAAAATAATTTCCCACGTTCAACAAAGTAAGAACAACTTTATGATAGTTATTCTTTTCATCACTGACACACCTTCCCGCCCCCCGATAGTTGATATATGAGCACGTTCTGAACGTATAGAAAGATTTAACGTAGACAAGTTTTTGCTGTAATTTTGGAGCTACAAATATTGACAAATGTAAGAAAGATAATCAAAATGCTGGAACGGGACTCGAATTAATGTCGCATGTCTTCCCTTCAACGAGCGGCAATCTATGTTTTGGCCTGCAACGCAAGCTAGCCTATTGTCCCCAAGGTCTCATCCTTCTCTCTTTGAGTCTTGACACCTTTTGCCGCCTCCTTTAAGCCTTCCATTGCGCTTCCACTACTACTCTACATCTATAAATAGCTCATTCATTTCAACTTCATTAATTGCCTAGACCTGAGCTTCCATGTGCTGATGTATCTCTTTTCTTCTTATTCTTGTACTAGTCCAGCTCTGGTTTGTTATGGACTGGCTAGTCATGCATGATAATCTTATTACATTTACAATTATATATCATTTTAATTAGAAGAAAGATAATATATCTTGATCTAATTAATCTCTATTTCCAATAATTTTGAAACAGTGCAAAAAAAACTCTCAAATTGTAAAATCTAGATGATGGCCGGCCCCATCCAAAGGTTTTCAAAGACTTGTCATTAGAGACAAGAACCGCAGTTCTCCCAAGTCCCAACTATCAAAATGGACCACAGCTTTTTGATCTAGCTAGTGACGTCCTTTGATGTTTTCAGAGAGATTGCAGATTATGGATTTCACCATCCTCCAACTAAATCCAATTTCCTATTGGTAATGTAATAAATTATTCATTCAAAGATTATTTTTTTAATAAAAAATGGAAATCAGTTCTAGCTTTTATGCACAAGAATGATTGCTACAATGAACAAAGAGAGAATATCTATATATATATATATACATAAAACAACTGATTAAAGGATATCAGTAGAATCTCCTTTAAGAGTTGAAAATTCTACCATCGAATAAGTTGAGACCCTACAATGCAATTTGTATATCCCCCAAAATTGATTTGATACAAATATATATTGGACGATATCTAATGCTGATTTGATGCTAAAAATTTTGAGATAAAAGGTAATTTGCACATTTTTTTTTAGTTCATATATACTTTGTTTAGGAACAACAAAAGAAGATGCGACATGGTTTGGTGGTTAGTCACAAATTGCTGACCCGAGTTTGACATTGATTTGGGTGGGAGGCATGAGGTTTCTATCTACTAACGTATTTCTAATTGGCAAATGATGCCCTTTTTTTTCTTGGTGGAAATGGAATAAGGATACTGGAATTCTCTTAAAAAACAAAAGGAATGTTGGAATTGAGGTTAGTGATGAACTGATGGTCAGGTAGAACAGCAAGGGTCCCAATTTGGAAGGGCTAGTCATACTCTTGGACAAGGGCCCATAGTTCTTAAGAAGAAAATTAGCCCGTGAAGTGGTTTGTATGTTGTAACCCAATTTTGGTAGGGATTTCTTAAGCAGGCCTCACTCAGGCTAATTGGGTTTGTTGAGTTCAGTCAGCTGAAGCAGTCCATTGTTTTTTTTTTTGTAAAATTAAAGAAGTTAGATTCTAATTTTATCCAAAAACTGCATTAGATCTTCGAATATTTGGTTTCCAAGAAAACTATGAGTTTGTGAATATAGCAGTAATATATCAATAAAGTTTACATTTGATATATTATAAATGAAAAAAATCAGATGATAAATCTTCATTAGTTAATAAATTATTTTAATTTGTATATATTTATTTTAAGAGTTATATTTATTCATTAATAAATTATTATCATTTAATTTATTGATAATGTATAAAATTTATATAAACCATACAAATTTTATACAAGTATCACCACCATTTTCATCGTAACAAAAGATAACAATAAAAGGAAATGGACCTTTTTGAGATCTCCAACTTCTTTTTTTTTCTGTTATTTGAATTGACATAATTACTGGCACTATATGACCAAAGCACGAAAAATGAATGTGTGTTGAAGCTTCCCCTAAATGAACGGCCAATGTGGCCGGTTTCGTTGGTTTTCAAGACAATCTCCAACGTTCACCTTTGTAATCTCCTCCAGTACAGCTAAGTAAAATTCCATGTCGTCTCCAAAGTAGTACTATTTTTGAGAAAAGTTAAACTGCCCCTCTGTAATGAATTTAACATGTCGTCTTGTTGCTATTTCTTTACAGGGTCTGGATGTTCCTTTTTGGAAGAAAATTCTTGGGATGAAGCTGACAGACGCGTTTTCTTTTATTTTTCTTGTGATAATGGTTTAATTTCTATTTATCCACAGTTGACATGATTTTTGTTTTATTACGATTAATTTTTTTTTAACAGGTGGAAAGCTTGATGATATCACTGTGATTGTGGGTCAGGTGGTAACCACACCTAGCTCTGGTATCTTGGATGACGTTCCGAAAACGGAGGAGGTTCAGGACACAGAAAGTGTTGCTATCCTGGATGAGGTTCAGAGGATGGAGAAGATCGGGGGTAACAGAAGGCATTGGCGTATCGAACAAGGCTCAGGTAACAGAAGGGGTTTGGACAAAAAACCTGCCATATTGGTTATGATATCTGTTTTTCCTTCGCAACTTCTATGATAGCTGCAGTACAAAAATCTCATGTCAATCTGTATCCTGCCAAATGGCTTAGTCCTTTCCACTGCGGACTATACAACTAAACCTTGAAAGAGAGACCCCTTATTTATCCATGCTCAGGATTCTTCTACAGTATTTTATATAGAACAAAATACACTTAAAGTGTTGAAAATGGTTCCGAGTAAACATTTTGGCCTTAAAACAGAATTGAAGGCGGGGATTCTAGTTTCAACAAATCTCCCCTTTTTTTATTTTAAATAAATACTTTCTCCTTACATTGAACAATTTAATAATAAATTCTAGGATATAATTGCATTCCATCTGAATATTCCTTTTAAATGGTTACCAAAACCAACTAAAATGCTAAATACTTGAGAGGTTGGAGCTTTTTCCATGCTCACCTCATAAAACACAGCTCAGGAAAGAAAAATCAGTACAATAGAACGCCGTTGAAATGACCACAATCTTTGCACGAGGTATATCGAGGAAACTTCTCTGAACTAGCGATCTACAATCCCAAATCTGACAGTTAAGAACAATTAACGAAAACCAATCAACAAACAGTAACACATAATCTTTGAACATTGCACTAGGAAATCAAAACTTTCTGATGCAATTTTACCTCACATTGTCATGAAAAACAAAAAAAATTATCACAGAAGACCATTTTATAGGATCCTGGCTAGGAAATGACTCCTAACATTTATTATTCAATTGATTATGGCAAATAGCTATGTATACACTCTTTGAATGCCAGTTAACTATACTGTTGAAATGCCTGATAATATGTGCCTTGCTTACCCATTGCTCATCCAGCTGCAGAATGTATTGGCCACATTCCTTATGGTACTTCAGGTGACAGTGCTACTTTCAGTGCTAGCATTAAGTTCTTGGAAGAAAGTTTTTCCTGCTTCATATGTAGACCAGCAGATTGCAGCAGCAGGAGCATGGAAAAGCATTCGAGGAATCCATCCCCTCATGAGGCCCTTGTAGCCGTCTTTTGTCACTATTGTTTTAATTACGTCCCTAATAGAACTACTCTTAAATCTATCACATCCGCATACACCCTGTGATACAATTTTTAATAACAATACTACAACAATCAGAGAAGCTAAATGCATAATTAGTCAAAGTAAATAATCAGCTCATTAAGTGTTAAACATAAGTCTTAATGGACACGAACGTACACACATCATTTTTTTTTCTTTTTAAACCCAACAATGTGAAGTAAGGAAAAGCAGGATGGACCAGGATAACGACTCTATGATCAAGCACTTAAGTGCAAATGTATCAAATAGAAGGCAAGAATGCACATGACACTAAACCATGCTTCAGAAAAATACTGCAAACATTCAGTTAAAGGGAAATGGTTTATCTCAACCATCTGTGGTAGTTTTATGGAGAACGGTTGACAAGACAAAACAACAACAACAACAACAACATCATCTAAAACAACCAGAAATTAGACTATGAAAGCAAGAAAGCAAGTATAGAACTATAAAAAGATTTACTTTCAGTATTATGCTGCTCTCAAGGCATTGAAATTAAAGGTTTTACAGTAACTAAGACTAGATACTGCAACTTCTCACTCGTAGCATTATATTCAAGATGTTGGTTCATTTAACCAGATACAAGATGATATAGCAGACAAAGGAATCAAGATAATATGTCCTAGAAAAAGAAACATGAAAGGCAGGATATGATTGTCAGCTACAACCATCCAAACCATTTAAGCTATAGCTTTGGATATATTCAATTCATTTGAGAATATTCAACAAGTATCAGTGGTGAATAACAATTTTGTCAAAGATTGATCCCCTTTCCTAAAAGGGACAGTAGCAGCAAACTCAAAATGATAATGGAAGATTTGACCTAAAAGAAAATATACTTAATTACATTATCTGTCTGGAAACACAGAAAAGTCAGCATTAGTAAGCTTTCAATCAGGATAACAAAGGATTAACTATGTTCATATGGAAAACATTAAGATATGAGGGCTCCCTTTTACTATCAATGCATAGAAGTTTCCAATTACTAAATCCACTAAACAAAATTTCCTGATATAGCTAGCATAAACTGATTAAAGCTTCAGCTCACTGCAGGAAGATCCAACAAGCAAGAAAAAAAGAGGCAAAGCTTGAATTACCTGACACTGCAACTGAGTTTTGACCACATCAAGCGGCGTAGTGACAACCGCAGCAGAAGCTCCAGCAAGGGCACCAGCCGTAGCGTGGACAATCACCCGCTCATCACTTGCACTCTCTGGTGAAATCTCAATCAAACCCCTTTTCGCCGCCTCATATGTTGCAAAATGAACCGCCGTAAAAGGCGCATTCATAAGCACCGTCGTCCTGTAGGAAGCATAAAACGCCCCAAAACCTTCCTCTTTCAGAACTTTCTTAACACAATCAAACACCCCTCTACAAGCAGCATTATTACCTAACTGTAACCTCTGTTTCACCATATCCATAGGCGTAAAAACGGCGTCGCTCGCTACCGTCGCGAAAACACCGGAAACCGCGTGAGCCCCCGAGTTATTCGGGTTCCCACCCGAAAAATACTTCTTGCAAACTTCGTATACAGAAAAGTAAACGGCATGGGCCGGGCCAGCCCCAAGTCCCATGGCCCCGATTCCCCGGTATAAGCCTGGGAGGCCTTCGGATTGGAGGATGGAACGGAGGGCGTGACGTACACCCACCGATTTGATGGGGCAAGAGCCGAGAGCTTGCATATGGGTCTTGACGGTGTCAACAGGGAACATAGCCATATGCTCAACGCAGCCGGCGATGGAGCCAGCAATCATGAACTGCCAAAAGTAAAGCCCGTCATGGGGACTCACCGTCACTTCCGGATGGAAATCCGGCGGCACTGCCGCCGGATGTGGCACCGGCCGGAAGTCTGAATTTTGGAACTTTGTTGTGGTAGCTTCTGTCGCCATGAAGAATAAAGAAGTTGGGAAATTTTGGGTTTTCTTGGAATGAAGAATTGGGATAATTAGGGTTTTTTAATGGTTTTAGCGGCGGATTTATAGCCATAAAAAGTTTTACTCTTCTAAATAGGAAGATTAAGATCGAATTGCATATGGGAACTTTGACGATAAAAGAAAATATAAAAGGAAAGGCCTTTTTTTCTTCATTTCTTGCTAGTCCTTTTTGTGCTTTTCTTTATTGTGAGTTTTGCTAAGTTATAATAATAGATTTTGAAGCTTTAACAAAGTCAGAGACGAAGTTGGACTTGTCTAGTTTCCTTGGGGTTCCAAGAATAGCAATTTTATAATGTTTTTTTATATATTTTGATAGAACGAATTAAATAAAAAAAAAAATTTTCCGTTTGAAATTTTGGAATCCATCACAATCTATAACGTGTAATGACTTTGACCGGACAATTTAAGGGGCTACTCTGTAGGCCTAGGCTGGAAGCATCGATTGAAAGCCTTAAATCCCAAAAATGGGCCTATGGACGGCCCACTCTTCTATTTATTTTTGGTCAAGTCTTTTCTGTTTGTTTCTCAGGATACTACCTTGAAATTCCGCCTTTATTGTCGCCTGTTAAGCTGGCAGTCAGACCGGAAAGCTTCGTACTAATTTCACATTCTTTGGATGGTAATGCTTCCTGCTACATCACTTGTTTGTGTTTTTCTTTTCTTTTGAATCTACCTGTAATTTTCAACGAATGATCTTGAAATTTGATTGTGAGAGACCAAATTAAGTCCTGCCAAGTGGAGTCATTTTCTAAACTAGTTACCAACAAAAATTTACATATCAGTTAATATCAGTTTAATAATGTAGACAACTGATGATAAGAATATTTAGTTGATTTTTGTGTCACGAATTTAAAGAAGAATCTTGAATCTTACATCGAATATAATAAAAAGATCACTGAAATATATAAAGGTTCACATCATCTTTTTTTTGTGAGATATTTTTTGTAAGATAAAATCGTGAGATCAGAACGAATAATACCTTGCAAAGATATGAACCGTGACAAAAAGATTGATCTAGGACGCCGGAAAGATGAATGCCCAGATCCCGAAGCCACACGAATTCGAAGCTTAAATCTCGATCTAAAGAACCAACTTTAAACCATTCGATCCACGTCAAGCACTTCGAGAAATATCATGGACCTAAAGAAGAATCTTGAATCTCACATCGAACATAATAAAAAGGTCATGTCACGGATCTAAAGAAAAATCTTGAATCTCACATCGAACATAATAAGAGGATCACTGAAATATATAAGGATTCACACCATCTATTCCTTGTGAGACACCTTTTGTAGAACAAAACCGTGAGACCAGAAGGATCAGAGCGGACAATTCCTCACAAGTGTGTGAACCGTGATAAAAAGACTGATCTGGGACGCCGAAAGGATGAATGTTCAGATTCCGAAACCGTACGAATTCAAAGCTTAAATCTCGACCTGTAACATTTATACATGTATAAGTCATAAGATACTTATAGAAGCATCCATGAAATTAATCAAGCCACAGCTTTCAAAAAGATAAGGCTCTGTATCAACCCCCAGTTCAGGCAAAATATTAGTGGCCATCAACAGATAGTCGGTTATTCAAGCCGTGCCTTTGAACTCAAAATTCTTTTTATCAGCCTGAACTTGCGGGGTTGAACTCGAAAGACAAAAAAAAAAAAAAAAGTACCTAACAATGTCAACACTCATTCCATCTGCTGCTACGTATTGGTTGTGGCATTCGAAATGTCATGAACAAAGGCTTGAAGATCAGTATCTGAGGATCCTCCTTTTCGAACTGCTTTTCGATAAATCTCGCTTAGTTTCTCTGCTCTTCTCCTCATTTCTTTCCCCTCTTCGCTTCTTAAATCCATAAACCTCCGGATCTTCCAATCTTCTACAATTTGCTTACTATTTGGAGTTCGATCCCAATAAATGGGAAAAGTAGGCATAGGAACTCCGGCAAAAATGGCTTCTGAAGTGGAATTCCACCCCCAATGTGACCAAAACCCCCCGATGGAAGGATGACACAACACTTTTACTTGTTCACACCAAGGAACTATTAAACCCATCTCACCACGTTCATCTTGGAAACGAGGAGTCTCCTTACGTGCAACCCAAAATTACCTAACACCGCTGATGCACAACCCAGCTGCAATCTCATCCAATTGGGCACTCGTAGCTGAATGCAAACTTCCTTGTGAAACATACACGACAGATCCTGGTGGTTGTAAATCTAGCCAGCCGAAGTAACTGTTATCACTAGGATCCACCCCGGAATTGTCTTCCAATTTGAAGTAGGGAATAGGCGGGCCAATATGGTAAATTGGAGTTGAGATTGTTTCTTTCAAAGTGTCCATGATTTGAGATTCCAGCTCGTACACTGAAACAAGCAGGAGATACTGCACTTTGGACACGCCCGAAACTGCTTCAAGACCTCGATGCAATACGTCTAGACCTTTTCCATACAGGCAAGTAGGAAGGTCTGCTTTCCGAATTGAACTCCAGGGATACAATCAACAATCTCCTCTCCTTGTTCTGTCAGGACAATAATTAAAATTAAAAAAAAAAAAAAGAGAAAAAACATTGCATGAAAATCCGAAAGGAAAGAAAAACAGTTGTCTTTATCATACTATTACCTAACAAATTAATGGGGAAATGTCGGTTCTGGACAAGGAGATCAAAATGATGGCAAACGGAATATACCAAAGCCGGCATGGTCCAAAACGATGCTAATGGAATATTCCTTCGATTGCCTACCCTGACGGCAAACGTCAGATAAGTATCATAAATGATGGTGGTAACAGGGGGATCAAACCAATCGATAAGCTTCTCCAGTGGAGCTTCCGTCTTCCTCAAAACTTCAAAACTTCCTCGAAGAAGTCAGGGGAGTAGTTTCCGGAGCGGTCCAGCTCGGAGGTGAAGTCATTGGGGATCGTTCCGAAGCGAATGTTTTCAGGTTTGGGCTCGGAGCCGATAAAGCCGAACCACTCCTCGCTGACAACAAAGGTTACTTCGATGTCGTTGTTTTGGAGAGTAATGACTTGCAGAGGTTCATCATGGAGTTGATATGGCCCTGAGAGGGGAAAGGGACGGCCAGGACGTGGCATACGGCGGCCGGTTCCTTGACGACGTGATCCATCTCCGGTGAATTGAACGGTTCAGGAAAAATTATATAGAACCTGGAGCCTGGAGTAGAACAGAGCTACATAGAAAATGAAAAATGAAACTTCTGTGTTTTCCACAGAGTATAAGGAGAATACGAAATTAATTTCTTCTTTCCAATTTAATGCAAGATTTTATTAAAGGGGACAAAAGTCAGTGCCTACCCACTGCCTGGGATTTTTTCATGCTTCAGGCGACAAGCGGACGTCACAAAGCACAACTGCCAGTCTGCCAATTTACGAATTGTAGAAAGGTTGTGTTGCTGACAGATGACGGAAGAAGAACCGGCACAATCATAGTGTTTTTTTCCTACTTACTTATAAAAGTAAATTGTGTTTATCCTTTTATTCCATTTCTTCATTGATTGGTTTTTTACTTCAATGATTGTTTGCTTAATGCTTGATGCTTTTTTTTTCTTAAATTTCGTTTTTGAAAACACTGATGCTTATTACTTAATTTCAGGGTTATTTATAAATTGCCTACACAAGAAAATTTCAAGAGATTGCATTATCGATCACCCCTATTTGCATTTGCAGTAATTTCGCCTCTATTTTCAAAATCAGGTAATGCCTTATCAAACCACTTTGGGCTCACCTTGTATAATAGGAGAAAAAAAAAAAAAACAGAAGCAGTTCAATTGATACCATTGAAATATTTCCCTCGACAAACCAATGGAGCTAAAAGCATCCATCAAGAATGGTTTAACATAAATTTTCTTGGCAGAATACAAAGAGAAAAAAATGTAAAGGGAAAAATTGCCGAAGTGCAAAAGCAAATAAAACTATAAGCACTACAGAAAATAAGACCATAAGACAGGATCAAAGTTTCACATACCATGTCTTCAGCTTCTTGGCCTAGTGGCAAGAAAGCCTTAAAAAAGACACAAAGGCTAAGGTTCAAACCCAGCCTCCCCGCCTCCCCCTTGTTGTAGGCCTCTGCCCCTTGAAACCAAAAAAGAAAAGTTTCTCACACCACATTACTCATTGGAAAAGCAAACAAGCAGAATTTAAGCGCCATCCCATGGCAACCTAATGCTTCAGCTCACAACTACAACCAGATTACGAGGTTTAGCAAACTCTCAACAACTCTCTTCTCATACTTGAGGAATGTGACAGCATGTGTAGTCCATCATCAAATGCCATTTTCAACCACTTACCATACCCAACCTTGTATTTAGTAAATCAACTATGTATACACAATTGCATTCAGCATACACGGCTATTACCGTTTTTTGGTTAGCAACACATGTGATAACAACAATTCAAGCCTAAATTGAAACCAATTTGCAACATTAAAACATAGAACCTTAATATTGTGAAATAGTTTAGGATAGATATGCTGCCACAGAAGGATACAAATCTAATTCTTCAATTGTCCAACAGATTAATGCATGTATATTATTCATGCACTTGTTCCTCCACAGTGAATGATATGCAGACAGGCAACAAAATCAAATCCACCACTAAAGGTTAATTGCCAAACAAAAGAGTAAATGTGTGATTTGAAAGAGCAGCACTCACCTGAAATTATCAACCTACCTTAGCAGCAAGAAATTTGGAGTTAATCCACTTGCCTCTATAAAAGGATTCACACAAATTCAATCAATCAAACGCCTAGAATAGAAACCCCTCCAGCTAACAATAGACGAAGGAGGAAAGAGAAAGGGGTATTGCCCAGACAAGCTAACAACCTACCTCTTTGTCTCCTGTTCAAGAACAACCCTGTAAAGGGAACACAACTACAACCCTCAGACCACATTTCTTAGTACAGAAAATACTCTGATGCTGAAAGTCTCTCAGTATGGGCGTGAACGGTTTCCACCATAGTGATGTCTATCTGGCCCAGAACCTCCATCTCGTTGATTATCCCTGCGCCTGTCCCCACCACCTCCATAGCCACCTTTACCACCTCTGTCAAATAACAAAACAGTCAAATGCAGCTTCAACGAAAACAAAATTTATTTAAGCAAAGAACAATTTTATTTGTTAAAAGAAAAAGGTGAAATAATTTCAGGTAACCTTTTCTATTGTTTACTTCCACAGTGACAAGCATTAGGCGCATCCTACCGCTATCATAAGCAGACCACACAAAAATTTTCAGACAAGACCAGCAAAATAATAAGATGTTTACAGTAACTAGAGGTGATGATTTGAGAATTTGGTTTCAAAAGTAAATTAAAGCAAGCAAAACCATATAAAAAGGATTTCAGCAGGGCAACATTAAATACAGACAAAAAAATGCTATGTAGGCATCATCTCTTCAGAGATTACATGTTGAAACAAAGCATCTAAATGCAATATAGATGAACTCAATTAAACCCAAGGGAACATCTGATTAACACCTGTCAGGAAAAAGCATCTAAATGAAACACGCTATAATTCCAAGGGTTAAAATGATACCCATGATTATATACTTTAGGTGCAGTCTTCTCTGCCATAGCCACACTGATTGTATAGCCTCTCATGACGTGATCTGAGAAAAAAGATTGCACAAGGGTGAGGAGAAATATTTAAGGCAATAAACTAAATGAAGAAAGTTTGTATGTAAGTACTGTGAAAGAAACCGCCAGCAGAGTGAGCAGCCTGAGGATCTTCATAAGACAAAACTGCATCGCCTTTCTGGTTTCCTTTCTCATCTGCGTATATTTTAATATTCCAAGGCCACTGATCTTTATAGCCACGCTTCTGCTTAATTCTTCCAACCTAAACCAGAAGTGAATTGTTAGAACACTAGTGAGGATACCAAAATATATGGAAAAATAATAAACAGAACTTGTCAATACAGCTCCTTAGGTAAAAACGCCCTCCACTCCATCAAAACATGGAACTAGAGGATAAAATATATTTCAAAGAACAATTATCATAAACAAACAGATAGCAGCTCCAGAAATCAAACAGAACCACCAGCATGAAGTAGATGACATAATTCCCATTAGCCAGCACAATGATTTAAAAGAAAATACTTGGTCATTACTTGTCCAATGCCGCCAAAAAGTTCTCTTAATTCTTCAATAGTAACATCAGGTGGCAAATTTGACATGTATATTCTTGTGTTGTCACAAGAATCCCCACAGTTGCCATCACACTGCTTGATCTTAGCTGGTGCATCAACATGACGACCACCATAACAACCTCCCTGATGTCGAGGATCGCCAGACCCATACCCATTGTCATATCCACCAGAATGTCCACTCCGACCACCAGTCCTCACATCACGCAAACCCTCACCACCATAACCAGCAGGAGGACCAACTGAATCCTTTCCATAATTTGCATTCCCACCATATGCATCAGGAGCAGGTGGATAATAGCCAGCAGCAGCACCACCATAAGTATTGGACGGTGGAGGAAGTACTTGACCATACCCACCATCTTTGCCCTCTTGACTACCTCCATAAGAACCACCTCTACTACCACCACTTCTATTATCATAATTTCCACCTTTGCCTCCATCATAGCTGTTATTCCTCCCACTATCATAACCACCTCTACTCCCATCTCTACCTCCACGATTACCGCCATATCCCCCATCACTACCTCCTCTGTTATAACCACCACTACCACGATCACCAGCACCCGCGGGAGATGGTGCACCGCATTTGTTACACTCAACTCTTCTTGCAAAGTTCAAGTTCCCACAGCTACATAGACATATACCAGTTTAAATTTCACAAATCCAGAGTCCATACAACTAACAGTAATATGGAAATATCAGCAAACCAAAACTTAGATGTTTAAGACTAGGTAACTGTACAAATCCATAACAGGGGAAAACCTCCCCCAATAGCAAATCAAAAGCAGAGAAAAGATAATTTACCTGGGGTTAGGGCAAAGCCAATCACCACCTCTGCCACTTCCACCACGGTCTCCTCCTTGATAGCCTCCACCGCCTCCTGAAGAACCCAGATCCAAGTTATTGAAAATAAGAAAAATGCTAAAAAGCTGATCGCTCTTAAAAAAAAAAAAAACCCCAATAAGAGAACTCCGAGAAAACTACAATCAACAACATCAACCCATAAATACAAAAGAAAAAAATAAATCATTAAAAACAAAGAAATTTACCTCGATTTTGAGAACTACCACCATATCCTCCACCACCTCCTCTGCCTCCACCGCGGCCGCTGTGACCTCCCCCACGTCCACCGCCGCCTCCACCATAACCACTGTTCCCTTTATAGCCACTGCCAACACCAACACCACCACCTCCTCCTGCGTAACCTCCACTGCCACTACTATAGCTTCCAGCACCTCCATATCCACCACCGTATGAAGGCGGAGCAGCTTCACCTCCGCCTTGACCGTACATCCTTAAAGATGTATCTAGGGTTTTTTGTTTTTCATATACCTCGCAAGGAGGGAGAGACAGAGAGAGTTAAGAGTGATAGACAAATTGCTTTATATGGAGTGAGTCGAAACGGTTGTGACATCTGCGTGGAAAAAAGGTGGGCCTACACTTAGAGCAAGATCCAGATTTTAGAAGGCCTAAAATGAAGAATCCTCTGATCTGACCCATTGAATTTGACCAACCCGGATCAGCTTTGGGCTTTTGGCTGTTTTTTCATGGATTTTTTTAGATAAGTAATTAATTTTAATTTTTATTTATCCAGAAGCAGTTAAACTGCTACATGTACACTGTTTTCACCCATTACAAGGATCAACTTAATCAAACATAGAATCCCCAAGAATTACAAAGGCTCAAATTAATAGGATCTGCTGATGCAATGTTCTTTAATCGTGCAACAGGCAAGCAAACTGCCTCCATGATGTAGCCAAGCACCTGCCTCCATCCTTGTTGCTCGAGTACGAGTAAACTGCATGCCTGCTGTTCCTCTCCCTCCAAAACTGATAAATGAGAATGCATTCCATGGAGTATAGTGGATATTAAAGCCTTCCCTTTGAGTCTGCTTACAGCCCAATGAAGTTCTTTGTCCCAGGTTGCAACGTCTCTATTCAACCGGCCTGCCTTGGATTGTAGATTCTTTGAAAGAGAAATTTTGTTTACAATTTTTCTTGCACTTAGAAAATTGGAAAGTCTTATGTATTAAGTGTTCTTTTTTTGTTGAATAACTTTTGGTTTTAGATTTTAATTGTTAGAAGCAATTGATGGAAATTCCTTGATGTTTCAGTTCTTTGCCTTTTTAGCAATAAAAAAGTTGCATTCTGATAGGAGTAAGAAATTTTCTTTTTCAAAGGTTCTTTTGAATATAAATGAGAAGGAATTTGAAATGAAAGTAAATTCTTGGGTTATTTCTGGTGCCTACGGATTTCATACTTGGAAATGAGATATTTGAATGTAACACCTCTTAACTCTTAGGCTTTGCTAGTTTTGGTAGAAAAAGATGAAAAAAGATGAGTATGATAAACTTGCTAATTTAAAGGGAAAAGCAACAAAGTAAGAAAGTGATTCTGAATTTTAACCATTAAATTAAAAAGTTTTTTATGCTCATCCATTTCCATCCTTCCTACCAAACAAAGCCTTAAGGTCTAATCCTATCATATATCACTAGATAAAATTTCAATGACATTTATGCAAATCTTCTGTCTAAAATTCTCTGTTTGCAAAACTGTGAAACAGACTAAAAAGGATACATAATACATGGTTGATCCCACAGATCAGCTAAAAAAGGGAATGTTCAATGTTCCAATCTTTGATGTCAATCATCACTTTGATGCTATACTTTGACTAGAAAATTTTGAAATCAAAGGAACTAACATTTCGAACAGAAAGAACCTCGAAGGTCCAAAATGAACTGCCAATAGACAAAATTGGAGGTCAATTTAATTTCCATCCATCCTCCTCTTTCAACTGAAAATTAGCAACAAACAAAGTTTTGCTGCTAATATAATCCATGCACAACAAATACCACAGCAATAAGCCCGTTGAATTTAAAAGCCTCTCTAGCTACTGCATGAAACCCAATAAGCATGAAAAAAAGTAGGCCATCAGCAATATTATCCACAGAAAGAGATACGCCTCGTGAACAGAAGTTGAATGAGAGGTTTGAAGTTCAATAAAAAATCTGCAGTTATCAACCGACGGATCAACAGTGGTGATGAGACCCAATCCCCCAAAATCACAGCTATCTGCCCTTTGATCATGCTGCTGATAGTAGCTATTAAATGCATATGATATATTACCAGGCCAACCGATATTGGAACAGGAACCACCAGGAGACAGTGCAGTACAATCAGATATAGAACACGCCTCCAAAGCACTTGCAGTTGCATTTGACATATCTTTGTTGTTGTTCATGACACACCATTTTGAAGGAAGGTATTCAACAAATTGAGCATTCACAAGGTTTTTTGAGCCCAGGCCAAAGTTAAAATGGTACTTGGCTTGGCCATCAAAAGTGAACACGCCCCAATGTCGCTCAAAATTTCCAGAGGTTATGCTTCTTTGGTCCTCATCTAAGAAGCTAAATATAAATGTTTCTATTGGTGGATTCCGAGGTCTAAGAGGAGTTCCTGTTTTGCTATGAAGGTGATCAACGAGGCCCTTCATAAACGTTTCAGCAATAGATGAGGTGGCATTGGGTGCTCCATCAGTAGGCCAACCAATGCGTGCAACAACAATGCCCATTTCTGGAAACCCAATCTTTGATAATGCAGTAACAAGGGTATCATAGCTTAAGTCGAAGCTGTTTTTGTAAGTTCTATGACTGTCATTATGAGGACGCACATTTTCTTTGAAAAGAGTAAAGTCAAGGGAGATGTTCTTGTTCTGTTGGAAACTTATAAATGGAGAAATAGTCACGAAGAAAGGAGAATGATGCTTGCTGAGAAATGTAAGTAGTTGAATCATGGTTTTATTGAGGTCAGTCCTGAAGTGTCCTTTTGAAGGCAGGCTGGACTCTGACACAAAGGTATCAAAACTACATGGAACAACAACTTTCACTTCGCTAGCCAAGTTTGCTTTTGTTAAAGCTGCTTGGATGTTCATCGCTGCTCCAATGACAAAAGGGTGAAACTGCTCACCATAACTTTGGAGAAATGGTTCATCTCCAACAGCAACATACCTATAAAAGGCCTACTCAGCCATAGACATAGAAAAAAAAAAAACTCTAAAGCGTAACTTATTATATTAAAAGAAAAGACGAAAACTTTACTCAGTAAACTATGATCAATATTCATAAGGATTGGACAAAGTTTTACATTAGCTATGAGAAGGAAATGCTCAACAAAGGTACACTTGCTCTTGACTTGAAGACAATATGATTAAGAACACATAATTAGAAATATTTTGCATCACTGTGGTGTTTGTGAAGGTTATTATCCATGAAATCATCCAACTGAACTGATATATTGGGTTGCCCTTACCTTTCATAGCTTTTTTACCTTCTAACAGGAAAAAGAAAATCCCAATGTCACACTATAGAAATCTGATAGAACTTGTTTGGAAGGAAAAAGAGATTTTCGATGCTAAAGACATAGATATTTGGTGAGCAATCCAATAGGAAAATCTTAATCATCAAAGACAAATGCGATGATCAAATTTCAGCCACACGGCAGAATCTGTAGTTCTTCTGTAGTTTTCTTCAGACCAAGTATCTGGCTTCCATAAAGCTAGCTCTCAATACGACTAATGCCTAAGAGAATACCAAATGAACATTCACAAAAATGGAAAGAAAGCAGTTAAAACTTAGTACCACTAGTTTATTATCTTCAAATTGATCGTTATGCGAGCTTTCCTCTTGCTTTGATGGATTGCAGCATCTTACTCAAGTAAGTAATAAAAAAAAAAATCAAACTTAGTAACTCACCCACCCACATTTTCCATTCCAAACCCTAACATCAAAATTAAATGAAGATCCTAATGCCCATGAAAATGGGTTCCCCGTAATTAAAAATAAATAAACAAAAAGAAAGAAAGTTTATGCCTCAAAACCAAACACCAAGTAAGATCAATCCCCAAAGCAAAACAACAAAAAGGAAGAGCAAGTAACATACTCAATTCGAACTCCAGCTCCACCATGAGAAAAGTAGCGGGTGACATTATCATGGACCCAACTCTCCGCAGCTTTCCTGGAGGAGTTAAAAGTTTTGAGCATGGAGTTGGGGATGCCCACGGTGACAACAAGGTTGGAGCCAGAGAGAGCTTGTAGCACAAGTGGGTCAGCATCGAAGAGCTTGACCTTGGAAACGTTGTTGGACTTCAAGAGTTCAACAACCTTGGAAGGTGGGAGAGGGTGGGAAGACATGGTACCCCAGATGACGCCTATGGCTCCAGCTGTAGAGCCAAGGAGGCATGGAATGGTGAGGAAGAGAAAGAATACGAAGAGATTTGGAGGCATGTGAGAGGTTGGTTTTGGTGGAGAAAGTGAAGAAGAAATGAGTGCGCTCTGTTTTTTCCTGGTGGCCTTTTTAAACTTTCAACAAAAACAAAAGGGGGGAATTAATAAAGCTGTTGTGCTTGTTCAAGCATGAATGCTGCTACTCTGCTTCGGGTTTGTGTGGGGGGCTTCCCTTTTTTGGTTAACATATTTTTTCTGTATCTAATGTGATAATTAATATATATATATACCTATAATTTTTATCTTTTCTTTTAACCAACAAAATTTATAATGTCTTCATCTGTTCCTTTTTCTTTTGAAAGCCTTAAACAACTCTTTTTTTTTTTTAGTCAATTTTCCCTGTTTTTATTTTCTTATCAAAATTCAATGTGTTTCAACAAACTGGTTTGAATGCATTAATTTCAATACTTTAGGAGGGAAACCAGTTTACTTGATTGGCCCAAAATTCACAGTTTAAAGGTACTTCTTTTTAGCTTTTATTTTTATACATTCACATAGTTAGCCGAGAGAATAAATGGCATTTGTTGGGGGCAAAAATGGCAAAAGGAAAAAAAAAACGCATTAAGCATCTTTTTACTAATTGTAGTGCACCTTTTAGCAAAGAAAAATTATGTGTCTACTAAGATTTGCCAAATTATTATAATAAACAATGAAACATGTGAAAATATTTCAATTATGCCAATAACATTTAAAGCATAGTGAGAGAATTTAACTTCAAATTTATCTTTTTTTAGCATTAGAAAATTGTTTAATATGGTACAGTACCTTTATTAACAAAAAATTCAATACAATATCTTAAGTTTTATTTCATTTATCAATGTAATTCAATCCCTAAATATTAAAAAACATATATGTTTACACATGATAAAATAATTATATCAATTTTGTTGATGTGATATTATATAGTAATAAAATTTTAAAAGAAATAAAATAAATTTGATTCTAGCACTAAAAAATTTGGATTTGAGACATTTATAGATAGAAAGTTTAGATTTTAACCATTGCTCAAAGGTTTCTTTTGAATTCATAATAATGACTTTGATTCTAAAACTAGGTAAATGAACAAAAAGTTCAACTCATATCACAATCAATGGCAAATGTCAATTTGTATAGTATATATTATGATATGTTCAAAACAAAAACATTTAAATTTGAAATGGGAGAAAATTAATTTAAGTTATTATCTGTTCAAAAAACAAACCTAAATTGATAAAATCACTAACTTCATGGCAGCCAATTCTGAAAATCCGGAAATGCTGACTTTTGGTCACGGGTCGCACGAATTACCCATATATATATATATATATATATATATATATATATATATATACACAGTAAGATTAGATATTCACGGGTACGACGAGCCAGACACGCGCCCTCCCCATTTCAATAAATCCTAACCATCCACGTGTTCTATCATGAACGGTCAAGAATCCCACCAAGCCACCTAGATATATCCCACAATTCGGTATTAACCTCGCCACCTTCCTCGTTTCATCTCCATTTCCCTCTCTCTCTCTCTCCCACTCTCTGTAAAATGCTTGTAAACAAGTATTGTACTTCTTTTTCTTCTTCAATTTTGCAAAGAGAGAATGTTGGTTTCTCTCTTTCATTTTCTCCATTTAAGAACTCAAATGGGTTGATGTCTGCCGTGACTGTGAGGTATCCCAAAGGGAAAGCAGCAGACCTTGGGGATGTCGTTTCGGCTTCAAAAGAGGCCAACAATCGACCCGTTTTGAATGTTTTGTTTGAGCCCTTTGAGGAAGTGAAAAAGGAGCTTTTTCTTCTCTCTTCTCTCCCACAAGCCTCTCTTGCGCGCCATAAGTACACAGACCAGTGTGAGGCTGCCATCAACGAACAGATCAAGTCAGTCTAATTTCCTTTGATCTATACTCCTTTTTTTCTTATTTTAATCCTTTGGGCATGAATGCACATAGATTGTTTTTATCTGCCGCATGCATTCTTTTTTTATGAATCCCTTTGGAATTTATGTTAGATGCATCTCTGTATATACAAATTGCTTTGAATCTGTCGATCTTTTTTATTAGTTAAAAAATTATCCATTTGTTGGTGTGGGGGTCTCTTTGATTAGTAACGAATTTTTTTCATCTATATATATATATATATATATGTATATACACACACACAAAGAATCTGCTGGCACTCACGAAAAGATTCTGTTTTCTGTATCAGTGTGGAGTACAATGTCTCGTATGTGTATCACGCCATGTACGCCTATTTCGACAGGGACAATGTTGCGCTCAAGGGCTTTGCCAAGTAATGTCTTGTAAACCCAAAATCTTCCGAAATTTGTTGACTGTTACATTTGTTTAGTCTTAATAAACAATTTAAGCGATTATAGATTTTTCAAGGATTCAAGTGCTGAAGAAAGGCAACATGCCGAGAAGTTGATGGATTACCAGGTGAAATATTACTGCACAATATTCGTTTAATTTTAAAAACATCTAATCTGATTCTATGCTCTCCTTTTAATTCATTCCCTGTTTTCTCTCGTTATCAGAACAAACGAGGAGGAAAAGTTGTGCTGCAGTCCATGCTGATGCCTTTATCAGAATTTGATCATGCTGAGAAGGGCGATGCACTTTATGGTTCGTTTTGTTTTGGCATTGATATATAAATGCAAAATCATAATTGAAACTTGTTGTGATGTAACTGTGCTTGCTTGAATTGAATACTTATAAATTTCATTTCTACGGATGATATATATCCTGTAGATAGCGTGAAAAAAATAATTTCTTTTCAATATGTTTATCTCTCTCCTCTTTGGTGTTAATGTCCTACAATAAATTTCATTTCTACGGATGATATATATCATATAGATAGCGTGAATAAAATCAGTTCTTTTCAAGGTGTTTGTCTCTCTCCTCCTTGATGTTAATGTCTTAGAATTTTTGTTTCAGCAATGGAACTTGCATTGTCTCTGGAAAAGCTGAACAATGAGAAGCTTCTGAATTTACACAAAGTATATATCTCTTTTCTGTATTGAACCCAAAATAAAATTCCTTTTGGCTTTGTAACTCTCATAAATGGTGTTTTACCTGATCACATGGACCTTATATAAATTACATTTTTAATCTTCCAGATGGCTGACAAAGTCAATGACGTGCATTTGGAAGACTTCATTGAAACTGAATTCTTGACTGAGCAGGTTAAGCAACTCGTACATCTGATTCTCTGTTGTATTCTGTTAGTTGATTACTTTAGTTTTACCCCTTGAAGAATTACATTTGTTTATGTTAATTTACTTTTACACATTGAACAATCACATCGAATCCATGTCTATCTTCTTCATTTAGGTTGAATCCATTAGAAAACTCTCAGAATATGTTGCTCAATTGAGGAGGGTGGGCAGAGGACACGGTAACCCTTAATTGCATTATTTCAGATTATAATATATACTGATGAAGTTGTTCAAATCAAATGCTAAGCACATAAATATGGTGAATTTAGAGTTCCGTTTGTCATTGACTTCAAATTCTTCTGTATTTACGATCTTGCAGGTGTTTGGCACTTTGATCAGATGCTAATCAATGATCCGATAGCTGCATGATGAAGAATTACATAATAAACTTTAGTACTATCAAGTTTCCCTCCCCACCCACACCTTACCTCATCCTTTCCCCAACTTTTCCCATATGAGAGTTTACTTCCTTAAGTATTTTTATATTGGTTATATGTATGGTAGTGGTTGGTAATTTTTATAATGCTTTCCCATATCATATATTTCATGGGATTTTCCTACTTGATAAAGGCGACTATTTTTGTTGAGAAAACGGATGGTAATGTGTAGAGAAATTATGAAACACCCATGAGTTTAAAAGTCATAAGATCATGACTATTATTAATTCCTTTGTTTCGCAACTCTACTTTTTTTTTTATTAAACTTTTTCGAGGTTAGCAAAATAAATGTTTTGCCCTGTATTTTCTTTTTTACATATTTTAATGTTTAAAAATCTTAAAAAATAATATTGAAAAATAAAAATAACTAGAGGTTTCAAAATATTTAAAATAATGTAACAGTTTTTTAATTTTAATTTCATTTACCAACAGTCGTCTCTAACCAATGGAAAAGCCAAAAAGAAGAAAGAATAAACAAAATACCGAACTCCAACACTCAAAAGCAACTTAATCTCCAGTGTCAGAGCAGCGAAGAGAATCAGTTTAGAGATGTCAAAGCAAGGAACCAGGGGAAAGTTGGCATTAACTTTACATGTTAAAAAGAATAGGCTGTTATCCCGCGTCAAGCAACCATGGGAAAGTTTAAGGCCAACGTGCAGTTTAGTAGTTTGCCTTACAAAATGGTGTTTAAGAGAGAGCATTTCAGTTTTGTGTTAAAAGTCTTTGCCAATTCCGATCACGTGATCGATGCATTTAAATCGTTTCTTTTCTCTGGTACTTTTTCCTGTTCTTCAAAGCATGAACATAAGAAGTGTTTCTGGTTCCAGGCTGCACAGAGATGTTGCCTTGTGAGAACACATCAGCAACTGGAAGACACTTGTGTGTTGAAGCTATATCTCATCAATTATGGCGATTTTGTGGCCAAGGTTGCTGAACTTTTACCCTGGATATAATGTCTTTACAATTTCATACTAATTGATTATTTTTCACAGAAAACTCTGTTGCAGCCGTCAAATATTGTCTTCCATTCTTCTCTATTGCGTTAATATAGGTGCAATACATTCTACTGATTGTGTCAATATTACTTTATGTGCATGCTTATTTTGATTGCCGATCGAGGGATGCTCAACCTGTATCGTTAAGGGCTAACAATGGATCTCAGCAGCTGATGGTCTTGGGCTTGGAATTTATATATTCCTATGGAGCATATTATCAAAGATGGTGTTGAGAGCTTAAAAAGCAAGGGCTTTTTTATTTCAGGAATGCATGCAGTAGCTTCCGCAGTGTAATCTGGGACGAGTGAAGACGTATATTTGATGCAAAAGATAGTCACTTCTTCTACATTAAATCCTGAAAATCTAATGGATTTATGATTAAGAATTTTTATCCTTTTTTTTTTTTTTTGTGTGTGGCTACGAGGATGGGCACAAAAATTGAAGTTGTTTCCCCTTAGGTCATTCAAGCTAAAACCCATACAATTTGACAACATTGACGACATTTGAATATTGTCCTAAACCTAAATTTGACCTTATAAAAAAAATACATTTTCTTGAATAAAAATAGCATTTCATTTATTTTCAATAGGAAAATTACATGTTTTAGAACATGCCTGGAAAAAAAAGTAATTCTTTAGGAGTTAGGAGAGGGAATTACGAATAAGCTTGAATCAAATTGTAAAGAGATTATCTTGTGAGGGGTCTTTTTGTAATTTAGCTAACAAAAAAATCACAGTCGTTTTAACTGGTGGCGAGAGCAAATGACATCTGTAGCTACGGTGTTTTCATTATCTAAAACCAATCCGTTGAATGCCTTGGCTCTCAGCTACATTTGCTGAATTAATTAAAAAGAAAAACCAATTAACCCCGAAAAGAAGAAGAAAAAAAAAGTTCAATCTCTGCAAATTCCCCCATCTTTGATCTTTGCTTTCCTCAATGGCAGCTTTTCGACCAGCGGTTGCCCTTTCAATTTTGTATTGCCTGCTCGGCCCCTTTTCTTCAGCTTCCAAAAATATCCTTCCTTCCGATTCAAATAAAGTCTCCTTGGCTTTATTCTACGAATCCCTGTGCCCCTACAGTGCCAATTTCATAGTCAATTACCTACCTAAGCTCTTCCAAGATGATCTGATCTCGATCGTCGATCTCCGCCTCGTTCCTTGGGGAAACGCCCGGCTCAAAGGCAACGACACCTTTGATTGCCAGGTCTTCTTATTAGATTCGACTGTGTTTTAGTTCAACAAAGTTTTCAACTGGGCTTTAATTTAAGTCTTTATTTTTCCCAAAAAGGCCATGACTTGTTTGCCTGCTTTTATATATTTATTTATTTTTTTGCAGCATGGCCCTGCTGAATGCTTGTTGAACACCGTGGAAGCTTGTGCAATTAATGCCTGGCCACAACTGGTGAAATTTTCACATTTGCACTGTGTTTTATTGTTGATTTGGCCTCAAAGTTTAATTTTTTTGGGACAGAACATGTCACAACTGAAATATATGTTCAAATAATTGGAAATTTGCTTCTGCCTTTTTCCAAGTTCCAATCTGCTAAATATATAATAAGGGTTATGTTGAAGGCAAGCTGTTTTGAATTTTTTATGCAGAATGACCATTTCCCCTTTATCTATTGCGTTGAGGCTTTGGTATTTGAGCGCAAGTACCTTGAGTGGGAATCGTGCTTTGAGAAGTTAGGGTTGGATTCAAAGCCTATTACCGATTGCTATGGCAGTGGCCTTGGGAAAGAGGTCAGTCTCTACTCTCTATGCTACAATTTTACTATGTTCGTTCATGTGATATGATATGAGTTTTATTTGTTAGCCCTCTCAGTTGAAGATTCTGTCAAGAATATGTTTATATTCACTTTTTTTTTTCAACTAAACAATTGAGATGTATGAATATTCTGAAGAATATCCTGTTGTATAAGTTACAAACTGGAAGAAACCCGAGGTGTGTGCATTTATTAGCACTTAAACAAGTTTAGCATGTTACCACAACTTTGACTTGTAATCTTGTGATACTTTTATTTGAGATTTATGGTGCACGAGAAATTTGCATCATCATGATGCCAGTACCTATAATAGATAGACATTCTCAATTCTTTTGTTCTCCAACTGATTTTAGCTAAGGGGATGTGACAAGCTGTTGTGTTATGTCCTACTGTGATTTCAACTGCCTGAAGAAACTCTACCAAAAGAAAAGCGTTTATACTTTACTGATTCTTATGAGGAACTCTGCTCATTGTTATGTGATTTGTACAAGTCACTATAGGGAAAAAAAAATGAGGAAAGCATCAAAGCAATAAATGAAACTTCGCCTGCTAGACTGGGTGAAAGTGGAAAGAGAAAATAGAAAGGACTAAGCACTGCTTAGCTGTATAATTGTTACTATAATTTTACTGTTACTGTCTCTTCATATAATTTGCTTTAATGTATTAACTCTTGGATTATGGTTGTTATCACTGTGAATGTGGTAAGTGTATAACTTTACAAGCACCTGCAATTCGTGTGTACAAAATTACCTCTGATAGAACTGGACTATTATTGTTCTTAGAAGATCTTATTCCAATTTTTGAAGATTTACTTGCCTGTCAGTTTCTATCATTCTGTCATTTGGTGATCCTTCATTGGTATTTAAAGTACTCTAAATGGGTAGGTTGTTTGTATTCTTTAGGGACAATAGTTTGCTCCTGTTCATGAATTTAGGTCTGTCCTATCATAGTTTATGTCATGTTGGCCAACTTTATTATTGTTATTATTATTTTATGTTCTTTCACCTCTTTCTTTTGTTTTTTTTTATATCATGTCAGAACATTATTCCATCATTCATAATTGAATGGCTTAATAGGGAATTTTTATCTTTATTCAGCTTGACCTACAATATGCAGCCGAAACTAATGCCCTCAAACCTCCTCATACATATGTGCCTTGGGTTGTTGTTGATGGTCAGCCACTTTATGAGGTTTGTTCCTTGAGTATCAGAACGATTGAAATTTATACTCCATCCCAACTTCGTTTTATTGCACCTGGGCAATAGAAGATCCCAAACACTTGTTCATTAATCCCAATCACTTGAACAGTTTCAATATCGATGGTATTCAATAAAAGGATGTTATATCTCTGATTGCAGGACTATGAAAACTATATAAGCTATGTGTGCAAGGCTTATAAAGGTGCTGCTCTGCCCAAGGCTTGCAGTGGACTATCCAACAATCAAATCTATGAGAAAAAATTTATCCATCCAGTTTGCTATAAGGAGATACCAGTACTAACATTATCATCAAGAACCATATCAACTGTGATGTCATGGATAAAGAAGATGGCAACTTCTATGTAATTGTTTTCAGTCTTATACATGCATAAATGTCCTGGTATACTATGTTATTTGGTTGGATTCTAGTTAGCTTGTTAATATGTATATAATATAGTCAGTGCATTGTGTAGCACTAGGACTGAAATGCATGTAATTTGAATCAGAATATAGACTTTGATAACTACTTGTCAAGACAAATCGCCTGAAAAATGTGCGCTTTGCTGATGGAAAAGTTCCCATCACTCATAGGCTGGAAGCGGAATAGGTGAAATTGTGCTAGTCTTACTACTTGAGGAAGCGGGTATTATATACATCTCGCATTTCCCAGTCATAGTTTTGATGGAAGCACGATGAAATGATTACCTAGTTGAACTCCTCAGATGAAGTGGTCGATATAGTCCGAGTGGCTACGAAATCTATTGGGCCATGCCTGCCCAGGTTCTTGCTGTCGACGACTCAAATCCCGTTGGTTTAAAGGCATTTGGCGGCTGCTGTGTAAAGTATGGGTCATGCTGGCCCAACGTAGTTGATCATCGGCTTGTATTCCCGGAGAAGCCTTTTGGACCTCAGATAAACCAAGACAGGCCAACCCAAACCTTCCAATGGCCTACACTATAACTTTAATGGGCTGATTCATCGTGCAAATTTTGCCGCTAAATTAACCTTAAATCAATTGTGAAAGGATTCCAGTTCCAGAGTGAGATGTCCTTTGTCCATACCATATATAGTTCAAAAACAAAGGAAAACAATCTTCACTACGGTGTGACTCGCTCTCTTTGCAACCCGTTCCACAAAAAAGAGAGAAAGATTACAGATTAATCTTAGAGATAAACCAATCTGGGGTACCATATTTTTTTTTATTATTATTATTATTATTATTATTATTATTATTGAGGATAAATCACGGGTACAAAATTGTTGATTGTAATTCGTAATAATTAGGTTAGGCCACATGGAATTTTGTGGAGTCAAAATGATGATATAATCATGTGGGAGCCATTATTAGTCATTCGATCCCCTTTCCTAGTTTTGTCTACTTGTTTATATTTTCGTAAAATCTTTTTGCAGACTAATCCTTCCAATCCATTTCCATTTTCCATGACCTACCATTCCCTTGTTTTCCTTCCTTCCTTCCCTTGGAAGAATAGGGATAGGTTAAAGGCAAAGGAGTCGGTAATTGAAATTTACAAGAGGATATAAGGAAAAAGGGAGGTCGAAGTGGAAGGAAGATGAAAGAGCGAGCAATAGCATATACAATCATGGGGCTGGGGCACCGTTTTGTCAGAGAAATGTACGCCCCTGATATGCTGTCGGCGACCGAAACAACAGTTTTTCAAACCAGCAGGGAGGGACCCACTGTCATACTAACATGCATTTCATTCATTTTTCCTCTTTCAATCTTTCTTGGCTTTTGGCTTTTACAGCTTTGCTTCTCTGTTCATCATCCCCTCTCCCTCTCTCTCTGCTAGCTGCGACCTGCAATGGCACCAACTTCACTTGTTACTTGTTACCTTCAATTCAAATTAAGTTCAGACCCCCTCTTCTTTTGGGGGGTTAAAACCTTTGCGTATGTATGATTCTTCTCCAAACAAGGCCCCATTTGCCTAGCCATATACTTCTTGTGAAAAAGATTACCACTTAATTTACATTAATTGGAGATACTGATGAGGTATAACTTACTAGTATAAACTACTGACAGAATTAATTTGTAGTAATAAATGAAAATTTCTGGCTGTGAGAAAGGTTCAAAACCATCTCAAGGATTTTTTTTTTTTTTGTCAAACTTAAAAGATGTAGTAGTATCAATATTTAAATCTTTCGCCAACTAGAGTAATTTTAGAGAGAAATACAAAAAAGAAGCGGAAAATATAAAACGAGTGGTGGGTCACAAATCTTGTGCATTAAAAATGTTTCTTTCAAGAAGGATCAATATTACTGTATTATTTTCTCCTAGGCCCTGGAAAAGGAAAAACAAGCGCTCATTGAAACGCATGCCGTGACATCAACGACGGTTTTCATTAATTAATTGGCCACTCACATTTTGTGCAAAAAAAAAAAAAAAAGAGAAAAAGCGTGAAATAATATTAAGGCAGAGCTAACAAATAACTTTGATTACTGAAATATGCTTAACTAATCTTCTAGAAACAAATGCGTCATCAATCAATCAATTATAATTGTTTTCGCAGTTTGCCATCAAAACTTGGGAGCTGGGATTACTTTTCCTACATTTTTTTTTTTTATCTCTCTTGGTATGTATTAACTGATTAATTTTTCTATTATTGCCAAAAATTCATCAAATAGCATATTATTTCATAACTAAATTATAATTCATGCTATACATGACATAATTTTATTTATTTAATATAAATATAAATATTAGTTTTTTCTTCAAAATTATATTCAAATCTTTAAAACTTATAACATATATAAATTATATATATATATTAATTTGTTATTAAAAAATAAATTTTTTGAAAACAATAAAAATTATATATTTTTTTGATATTTTTGTTTATAATAATATTTATATACCTGTAAGATTATATCAAATAAAAATAAAATATGCATTTCTTAAAAAAATAAAAATATATATTATTGAATAATAAATTAAATAATAAAAAATATTAATGTACTTTCACTTTAATAATCTTGACTAAATTATTATGTAAAATATGAAAAATGTTAAAAAATATGTGAAAGAAGAAAAAATAATTTGAAAAAAAATATTATTTTCCATAAAAATGAAACTATAATAATAATAATAATAAAATATATCCTAAAAAAATTATAAACAAAAAAAAATTGCAATAGTAATAGAATATACCTTGAAAAAAATTCCTCAAAAATAAAAAAAAATTATATATACCACATTACATTTTTAGTCTTACATTTACAGAAAAATTTGTTGGTGGCAATTAAAATTAAATAGATAATTTTTAAATTAATTTTTTAAAATTTAAAATGGATATAATAAGTGATAAAGATAATATTAAATTTTTTGCATTTATTTGACATATAAATTTGATAATTAGAGTTCAAATGGATATAATTGTTTTGATGATCTTATTATTTAAAATTTAAGATGAAAAATTTTAGAATTTTCAAAATTTTATATAAACTTGAATTTTTAGTGTCTTACATAATTTTTTTTTTTAAATAATTTTTTAAATCAAGTTAAAAAATATTGCTAAAACATTTAGATATACTTAATCTTTGTAATTTTTAAATATGTTTGAAAGATTTTGATAATTAAATAATTTTTTTAAAAAGATTATTTGGGAAACAACTAAAATTATTTATTAAAAATAAAATTCATTTTTTATATTTTTAATTTTAAAAAATATATATCTAAATTGATTTAATTTTTAATTATAATTTGAATAATTTTGATATTTGAATAAATTTAAAATTATATAATTTGTAATTAAAAGAAATTATCTTATTATTTAAAAAAACTATTTTATATATAATTTAATAAAATTATTCACATAAACATTTATATGATAAATTTATTTATGTATATTGTTATATAACATATATATATATTATATTCTAGGTTCCTTACTATAGCATTATTATATATCAATAGTGTGGCAGCTATTGATTCGAAGTGCCCCGAATTTAGTTAGGATTTAGTGAATTCTCGGCCAAAAAGAGATAAAAAGGTACTTGGGGGGGGGGGGGGAAACAACAACAGTTACAATAATAAAGGAATTATAAGAATCCAAGACATTTATAGGTCTTAATTAGGCAATTTGCTTTCTAACAACTTCCTAAATGAATTCATATCAAACCCCCCTTTCTTCTTTTTTTTTTTTCTCATTTCATCCAACAATTAACACCAAGCGATCTCTGCTACTTTTCATGCATCCCAATACTAGAGAGATCATATGATCAAGACACTCTCCAAGTTGATCATCAGAAATGATTGCCAAGAGCCTGCAACAGCCAGGGCAGGAAAGGGGTTCGTAGGGCCCCTTTTAAATTTGGTCTGTGAACCATAACATGGCCAAGTTCATGTAAAATGTATATGTGGTAAAAACGGTGGCGAGTACAGACTATGGCATTCCCCCACGTGTTAAGGAGCTGTCCGTTTAAAATTTTGTGCATACAAAAAAGGGCATGTGATTCCTTCTTTGGATGCAAATTGAGAGCTAAAATAAATTAACCATATATTCTTTTCGACCCATACGTCAGTCAATACCAACATTAGCCGGTGGTGCTAGACAAGACTAGTCGAGGCAGGTGCCTTTAGAGACTTCTCTTTCCCTTTCTTTCTATTCCGAGTCACCCCATATCTTAAATTAAATGAAAGTTCCATTGGGCGTTGCCGCATTGGCCCCCTAACAAGAGAAACTATGAATGCCCTAGGTAGCGACAAAAGAAACAAGTAAATCAGCAGCTATTACGATGAATCTTGTAACATTTCTCCTTCTACGCTTTCACTCACTCGATCGGAAACCTGCTGACCCACTTAATGTATTGACATGTAGAGATACAAAGTTGATCAAACAAGAGATTTAATTGGACTTCTCTTATTGTGTTTATCTTCTATATATTACTAGTCTTTTAACATTCTTGGTTTTGAACCAACGAGAATGATGAAAACCTTTGGTTTTCTATATGATGAAATCATGATCATCAGTTATAGAAACATGAATTAAATAATAATATAATAATTATTATTATTATTTTTTGATAAAAAAATTTTAAAGATAAATAAATTATTTAATTTTTTAAATTAAATTAAAATATTTAATATTTAATAATTTAAAATAAATTATTATAAATCATATATTTGAGATTACCTTAATAAATAATCATCGATAAAATTTAAATTTAATATTTTTTTATGAATCATAATTGATTGAGTTAACTATCTATTAATATAATATTATTATTATTAATAATATGAGAGGGTGATTAGATCTAGAGACACATGGGATCTACTAGCTTTTTCTTTTGACTTTTTGTGAAACCAATAGGGTACTTAAAGTTACAAACACTAGTAAATTAAGGAAAAAAAAGGTTACTATTTTATAAAGAAAAGATATTATAGCAAATAAATTTATTTATACCAAGTGATACTACAAAAAAGCTTAAGCCATGGAAAGAAAGAATAAAGTTTCCTGCAATTATGAGGGGATAAAAATGGATGCTGAAAAGAAGAAAAAGAATAAAAAGCCATAAAATGGGTGAACAAGAATAAAAAAGCAACACCAGAAACAATTTAAGATTACATATGATCATGAGAAGAGAGCAATAAATGAAGAAATGATCTAAATGGATATGGATCTACAAATGACGATAAGAAATGGGGTTTTGTTGGGAGTGACTGGTGGGTCTATGTTATTATAGCAAATTAGAATATTATATACCATAAAATAATATATATACTTATGCAATAAAATGGAAGAAAGGGTTGGCTACTGGTCCTTTTCACACTGAGCTGGTGGTTATCCTAACAATATAAGCGCAGCGATCACAATTATTATTTTAAATATTCATTGAAGCTTGTAGCACTAACTCTTTTTGGTGGTGTTGTTATCACAGAAAGAAATGTTGTTTTCATAGGTATCAGAGAGAGCGAGAATATGAGAGCATCAAGAGGAGAGAAACAGATAAATAGAGGGTTAATATCCTTAAATCCAAAAAAAAGGAAAAAAAATTTCAAAACCCAAAATCCTTGGATGAAGATATAATGGAGAGCACCTGAAACCAGAGAAACTAAAAGTACTAAGTATAAATTCAAAGAGGCGCACGTGTGCATATATCACTGCAGAATTACTATTGCCCTTTGGAGTTAGCCCAGCCAAACAAGGAAGACGGGACCAGATGCACAGTTGTTTAGAGAAATTTTATTGTAGTAAAATATTTTGCCAACAAGTGTTAAAAGTTCTGTTCAGTGTTGCCCTCTTTCCCAACAAGCCTCTTCTTGTCTCTCCGCTCCCCACACCAAGTACTTTGTCTAGCTACAAACAAATTTTAACCCAACCGTGATAGTAAAAGAAAACAAGAAAAAGATGCTGAATGAAATAAATTAAAAAAAAAACAGATATGAAACAGTTCAAAATTTAATGGTCAATTCCTTCTACATTGTGTATGACCATAATGGGAAGGGAGAAGAATAAACCAAGGCGTGGAATTTTCTTCTTTGTAAGGAATTCCATACAAATGCATACATCTGACTGGAGATTAACAGGTCAAAAAAATGAAAGAAACAGAAAACCAATAGCAATCATCAGTTTCCTTGATGACATTATAGGAATTCAAATTAAAGTGACCCATTTGCTCGTTGAGAAAAAAGATAATACATATAGAAGCAAAAAGGGTTCTTCTTTTTCAAGGCTAATTGTGTGTACTTCCTACGTTCTACCATCATAACAACTCCAACAAAAACATACAAGAAGGAGTAGAAGGGAAAAGAAAAAAGAAACAATAGATTGAAACTTCATATATATCTTCTTGTTTTTTTATTTCAATTTTACATGTATGTTTTTATATGTAGTCGTAATCATGTTCATTCATATGTAACAAGAAATGAAGAAACTAGAGAAGATAGAAGTCTTATCAAATAGAAAAAAGAGAGAGATTGTTCGAAAGAGATTAAAACTAGATTTCTAACTAAATTTGGTTCATGGGATAGCTATCCACTTTTCAGACAGAACCGTCAAATATATATATAACTCGTAATCATATTCAAAACAGCCGTTAAAAAAACAAAACTATACGGTAGTTGTGGTCGCAGCAGCAGCAGCAGTGACAGTAACAACATTAGCCGCAGTTCCACCACCAACGCCGCCGCCACGCCCTCCACCATCGACCGCTTGAGTGAAAGCCGCCGACACATTGATCCCCACAGCCGTAGTTGTGACAGGAGTAGGCCTTTTTCGCTTCTTCTTCTCGTAAGGAATCCCTCTAGCTTTAGCCTGCCCTTCTCTGACTTCCCTCAAATAAATCCTCACAGCCTTTGCGCCAAAAGGGTTTGATTCTGGACATCCACCGCTTTCTTCATAAGCAGCTCTCAGCCGTCCGATTAGCGCGTCTAGGCTACCCCACGCTTGTTTGAGTGGGCAAGAGCATGGATCAGGTGGGTTTGGATGTCCGAAATAAGGACAACCGGTTATGTGAACCTTAGTTTTGCCAAACTGGTCAAGGTAGTTCAAGAACTCAATTACGTGTGCGCCACTGCAACGAGCTAGTGTTAATGGGGGCTTATAGTTCTTCAAGTACTGCAAGAAAGTGTTCCAGTCTCGACGCTTTTGTGACTCGTAGCGACTCGGTGGAGCTGGGGAAGAAGATGACTCACCAGCTCCTTCTTGTGAAGCCGTGGGCGGCGGTGCTGTAGCTGATGGTTGAACCTCGTTGATGCTATTCAGGTTGGTTGCAGCAGCCCCTCCAGAAGCAGAATCCATTGACTTTTAAAAAAAAAAAAAAAAGTAAAGTGTCGGGTTTTGGTGATAATCGGCTGTGATTAATTTTCCGACCTTTTTTTTTTTATCAACTTGGATTTTGTTTTTGTCTGAATTCCAAGTGTTGGAACGAAGGGTGGGCTTTTCTTTTCCTGTTGTCTATCAACTCTATAGAAGAAGACTATCTAAACTCTAAGCTATCCATCAGTCACAAACTCTTTGTTAGCTGGTTCTGTTTGATTAGGTTAAAAATAGTAATCGACAGAGGGTCCACCGCCGGCTCTCCCCGGCCCCCGTGGGATCTTTTCACGGGTAAGATTTGCTTGTTTTTTTCTTTATTCGTGAGAGAGAAGATGATTTTGAAAGAACGAAAGAAAATTCAAATGAGAAAAGGGCTAGAGACAGAGAAAAAAAAAAAAAAAAAGAACGAATAACGCTGGTTGATGGGACGTTCAAATGCTACGCGTAAGTATTTTATAATTAAGATTGTGAGAATTGAAAATTGGAGGTAACGAATTAACTCGTTTTCCTTAATAATACTATGAAAAAACTAATATAAAATTTTTGAAGGAAAGTCTTTGAGATTTTTTAATATAAATTATTTAATTAAAATTTTAATATATAATTTAAATAAACAAATAAATAAAATTTAATGAAAAGATTAAATTTAAAATATATTTATAATTTAAATTTGATTTAAATTTATTTATTCATATAAACTATGTTAAAATTTTTATTAAAAATAATTATTTAAAAATATTTTTTAAAATTTTTAAAAAAATTTATACATTTAATATATATAACACAAAAAATTTAAATTATTAATTTTAAATAATTAGTTTTAATAAAAAAAAAACCTTCACGCATTAATCTAACAACTTTATCTAAGTTTTTTTCAATAAATTTTTTTTTGGTAAGAAACAAAAATAACTTATATAAAATTTTTGAAGGAAAGTCTTTGAGAATTTTTAATATAAATTATTTAATTAAATGTTTAATATATAATTTAAATCAACAAATAAATAAAATTTAATGAAAAGATTAATAATATATAAAAAATTTTAAATTTTAAATTTATAATTTAAATTTGATTTATATTTATTTATTGATATAAACTATGTTAAAATTTTTATTAAAAATAATTATTTAAAAAATATATATTTTAAAATTTTTATATATTTAATATATATAACAAAATTTTTAAAATTTTAAATTTATTTAATTAATTTTAATAAAAAAAAACCTTCACGCATTAATCTAATAATTTTATCTAAATTTTTTTCAATAATTTTTTTTTATAAGAAGTAAAAATAGATAAATTATTCAATCTTTTGAATCAAAATAAGATGTATCATATTTAATAATTAAGATAAATTATTATAAATCTTACATTCGATATGAGTTAAATAAATAATTATATGTAAGACTTGAATCTAAAATTTTTTCATAAAAAAAAATAAACCACCAATCACTTATTAATTTTTTTTCAATAGTATTAATAATTCGTTATTTTGCGTTTGTTGGCGTATATTTTTTTTAGGTCACATGGTGGCCCCGATGGACGTGACATGGTTCTCTATTGACCCCCCGGCGGCCCCTCCACTCTCCCATCTTTCTATTCATGATCGCCCCTGTATCGTCGATCACTCGCAAGGTTTCTGTAACTCGTCCTGCTCCTGCCTGCCTTGTCCCTCCCATACAAACAAAAACAAAAGGGGGGTTACCTAGTTGCGTGTGGAACACTTTGGGTATTTGAGAGTGCGGGACGTTTAGGCTGCAGTGAATGGGGGGGTCTCACTTAGGTCAAACTTTTCTTGACCATTTATGTAAGTGACCGCTGGGCGCTTACAGTCGCCGGTTTAAAATGGTTTCCTGTGTCTTTTGCATGCTAGTGTATCTGTTTCTGTGCAACGTTATTTCTGACTTGCCACCTGTACTCTGATCCAATTTTCAAATACAATTTTTTTTAGTATTTTCTTTTTCTCTACCTTAATTTGTTTATGAAATTATAATTTTATATATATATATATGCAAGTAATGCAAGTAGCTATTAGTTGAATTATTAATGTCGACATGAATAGGACTATATATAAGTGTATAGGCTTTAGACAATGTCTGCCATGCATCCATTTTAATTCTTTCTTCAAATACTCAATCAATAATTTTCAGATGTTGACTCTTCTCTCTCTTCACATTTTGGTATGTACAAATTAATGATACAATTGTATTAAAAACTAGAAATCAATAAATCAAAGTAATTTTCAACTAATCAATCAAAGCAATCTTGAAATACTTTTTAAACTGCTCATCAGTTCACTTGTAAAATTATCTTGCTTCCTTCTTCTATTATAATATATATTATATTTTTTAATTATGTTTGTCTTGTTATCATCTCACATTAATTATATTTTAAAGTTTTTATGATCATAAGTAGAATTTCTCCAATTATTATTAACATAAATTGTTTCACCCAGATACTTAATATAGTATCAAGTCGATGTTTTAACATAGATGAAAAGTCTTTCCAGGTTATTCAAACAAGTTAAATTGAAGGCATTCAAATGAACAATGTTGGCCCTAACCAGGAGAGCTTGTAGAGCAAACTCCCCCAATAAACCGCTGTGCCTAACCAGAAAATCGAAGATGTTTGTGGCATACCATGTCAGGGAAGTCTTGCTTCGTATGATAATATAATATTCTAACAAATGACCTCTCACTTTGACATGATTGCCAGATTTGACTTGATGAAATGATGAGGCAGTGCTGCAAAAACCCATGTCAAAATAATAATAATTATGATCACTAATCTATTTAATTTTGTTGCCAATCCAAATACAGCAAAACTGCAAATGTAGAACGCCAGGGCTTTCTACTTTTGGATTAATTGATGGATTAAAAGATTTTATTTTTTGGTGTTATAAAAGTCACCAAAGCTTTCAAAGAGAGGGTGGGTCCAATATAATAATTTCCATTTTTTTATTTACTAAATTATTTTTATATTTGGTGAAATGGTGGTTTTGTTTTCCTTTTATGTAATTTGTGGACAAAGTTTTATGATACTGATCAATATTTAAAAGTTGAGTTTATAAATAAATAAACAAACATGTTTTATATATAATTATTATCACAAATAGTAGTGTTCCATGACCCAAAAAGTTTTTCTTTCTTTTTATTTGAATTAAACAACGAAGATTCGGTTCATAGATGAGGAGTGAAGGGCTCCGTTATTCCCGTGATTTTTTTTTTATTTTTTATTTTTCATAATACAGAGACAAAACGTAACATTAAAAAAGAAAAAAAAAAAGGAAAAAAAACAAAGAGACAAGCAAACTGATTAATTAGGTAGGTTATCCAGTTCCGTGATACGTATTTATGCACAAAATGAAAACCCTTCTCCATAACCAAACAAGTTAGAGTTGCTTGGTTACAAATAAAAAATTAAAAATTAAAAAAAAACCCAACATTTAACAAATTCAAATCTAAAAAAATTATTGAATTGCATACGTTATAAAATATTATCTGCTCTGAAGTTCAAATGTCTATTATCATGATTGTCTTTTAAAAGAAATTGAATAGGAAACAATGGTTTATGCTTATAAAGCCAAGGCGCAGTCCTTAATTAAAATATATTCCTTATGCTTTCGCATGTCGAATAAATTTTTTTAAACTAATTAAGAACTTGCTTTATTTAGTTTTGAGTTTTTACAGACGGGTGAAAAATATTGTAGTTTTGGTTGAGGTCCCAATGGGGCAATGGAAGGGAAGGGAGGGGGGGGGGGGCAGTGGGTTTCTAAATGTCAGTGGAAATGAGAAAGTCAATGTGGTGGGGAAATAGTCTGCCATGCAAGCGGAGAAGGGAAATGGAATGGGGTAAGTAACGCGTGAAACTGATTAAACCTCTGCTCCATTTTTGAGTCACTGCAGAAGGGTTCCTCTTCCATCTCCTTTTACCTTGCTACCATGCATGCATGGTTTCACCGTCTTGGCTGCCTAATTTAGGCCATTTGGGTTCACAAATTTTTAAAAATAACCTTGAGATTATGTACTAATGTTTTAATTAACTCTTTCTCTCTTTTTTTTTTTTTTTTTTTTCATTCCCTTCAAAACATATACTTTGCTCTTTTTACATGAAAATCATTTTGTCTATTATGTGTACATAGACCTGGATGTCAATGTTGAAATTAAGCACGATAGTACAGTGTTTTAGGTAATTATATAAGAATAAGAGGAGAAGAGGGAGAAGGATAATTTTCCTAATCGGAGAGGTAAAAAAAGTCTAAGAGATAGAAATGAAAGATAATTAAATTGATGATTAACAAAACAAATACACTTTTATATGATTAATATAAGCTTGAAATGACAACACAATAAGAAAGAACATCCAGCTAGCTAGCCACAGTAATTGACGTTTCATTTTACAAAGGAATCTGACTCCTCAATTAACTTTGTACAATCATGCCAGATAGTCCTACCAAAACCAATAACTCTTGTCACCATTAACTTCTCCAATAAAAAAATGTAAAAAAAAAAAAAAAACTATTGTAAATTGAAAAAAAAAAAAAAGGAGATATTTGAGCTTATTCTTGCATTTTGCATTGAGTGCACGTCAAGGCAATGTATATGAATTACCAATATCTATGTTGAGATTAGACAATCATGACTGTATGAATGTTTTATGAGTAAGTATCTTTTCTTTCTTTTGGCATAATGCAAAGTTTTCTCAAGAAATGAAAAATGAACTATTAGTATAGCTGACAAGATAACTGGTAGATTAGTATTCAAATTTGATCATTTTCTCATAGTAGACTGATCTCATTAGCAAATCAATTCATCCTTTTTGTACCTTACATATATGCGGGGGGAATTCCTTCTAGCTAACAATGGATAATGAAAAGGATTGGTTTTAGAGCAAGCACCAAGCTAACCTAGCTAGAAGGATAAAAACATCTTTAATTTTCATGATTTAATTTTGTTAAACATTTAACTTAAAATTAATTGACGGTAAATAAAGTGGTCTAACTTGAATATAAGATTATAGGATATGAAAATTTTATTAGATATAAGATAATTCACTTTAACAAATTTAAATTTAAGATCCAATGAAAAAAAAATGAAAGTGAAAACTCATGAAGGAATAGAATGGTTAAATCGTATATTGTAAGCAATCTTTAGGAAAATAATTTCTTAAAATGGATTTTTCTTTTTATGCAAAAAAAAAAAAAAAGCGCATCCATTAATGCTTCTTTTTCTCAAAATTTCTCCAATGGTAGACACTAAATTCAAGACAAAAAAAAATGTCAATAACTTGATAACCCCACACCACAAACAATTCCCTTTCTATTTTTAACAGTTAATCATTAGGATACGAATTTATAATGTTGATTTAAAATGTATATATATAGCTTTGGATCCATAATATACCCCACCAACCACCAAAGATTCCTTGTAATCATTCAATATTTTGATCAACTCCTCAACCCAACACCTCAAACAATCAAAGCTACGCTTAGCTAAGAATACCAAAACCCAACTAGCTCATCCTTGTTTGAATTATTCTTCTTTTTTTATTAGCAAGAACTCCATTATCATTTATAAATAATAATTCTTAATTTATTAGGAACCAATCTCTAAGATGCCCTCTCTCATAATGCTTAGAAATCGAAAAGCATATTAAAAGTATGGTGATCATATCTAATTGCCAAGATTATTCATTTATTTGAGAGCTTCAAAGCTAAATCTGTTATGCAATATGAAATAGTCAAATAGCCACTGGAAAACTGTGTTTTATTGAGTTTTAGAAAGACAAGAGAATCCTTGTTTTGAAAACTCTAAAAAAGGATTTTAGCTAAGCTAATATTGTCAAATTTAAAGAATAAGAAATGGGTATTTTGATATTAATTGCTTAAATTTTCCATGTTGCCGAGTTTTACAGTGGAGAGTCAACTAAGAAATGATCAAAAGATGCAATGCTTTCCGGGGCTCACAGGCAGTACAAAATTTAAGTGAAAAAAAGATTTTAATGCAAAGCACTATGATTGTGCATGATCTTTGTCGAAAGCATTGATGGTTGTATATCTTGAGGGTATCTCCTCTACCATATATTTCGGACAGAGGCCTTTGTTTTATTTATTACACCCTCACACACCATTCATACTCTAGTACTGTCCCCATTCTGAAGTAGGGTCTATTTCCTTGTGATGTTGACCCCAAAGTTATGAATGCTTTGAAATGTCTGACTTTTTGGACAGTCATATATATATATATATATATATATATATAACCCTAGGATTCTAAATGCCATTTTTATAAAATGGTTAACTGATAATTTATATATAATTATCAATGCAAAGAAACTATGGAGGTTTTGACATGCATGGACCAAATCAGCATCTACAATTAATTAATAAACTTATTATTACGTATTCTAAAGATGAAAGAATAGTGAGATCATGGGCTTAAAACAAAATTTAATTTAAGTATCATAAATGAAGCATGGTTATTTTATATTAAGAAAGTCAATCAAATCAAATCAAATCAAATTAAAACATCATTATTATTATTTAGGGTAAGCTTAAAAAAAAAAACAATTGTTAATACATAACCATTGCCAAACAATTTATTCACTATGCTTATTTGATTTGATAATAGTAGAGATCATTACCTAAGAAAACAATGGAATAACTTTTTTTTTCCTTTTTTATGTTATTCAAAATTATAATAACAAGTTTTCCATAGTAAATTTCTGTAGTGTTCGAGCCTAGATAGACTCCAAGAATCAAAGATTGTATAAAAAATTTCATGACTTGGATTTGGAGTAGACTTCAGCTTTCGTTGTTTCTCCTTGACTGAAATGGGAAATTTTTACTCAAATGGGACGATTACGGCCCCACCCTTCCATAGCTTACGTATAAATGTCGTGAGCATCACGCATACGGTAACATAAGGCCCTAAAAAGTTAAATTTGGACCGTCCTTTGATGGGCCACCCATGTAATAATAACCCCTCTTTTTTTTTTTTTCACAAAAAATGAGTTTTTTTTAACAAGAAAATAGATTTTTTTTTTATTTATTGCGGATGTTGAAATTTATTTTTGTTTATTTTGAATTCAATGGATTAATCTAAATCAATTCTTTAGACTTTTCAAGACATTAGAGATTTTAGTTTTGACAAAAATATAATAATAATAAAAAAAAAGCTCAGAACAAGTTTGTCAAACTAACATGCTTTGCAGATTAAAGGAAAAGAGAGTTGACAAGCTGTCCAATCCTACGCCACCATGCATAATGCATTTTCAAGTCTCCTCAATCAAATTTGTGATGTTTACGCAAATCATGAATCCTAAGTTTAGCCATTCGTCAAATCTATAAGGAAAGATAAATCACTCTTAAAATTCATACATACATGTTAAATATCACTTAAGTTTAAAAATTTAAATTATTAGGTTCTAATTTGTGATATTTACGCAAATCATGAATCCTAAGTTTAGTCAAACATCAAATTTGTAAGGGAGATAAACCATTTTTGGAATTCATAAGAACACATCAAAGAACCCATACATACATGTTAAACATTGATGGAAGCACACCAAAAAATTCATACATACATATTGGACATCACTTAAGCCCAAAAGCTTAAGCTGTTAGGTTTTTGACTCCTTCATGCATATATAAAACATCTCACACGTGTGAACCATATCCCAACACTTTTTCTCACTCCCTTGTGAGTTTTGATTACGTCCCACCTCAGCCCTTCTGTGCGAGTAAATTCTATCAACACCTTTTTTAGGTTAGGCAACTTTACATCTCTAGTGTGCTAAATCTTATCAACACCTCATTTAGATCAAGCAACCTCACATCTTTAGGACGCTTTTGGGCCAGATCATAGCACCCAACCTTCAACCCTACCACTTAGATAGTCTCAATGCTCCCTCTAACTTATACTCCAGGTTGACTCAACATATGCGAGTAAATCCTATCAACATCTCCTTTGGGTCAGGCAATCTCATATTTTTAATGCGCTAAGTCCTATCAACATCTTCTTTGGACCAGACAACCTCACATCATTAGTACACTTTTGGGCTAAGTCACAGCACTCAACCTTCAACTTTGCCACTTAAGTTGTCTCAGTACTCTCTCAAGCTTACGCTCCAGGTTGATTCAACATATCACCCACTTTGATGTGCCATATTTGAATATTATCATATACTCGCTGCATCTAAATCGAACATTTTAAATATTGATGTTCCCCCTCTAGCAATACCACTGGAACTCGAACTCGTAATCTTAACTGATACTAGTTGTAAGGGAGATAAATCACATTTGGAGCCTATAAGCATACACCAGATAGCCCATACATACATATTGAACACTACTTGAGCCCAAAAGCTTAAGCTGTTAGGTTTTTAAGTCTTTCATGCATATATAAGACATCTCATTCAGATTTTTTAATGATGTAAGATTCGTTACTCACACGTGATTTATATTCCAACAAAATCCTGATTAAAACAAAAGTAACCATCCTTAACTTCTGCCAGAGGCTCATTATGAAAGAACGAACTATACTCTACAATAAAAACAGAAAAAAAAAAAAAGAAAAAGAAAAAGAAAACAAAACTACTTCATCTAGAGATGCACTGTCTATAAAATGCAAAAGAATTGGTTTGCCAGGCAATGTCCTATGGCAGTGGCAATCAATTGCTAAAATTCTAAAGGGTGGAAATAGACCCATCAATACAACAACAAATCATTTATACAACATTATTTTAAAGAAATTAATCATATGAGGTGACAGAAAGTGCTACCCGGAGATCATTTGAGGTTCCACATATATACATCCGATATGTTTCTATTTCCTGTTGATAACCCCTGGGACTGCTGACTGCATAGTGACTGCCACTGGTGCTGTCACGCTTGGAAAAGATGATCTCCCTGAGGATCGGTTCATGGCCGTTAAGAACATTTCCCATGCTTAAAACTTTTCTCCACGACTGATTAGCAACGGGAGGCGTAAACATATTTGACACAACTTGTCTCTCTTTCAGCCTTAGTTGCAGCTTCATGTCAAAATCCTAAGCAACAATAATGTTCGCATATATTGTAAACTCAAGACAATTGCAGGGAAATTTCAAGGGATGCGCAAACGTTTTGATTAGAAAAAATCAAATTAAATCTAAATTCAAGTTTACATACCAATCTCAAACAATATTGAACAGTAAAATGCAATACTTGTGAGCTTATATTTTTTATTTTGATATTAGTCATAAGTCACAACCTGAAATCAAATGGACTTTTCAAAGGAATGGTCGACTGAAACAGTGAACTGCTGCAGTGATTCACTAATACCCATGAAAAAAGAGGGATTAATCTGCCAGAATGCTATAAGTGAGGAGATTCATTGCATGGAGGCTATTTACCTTCTGAACATCTACATCAGCTGAGCCCATTCCCGTGGTTTGTAGGTAAAAGTTGTAGTAGTCACTGAAAATAGCTTCATAGATGCTAGGTGCTTGTAGAAATTTACGATGAAGGGAAGCTGCGAGTGTTAATAACTTCTCAACATGTTCTAAGACAACACAAAGCCGTCTGAGGTCTTCAATTGTCTCACTGTTTTCAGATAATGGCTTCACTGGAACATACACAAGAGCTTGAAATTTCAATGACCTCAATTTCGAAGAAGTGTAAAATTTGCAAGAATGATGAACAATACCTTGCAAAGGCCTTAATGTAGATGCCATAGTAAGGTAGAGTTGGTCCATTTTAGTGGTCATCAGCTTCAAACTTCCAAAATTTGTCTGGTTTAGAGTGTCAGCTGAGGCTCTGAAGGCAGTACAAACCATTTGCTCAAGCAACTGATGGGGTCGCACAGTTTCCAGGTAATGAAGGATCTGTAGAGTTTAAGAAGCCAGGAAGGATCAAGCTTAATGCATCAAAGAAATAGAGAAGAACAGTTATAACCAAGCTACGAGGTTTGAGCAAAGTTTCAAGTCCAAATCTTAGCTTAGCATATAATCAGAAGTCAAGCATGAAATTGTTTCCAAGTAGCCTATCACGTCAGGTAATAAGCCTATGCTTTTGTCAGTTGAGTCTTCATTTGAGATCACTGAAGAAAGGCCCAGAATGATGCATTGGTACTAGGGCATTTGTCTTGTTTAATCTAGAGGAGAAGTCAACCTTCAGGTTTCAAATGTATACATATATTTATATATAGGTACAACCCAAGTATGCGGATGTCACTTTTGGACTTCTTTTGCCTGTAAATTAATTAAATTGGGCACTAAGGGAAGCATTTGCCTCTGGAAACATCACCATCACAAACCACCTTGGGAGTAAATAAGCAGTCTCCCATCATCAAAGTCAGGAATAATGAAACAAGCTAAAGATAAATTCTCAAAATCAGCATAAACTGTGGCATTTTGAGATTAATAATCTTGCCCTAGAAGATTATGTTGGCTAAAAAGATATTTCAAACTCTTACAAAACCAGAAGTCCAGGATATACATGAAGAAGGCTTCTCTGCAACGAGTGAAGTCATATGCTATCTTTCTATCAGATCCAATCTTTAGTATCTTTTAGGTCAAAGAAACCAAGGGGGGGAAAGGAAAAAGATTGTTGTTGGGGGGGGGGGGGAAGAAATATTACACAATAGTATTATAAGCAGAAATCAAAATGTAAAAAAGGTTCATTCTTCCACAGTCCAAACTGACCTTCTCTCCTTCTCTGTTTGGATCCAGCAGTGGTTTCTGATCATAAGCTGGCAAAATAGGAGCATCATTCCAAATCTTTCGCCACAAGTTCCCGTCTCCAGACATCCGCTGTGAAAGTCGTCCTCGGGGAGGCCAGTCATCCTTAATACCCTCTGCAAGACTTTTGGACAGACAATTTGCTTCGCTTCCATCATTCTCCCAATCGCCAGGTGAGTGCCACCGGATAAAATCTTCAAAAACAGCATCTGGGTTTGCAGCTTTAAAGGCTGCCATGTCTATTTCAAAATTAGAAGAGTTATCAGTAAAGATGTGCAACAAAGCATAAAACAGACTTAACTGAGCACATATTTGAGACTTTGAGCATCAAACTTATGACAAAAGAAGGTGAAACACAGAAGGAAGAGACAATTTAACATCTGATGTCATACAAACCTGGACATTATTGTCTCTGTCCTATTTGCACTCATACACCAACAATTTTACCTTAATTGGGAGGGCAATTTAGAATCACCTACCCCTTATCTGTTTCCAAAGTGAGTGCCTACATGCAATGTGTCACTGCTATGTAGAGGTAGCTATAGTAATTCAACATCCTCTTCCCAGACAGAAAGTTGAAACACGCAATTCCATTCATGCAGAATGCAACAAAGATTACATAATTGCTTAGATCAGATTCATTGAATTTCGGAACTGTTGAACTGGGATTAAAATTCTGCACAGGAAAGTTCTAGCAACAAACAGCATCTCTAAAGATTTCTAAATGCAGAGGGAGATAGTCTATGTGCCAACTATTCAACAGTTTGTATAGCTCCATAACTAATCCCCAACAGGACAAGATGTGCATGTTGAAAAACTTTGTTCATGTTTGGTTTCCCAATTCAACATCAAAGGCATGGTTCCATATAAAATGAATTTAGTAATCTCTTAAAATTATATCTGCCACTGGCAATATCTCATGACTTACAAAATAATATAACAAAATCTACACTTAAGAGGAAGAACGCTTAATATAGTTATTACCTGAAGATAATGTTTCTCTCTCCAACTGTGCAGAAAAGTTCTGTAATGAAACAGTAAACATCTTCCTGAGCTACTAAATAATTAAAGTTGTTCAAGAATCAAGACAACATGAAATAAAACAAATCCAATAACCCTTTTTATAATCATGATAGATGAGATATCGAAAGATATATGTACAAAGGTTAATATATTGCAAACTGTGACCAGCAAATTAGACACAATTCATGATTCAGATAGCCATATAAAAACAAAGTAACAAGCAAACATCCATTAGCCACTGTATAATGAAGGAATTATGATATTGAATTGCTAGATGGAGTGTTGCAAAAGAAAGGCAACTTGTAAATTTTAATTATTTAGCACAATGAAATCAACTCCATTAATTCATTGGTGACAGAGCTAAACAGTAAACTAAAAGAAGCGGCTAGTTTCAGTTTTGTGTTTTTGATTGTTAAAGAGATGTATAACATTAAAATGCTTAAGGCACATTGAATCTTACTTTGGCTTGAGAGAACTAAAATGTTGCAAAAAGGTAGAGGGAAGACAGGACATAAATTATCCGTACCAAAACCAATTTAGATGCTCAACCTGGTACTTTGTCAAGCAAAATACCAACATCTCCTTCCAGTTAATTCAAGTATATGTTTAATGGTCATAATACAACTAAGTCTAAACTGTTCTACCACTGACTGAATCCTAAGAAACAATTAAGAGGTGATAGAAATCAGGTGGCTACCTTGACTAATTCCATGTTTAAAACATAGGACTCCCAGGTGACATGTTTAAGATTAATGGCTAGTCGGATGCAACAAAAAAGAAAAAATTGACATTCATAAACAAAAGATTTCTAAAGAAATTTAGGCTTACAAATGAATCACCAAAGGCCTCAACAGCACGGAGTCGTTCTTCATGCATGTCTTCTGTCATGAGTGGTGCATTCTACAATGATTCAAGGAAAAAGACAACTGCTATTTTAAACATACTTGTAGGAGATTATTTAGTGAAAAATAAACAATGAACAACACAGAGATATAAGAGAAACCTGTGTAAATGGAGCATGCAAGCTCTGACACGATTTCAGAAGCTTCATAGACCCTACAGGACCAGCTGAGCCTCTCCTAATAGAATCTGAAGGACTTTTATCAGCAGAATGCGCATCTTGAGAATTTGTACTAAACTTTGATAAAACTGTTTTAGATTCATTAAAACCTTCTGGAGTCAAGGGACTGCAAAAAACCAAAAGGTTCTTATCATATTTTTATTACAATTCTAGTCCAAGTAAAGGATGCACAACCTATTGGACAGTGCAGTGCAAGTTCAGACCTTATTTATGAATTGACAAATTTGTTCTCTCATCTCTATTTCATTGAATCCTTAAAGAATTATAATAACTTACTAATTACTGTGATGTGGAAAAATATTACTAAATACATCAAAATGAACCTTCCAACTCAGGAATTCTAGCCATGGAATGATCCCACCTTACATATGTGCTGGAGTAAACATAACTGACCAAGTTGAATTAAAGCATAGCCAGCATCTCCTACATCACTTATTGCAAAATGGACCACCTAGTCAGGCAACAAGGCACATAGATTTATCATTGATATCATCTTGACTAACCCGCTCATTCAGTCTTTTGCAACTATCAGGACAACAAAGCCAACTACTTTGTAACTATGTAATTTGCATCTATAGATGACAGTAGAAGCACTTTTTCTTATTCAATCATCCAAACTTCAAAGCATTCTTTTATGGCTTATAAGCAAAAGTATCTCAATCTTACTAACTCTGAGGGCAGAGAATGAATGCATCAGTGTCATCATAAGGATAAATTAAAATGGATCCACTAGTGGCCAAATAATGATTAATGTCTCTGAAATAATGTAGCTAAAGCAAAAGCAGAGAACAAAAGGATTTGGCAAAGCCATTAAGGACAGCAAATTCTTATGAAGAAACCAAAGAACTCTCACTTGCTTAGTTCACCTGTCATGTTTCCCATCAAAGCCTTGACTCTGAGCATGAAAGCTAGTCGACTCTCCAACTTGAATGTCTTCCTGCATTTTCCGTCAAATGAAAACTTCAAGCCAAAGACAAATATGATGAACTAGGTCCGGAAGGGAAAAGTGGAATAGATGTAGCAAGAAAGAGAGAAGGTTGAAAGCAGGAGAAGAATAAGGGCTACCCCCTTTTTCTTGTTTTCCACCACGCCTTACTATCAAATACAATAAGCACTAGAAACGGTGAAGGAAAAGAGAAGACAAATGGTGCTTGCTACCTCCATATGTGCAAACTCAGCATCATTACTTCCAATACAGTCTTGAAATTCTTCATTCAGTTCACGCTTCTTCTCAATGCATATTGCAAGCTGATGAACAAAAGGACAAAGTGAAATAATTTAGTGGTCATCATATTGCTTTAAGGAAAAAGAAAAAGTGAAAATATTAAACAACTAACTACATAAAAAGGATAAGATGCTTCAGCAAAAAGTCCCTACTTCAAGAAGAAAACTATAGGCAAAAAAGGATCGTACAAGCCATTGATGACGTAATGCAGCAAGCTCATTTTCTATAGGTCTAAGCTTAGTCTGCACTAAAGTTTTATAAATCACAATATAGCATGCATCCATTCAATGTAATTGAAGGCTCTCAAGATTTAGAGAACCATTTTACAACAAACACACGTTTGACCTAAAGGGTTTGTAATAGAAAGCCAGCAGATAAGTTAGAGCAGCAAAGATAATTCAGAAATTTGCTATGGGTTTCATGAAATAAGTGCATGACAAATACATCTATATTTTCTTCATTTTCCCCTCAAACTTGAATAAACTGAATTAAGGGCACAAGATACTAGACTATGAGAAAATTCTAAGTCTTAAAATTAACAGTATAAAAGAATGTAAGAGAAAGGAAGTCAATAATAAAAGCTCGATGCATTATAGGAAGGTCAGTTCCTTTAAAAGCCCTATATTTCCACTAATATTAACTGACTTCACTTGACAAAAGCTGTCCAACAATGATCATTAGATTTTATTACCATTTGTAGTTTCTGGTTGATTAAACAAGTTGCTAGGTCAATTGAACCATTGGCTGGCATTTTAGGCAACGGCTGTGACTCTTCCCAACACCAACGAATTTCTCGAACAAATTCGATCCAGAGCACAGCAATGGCTAAACACACAAGAAAAATAATCAACGCTTAGTCAAGGAAAATGTTACAAAGTCAAATACAGATATTTTGCTTTCAAGACAATTTATCATGCATGATTTTCACACCTACCACGTATGTTACAATTGCCAAACCATAATGAGTGTAAACAGAACTGTGAAAAAAGAGAATCAACAGGTGCGCCTTTAATAGCTTGAGAACTATTATGTTTGCCTTTAGCAAAATCAGGAAATTGGAGACCTGTTATGTAAAATTAGAAAGAAACAAGCGAACTTTAAACAAGCTGTTCTCCCTTCAGAAGTCATGTCAAGACAGAGAATTAATACTCATAGCAAGATGTAAAGTTAGATAATAAGACCTAAAACTCAATGAAAAATATTTTGAATAAGAAACTACTTAAGCATGTAAGCCAAGCCGACCATGTCTACCATAGCCTCACCAACTTATCATTACCTAATCATGAGTCATGAGCAAAGAGAGCATTTTTCTTTTTTCTTTTTTTTTTTTTGGTCAAATTCTAGCAAAAGATACCAAGATGGAAAAGGTAACTTAAGCCACAGCAGTAAACATCGTAGACTTTAAATAAGCATAGAGAGAGAGAGAGAGAGAGAGAGAGAGAGAGAGAGAGAGATAAAGCATGCAACAGATTCTTCATCGTATGATACATCAAAATGCTTAGTAAAAAGGAAAAAAGTACCCTCATGGAAAAGATCTTTAAGCACGCAGTCAAGGACTGTAGGTGGCGGTATAACCATAGAGGACTTTAAATTGTCTGAACCAGGATTTTCAACTGCTAGAAAATAAATGCATGCATTAGAAGAAATTTACACAATTTAAAACAAAATTTCCAGGTAACTTCAACACATCTGCAGCATAATATATATTCCAAGATGAAGATAAAGCTATTGAGACCTGACACGAAATCCTCCATAAATTGAGCTTCAAATGACATAGCCAGTGCATTAACCAAAAGCTGCATTTGGGAAGCAAATCCAATTCTGTCTCCTTTTGAACTATCACTTTATTCAAAAAATAAAATAATCAGATGAATCGCTTGACGAAGATATTAAGAAACTAACGATTCAAAGGGACCATAAAAATTAGAAGGTAGTCAAATTTGAAGAAGGATCAATCTTAATTTCACAATAACATAGAAACCATGCACAAATTCCTTACAGATTTGGGGACAAATTTGGAGTTAGAATCCACTTCTCAGCTTCATGGGGTGAAGCATTTTCCATTTCAGCCATTTCCAAGGAGCTTTCAACCACCTTTTCTGACCAAGTGGTCACTAAATCAAATCCTACATGCATTGAATCCATCAAACCAGTGTCCACCGGCAATTCATAAAAGCAGTCCCTCAGAGCTTGCATCAGCTCAGAAACATTGCAAGTCATCTAGGAGGCACAATTTTCCACCTTCCTCTGAATAAAGAAAAATGAGTATCACTAACATAAGCTTACCCTTTACTGGATCTTCTGCAGAATACCACTCACTCCAAGGGCAATCATCATCCCAATGCTTCCTATTGCGATTATCACTGCCTGCCAATGCTTCAGATTCTGCATTTTCAGCATCAGCTTCTGGGATATCATTGTCGTTGTCGTCATTGGGAAGGGTTCGATAGGTGAGTTTCATTATAAGATGTACTTTGAAAATATGCATTGAATGGTCCAATGTGGAGTAAGCCTTCAGAAATAGATAAACAGTTAGTATTCACTACATAAAGATAAGAGCATAACACCAATGTGGATGCAAAACATTACAAATTCTGATGTAAACACTATTACACAGACAAGAGGAAAAGATAATTTGAGCAGCACGATCATAAACAACACTAATGACTAAACTAAATTTCAGCTTTATTAATGGAGATAATTAACATGGAAAATAGCAAAATGCTAGTTAAGATCTAATGTCATCTCATAGTAATAATAACAGACCCGTGTTAAACATTAAAAATCAAACAAATACTATAGTTTGTGAACTTGGAAAAATGTGCAGGTTTTTAATAAATAATGAGGGAACTTACAAACTTAGAAACAAACAACTCATACAATCCTTCCAGATGCATGAACTTTATGGGAACCTGGCTACCAATACGATCAGCCTCAAACCTTCTGGTAAAAACTGTTCCCATGTTTTGGATTCCAATAAATGCTTTTCTTGAAGGGTCATGGACTGGCACAAATGCTGGCCACAAACTGCAGCACCAAAATGTATATAAAAATTTCATATTCAAAGTTATTAGTAATATTTAATGCAACAGATAAACCTAGGGTACAAATTTGAGTAATAAAACTAACACAAAGCTAACATGAAATAACTGCTCTTCTGACAACATTTATGGGCAAAAATAAACCAAAGTATTAAAACAGTCTTTTAACGATTAATAATACCACACGTTGCTATGTTAAAAACAGAAGACCAACGAGGCTTATGTGCCATAATACTTCAGATGGTACCACTTTTTAGTCAGAAACCCACCTTGAACAATTTGACAAAGCAATTGCAACTGAACTTAAAAGCTTGCTAGCCTCTGGCGCATCGAGTACCACACCACTGCCACTTTGAGGTGAAATCACCTGTTTATGGCACACATTAGATGCAAAGGTAATGAAAGCATCAGATAATACTATACAAACAGCAGTCTACTATTATCAACAAGACTATTGAAAGAAAAGGAAGGGATGGCATGAGATGCTGAGCATACCAAGAATTCTTTTACTCCAAAGCAAATCTGCAGATCATGCAAAGTGCAATTCCAGTCGGCAATTTTGCCTGTGCCAATAAAAAACCCAAGTCAAGAAACATAAGTTCAAACCATGCTAGGTAAAGGACCAAGGGATAAAAGTTTTTTTCTTCCAAAAGTACCATTATTATTGATTTCAAAGTAGTACTCCATGGAATAAATTTTCGAAGCATTTTTCAACGCGGATTTAACCTTATATATGTTATTAGAGGAATCCAAATGAACTGCTCCCTTTTCCTACAACAAAATTGGAAAGGAAATCTGCTTTCATTAAATGTGATCATGGGCTAGGAAATATAATCTTAACCTGCATCCTTATTTTTCTTATCTAAAAAAGCTAAATAGCAGAAATTATAAACATTTTGAATAACAGGAGTTGAATGAAACAAGTTTACTGAAATCAAAGCAGGCGTACCAGCAAATTCTTTGGACCATCAGCTAACCACTGCCGACAAGTAGCCTCTATTTCAGATATGAACCTAAAAATTCGCAAAAATTAGTAATATCAGATTTAAAAAGTAAAAAAAAGGAATAAATATGTAATATGTAGTATTGAAATTGTTATATTATTAAACACCTTTCCCACGAAGAAGCCAAAGTGAAATCATCGAAGTGTTCAAACTGCAGCAATATCAAATAGACTTTACTTTTCCAACAAAAAAAATCAAAAGGAATTCAAATTGTTTTCGAATTTTCTAGCTAATGGAAACTTGGAAATCTAAAAGAGTTAAAGCAAAAATGAAGCTGTGAAAGACATACTTCCTCTTCTTCATCATCTTCTTCTTCAGTTAAATTGGCTTTGCTTGAAGATGCCATGAAAGATCGCACGTTTTCGACTTGGTAAAACTCAGCTTTAAATTTTGCTTCCAAGGCAAATAGGCAGTGGCCACGGAAAACTTAACTAAGCCAATTGTCCAGAAAAAGATAAAGCGAAGTTTGAATCAAAAGAAAGCTTTCAAATCTCAATTTGAATTAGTTAACGAGCTTTGAGATGGGAAATAAATCATAGGAAGGTAAAGGAAGGCCAGAGTGATATGGAGAGATCTGGTGTCTCAGCAGGAAAACGGAGAAAATAAAGGTTGGGAGTTGGGACGATTGGATTCTTGCTGGGAAATGCAATTAGCCAATGCGAGTGTTTTATGAAATTAACTTGCACTCCCTTAAATATTCATAATGACAAAATTTTCCTATTTTTGGTTAAAATTTGAAATTTGCCTCTTAACATTGCCATGTCTTACCAGTTCGGCTTATAAAAGCCAACTGTCCCTTCTTACCCCTTATCTCTCGATTCTGGGCCTGGCCCTTGAACAACATGCAACGAGTTGAGATATAAGATCAAACCCTCACATTCTCACGTGTTTCATAAGATAGGATGTAGCCCAACCAAAGATCAGACAGCAATTTCAACCCTTATTTGTAACGGGCTATTGCAATTTTAAGACTTTCTTGAATATACTTTTCCCTCCATTCTCGATTTCTTTCGTGGAATTAATTTAACGGTTCCAAAGCATCCTCACCAAGAAAAGATTACAGAAGGATAGAATAAGGTTCCTTCCTTCCATGACATAAAAAGGAAGACCAAAATTCTTCTTACGAGCGATTAGAAAACCAAAAGCATCTTTAGCCAGAGAAATAAAACAAAAGTAAACAAATGAAAGCACTAGCTCCTAGCATGCAATGCACCAGACTCGCCCATGAAAGATGTCTGGTTTTTTTGCTTTGGAATGGTTGCAGTTTTTGGACTATTTGGGTGCTTTGGAGTACAAACTTACGGACCCCAAAATTCTCTGTGGCTACTTTCCCTCAGCCTTAGCCCAAAAAACACTTACATGTGCAATGAAAGGGCTGGATAATAATGTCTGCATTGTGACCATGTGCCATTTGAGATATTTTTTTTTTGTATTTTTTGTATTCAATAATTATTTTGGGTTTAACTAATTTGAAATTGAATTGAATCAGATTTGGTAAAAAGATAAACTCTTTCAATACTTATTTTTTTCATTTATAAAATTTAAAATCAAAGTCTTATTTAAAAATAACAAAACTCCTTAATCACTTAAACGTTATTAATTGACAGAACCGGTGTGCTCCGTATAAGGGTTTACTCTTTTTGACCACCGTCACAGTTCACATGCCATTTTTCCAGATGGATTTGGATTTAGAGGCTGCTAATAGATTGTATATATTCCAAAATGTAAAATGTAAACCATGCCTGCCATTATTGATGGATCATTTTTACTTAACTCAGTGACAAAAATCAGTAATTCAATGAAAAAATATTTGGGCAAAATCTATACTAAAATTTTACATTATAAAAAATACCATTTTATGTTTTAATTTAAATAAAATTAATCTACAGACATCCACTGTAATTGATGATTAAGTAAACTCAGCCCCAAAAGGCCAAAACCACCATTAACAGCCTTTATAACCAATATTAAAAGCCTAAGCCATCACTAAACTCAACCTCCTAACATAATATATTATAATAACAATAAATAAATAAATAAAGGATAACAGAAACCGACAATGATTTTTTTTTTGTCAATTATTGATGTGTTTGAGGCCTAAATGATGTCCCATAGCATAATCCTCAAGCAACCAACAATGGTTTTTTTTTTTTAAAGACTTTTTCTTTTAGAACTAATTCAAGGTAATTTTTCGGCAATAAATGCAACTGAAAAGCGATAAACTGACAATATGTTTTATTTTTAAAAAGCTATAGTCAATGGTAAATTTCCTCTCACTTACAGGACTATGAAGTTTGAATAGGGTTAGCATCAGGCACTTGGTACACACCAAAATGCTTACAACCATTCCTTCATTATTCACCCATTGTGCAAAACTTATGTGGAGGATGCAGGTGACGCTTAAAGCTAGGGTGTAGGAAATAAAATATATAAACAAAATTTGTTATGTCTATGATCATTTATTTAATTTAAAATATTATTTATAGTTATTTGTTAAATAAAATAACAAATATAAATTAATGAAGACAGAATATATTTATTAACCGTTTGTTAAACTTCCATTTATTTACAATTCAAATGTGAAATGAATATATAAACAAATTTTAAAAATAAATATAAATAAAATTTTTCACAAATCTATCTATTCATAGATGTTCCTCGATATTGCATTCAATCATTTACCGTTGGTTTCCTTATGCGGCCCCACGTAATTTCATCTAAGCAAATTTATCGTCCTCTCTCAAAAGATGGAGCGAGAGAGAGAGAGAGAGAGAGAGAGAGAGAGAGAGAGAAATGGTTGCCCGCACTCGCAAACGGCACAGACCCAAAACCCCAAGCGAGAAAATCCTTTTTTTTTTTTTTAGGCAAATCCATAAATGCCCTTCTCTCATTCACCTTATATCAACCCCCCAAAGCTTCCCATTCTCACTTCCTCGCAAAAAACTTGAACGATAAACCTCTGGAAAACAATTTTCATCGCTTACATCTACCCCGGATACTTTCCTCTTCTTAATCAGAGTCCTAATCGGTACGTTTTATTTTTTCAAAATTTCATTTTTTTAATTGCTTAAATAAGAATAAAAGAATAGTCATGGTAAGATTAGGGTTAGGATTTACCGATCTTTGTTGGGTTTTTGCTTGAAATGAAATGTTTGGGATGGGTGATAAGAAATTGTGTACATTTGTGGCATTGGCTGTAACTTTTGTGGGGTTTTGTGGTATTTTGGGCAGTTTACTGCACTATATGCTTCCTAGAAAGAGAGCAGGTGAAGGAGAGGTTGTAGGAGTGAGTGAAAACAACAATAACAGCAACAACATAAACGACGTTTCTGTCACATCGCCGATCAAGAAGCATTGCCCCTGTGACACTGCGGCCCCTGATTCGACGGCTAATAACAACACCTTAACCACAGGGAACAATAGCAGTAACCACACTAGTAGTTGCGTGGTCGAGCCACCGATCATGGCTCCCGGCGATGCAAATCACAATGATATAGATGAGGATCTGCACAGCCGGCAGCTTGCCTTGTATGGCCGCGAGACTATGCGGCGGCTTTTTGCCTCCAATATCCTCATCTCTGGGATGCAGGGCCTCGGTGCTGAAATTGGTATTGGTTTTCTACTTTCTTTAATTTTGCTGTTTTTCTTGTGTTTTCGAAAATGAATCTATTTCTTGTTGTTTTGAAATATCAATTGACTCTGTTGTGTTGATGTTTTCTTTGTTGGCGTTTTTTAACAATGTGCTTTTGAGCTGCATGATGACTGTGACTTTAGGTTTTAATTGCATTAATGCAGCATTGTTCTTTGTGTTATTGTTGTTTAAAGTTAATTATAGAGTCATTGGTCGACGATCAGTTCAATGCTGTTTTTACTAGCGTTCTGAGATCTTAGGGAAAAATCCTCAATATCTGTGAATTCAGTTCAAAACTTTCTTGTTTTGTCATATGTAGTAAACAATTGTATTAATTGTTATGGTTTATTAGCTTATACATTGACTGTGGAGTTTAATAACTACATAACCAACTTTATATGCTTGCCATGTGTCCATCTAATTATGAACAAAGAAATTGAATTATTAAGTTAATGTATAAAAAGTTTATGATTGCCAATTTTTGCTTGCTTCAATGTCATTTTTGGTTTCTGCAGCAAAGAATCTCATTCTTGCTGGTGTCAAGTCTGTGACCTTGCATGATGAAGGAGTGGTGGAGTTGTGGGATTTGTCGAGTAATTTTGTTTTCTCTGAGAATGATGTTGGTAAGAACAGGGCACTTGCTTCTGTTCAGAAGTTGCAGGAGCTAAACAATGCTGTCGTCATTTCGACATTAACAACAATGTTGACCAAAGAGCAACTTTCTGATTTCCAGGTATTTCCTTAACTTCAAGTTACTCATTGATTGATCTAGTTCTTTGCCTATGTCCTAGTTACTAATTTTAGTCTTCTGTGATTTTTCTTTGTTAGCATTGAATTCTAGTGTTGGGTATAAAAAAGTAATTTGACAACAATTTGTTTTACTAGATTTGCTCGTAGACTAGAGACTAGGGAATTTGGACACTTCGAAGAATAAAATTAACTACTAAAATCTAGGCTTGATGTTCATAGCCCCCTCCGTGTTCTCTATTGTCTTATGTATTTTGCTTATGTCATCTTGTATTCTTTTGGTTATTTTCTAACGGGTGCAGGCTGTTGTATTCACTGATATAAGTCTTGCAAAAGCCCTTGAGTTTAATGACTACTGCCATAATCATCGGCCTTCCATTTCCTTCATCAAGGCTGAAGTAAGAGGCCTTTTTGGTTCTGTCTTCTGTGACTTTGGTCCTGAGTTTACTGTTTTTGATGTTGATGGAGAAGAACCACACACGGGTATAATTGCATCCATCAGCAACGACTACCCTGCCCTAGTATCATGTGTTGATGATGAAAGGCTCGAGTTTCAGGATGGGGATCTTGTGATATTCTCTGAAGTTCAGGGAATGACAGAACTCAATGATGGAAAGCCACGGAAGATTAAAAGTGCAAGGCCATACTCATTTACTCTTGAGGAGGACACAACAAATTTTGGTACGTATATGAAAGGTGGCATTGTCACACAGGTGAAACAGTCCAAGGTTTTGAATTTCAAGCAATTGAGAGAAGCTATTAAAGATCCGGGTGATTTTCTTCTGAGTGATTTCTCAAAGTTTGACCGCCCACCTCTTCTGCACATAGCATTTCAAGCACTGGATAAGTTTATTTCTGAATTCGGCTCCTTCCCTGTTGCTGGATCAGAAGAGGATGCCCAGAAGCTCACATCTATTGCTGCTAACATCAATGAGTGCCTTGGAGAGGGAAAAGTGGAAGATATTAACCCAAAACTACTGAAGCACTTTGCCTTTGGTGCCAGGGCAGTACTGAATCCCATGGCTGCCATGTTTGGAGGAATTGTGGGACAAGAGGTTGTCAAAGCATGTTCTGGAAAATTTCATCCTCTTTTTCAGGTTGGCTGTAACCACTCTCTCTGTCATATGTTTGTATGTTTGTCTCATTGTTGTATGTGCATGTTTGTCTTGTGCATGTTTGTCTGACTATCTCTCTAGACATGCATGTATGGATGCACATGCATGCATGTATGGATGCACATGCATGCATAGTTTACACCTTCTTGCTTATGCTATTAGGACTTTATCCTGAATCATGAAAACTAGAAGAAATCTAGAATTATCATTAGATAGCAAAAAAGGAACGATAACAAGCTTTGTGTGGATGGGAATCTTAGTATCCTGTCTGTTTGGCAGACTTAGTTGCTATTTCGACTCTGATTTTTTTAGTTGAATTCCAATGAGAAGTCTATGTGAAGAAAGTGAGAAGGAGCACTTAACAGTCTATTATATCACATAGCCAGGATGAGTCAGAACTGGCGGCTCTGGTCGAAGAGACTAAACCTTCTATTAAGGAGCTTCTTCTTCGGTACATTCCCGACTGCCCTACATTACCTCTCTATTCGAGTGTTACGTGGGCCCCAACCTGGAAGGCCCTTCCGAACTTGATGCTGGTCTCTGACCTGTTAGTTAAGCTAGGTCGGATCTCTAAATAATGGCAAATTGATGAACCTAGTTTGAAGTTTTAGGCACCTCTTAACATTAATCTGCTAGACTAGGCAGTTTTGGTTTTGTTAAGTAGAGGGCGTGTTGGCACCTTTTCAGCACAATTACTTTCCTCAGGAAATTAATCTGGGGCAGTTTGGTTCAACTTATCTAATTTGTGATATTTTCACAGCTGATATATACTACTGCCTGCTTTTCGAATCCATTTTTAGTGGAAAATTAACCTTAGATCACTTTGTTTTCAACAGTTCTTCTATTTTGACTCGGTGGAGTCACTTCCTGCTGAACCTGTGGACCCCAGTGATTTTAAACCATTGAATAGCCGTTATGATGCACAAATATCAGTGTTTGGCTCCAAGCTTCAGAAGAAGCTGGAGGATGCAAAAGTGTTTATAGTTGGATCTGGCGCCCTAGGTTGTGAGTTCCTGAAAAATGTAGCATTGATGGGTGTTTCCTGTGGTAGTCAGGGCAAGCTAACAATCACTGATGATGATGTAATTGAGAAGAGCAACCTCAGCAGGCAGTTTTTGTTCCGTGATTGGAATATTGGGCATGCCAAATCAACTGTTGCTGCTTCTGCTGCTGCATCCATAAATCCTCAGCTTAAAATTGAAGCTTTGCAAAATCGTGTGGGTCCTGAAACTGAGTGTGTGTTCAATGATGCTTTCTGGGAGAACCTAACAGTGGTCATTAATGCATTAGATAATGTCAATGCTAGGCTGTATGTTGATCAGAGGTGCTTATATTTCCAGAAACCACTTCTTGAATCAGGAACTCTTGGTGCTAAATGCAACACCCAGATGGTGATTCCTCACCTAACTGAGAACTATGGAGCTTCAAGAGACCCACCTGAGAAACAAGCTCCCATGTGCACGGTGCACTCATTTCCACATAATATTGACCACTGCTTGACATGGGCTCGATCTGAGTTTGAGGGCTTGCTTGAGAAAACTCCTGCCGAAGTTAATGCCTATCTGTCGAACCCGGTTGAATATGCCACTTCAATGAGAAATGCTGCTGATGCTCAGGCTAAGGATAACTTGGAGCGCATCCTTGAGTGCCTTGACCGGGAAAAATGTGAGACATTCCAGGATTGTGTCACCTGGGCTCGCCTAAGGTGTTATTCTTTGTTTGAGGAAAATGCTTCATTTGTATTAGTTTCTAATATAATTTTTTTTGATAATGACATGATGCTTCTGGTGTACTCAGATTTGAAGACTATTTTGTTAACCGGGTGAAGCAGTTAATATTTACATTTCCTGAAGATGCCGCAACCAGTACCGGGGCTCCCTTCTGGTCTGCTCCAAAGCGATTCCCACATCCACTTCAGTTTTCAGCTGCTGATCCTAGCCATCTCCACTTTATTATGGCAGCATCTATACTTAGAGCCGAAACATTTGCTATACCAGTCCCTGACCGGGTCAAGAATTCTAAGATGTTGGCTGAGGCAGTTGAGAAAGTAATAGTACCGGATTTTCTGCCAAAGGAAGGTGTGAAAATTGAGACAGATGAGAAGGCTACTAATCTTTCCACGGCCTCTGTGGATGATGCAGCCGTTATTAATGAGTTGCTGTTCAAGTTAGAGCTTTGCAGGAACAATCTGCCATCAGGATTCAGGATGAAACCAATTCAATTTGAAAAGGTTTGCTCATGTCTTCTGTGTTGTGATTACTTGTAATCATATCTTTTTGCACTTATCCTTATTCTGGATTATATATTATCTCATCTGTAGAAACTTGTTGTAGCTATTATGGTACAGTTGGCCTCTGTCTTTAGAGTTACGCTTCTTGTCTGGTTGTGATTGGTGAGAAGTTTTGGTATATGACTAATTAGTAGGAAACTAGCTTTGAGGCTTAACTTTCTTCGGAGAATGATGTTCTTTTAAATGATTATTTGCTCCTTTACCGCATTACAAATAATGTATTTTTGTGTCAGTTGAGCCTTTAATCAACCTGTGATTGATGCTAATGTAATTCCATGAGTTGCAGGATGATGATACAAACCATCACATGGATCTTATTGCTGGGCTTGCCAACATGAGGGCAAGGAACTATAGCATTCCCGAGGTGGATAAGCTTAAAGCTAAGTTTATTGCTGGAAGAATCATACCAGCAATCGCCACTTCCACAGCTATGGCGACAGGCCTTGTTTGCCTTGAGTTATACAAGGTTCTAGATGGAGCACATAAAGTGGAGGACTATCGAAATACATTTGCAAACTTAGCACTGCCTTTGTTCTCTATGGCTGAGCCAGTTCCGCCCAAGGTCTTGAAGCACCGTGACATGAGCTGGACTGTATGGGACAGATGGATCTTGAGAGATAATCCCACTCTGAGGGAACTCATTCAGTGGCTCAAAGAAAAGGGGTTGAATGCTTACAGCCTATCCTATGGAAGTTGCCTGCTCTTCAACAGCATGTTCCCAAGACACAAAGAACGATGGGATAAGAAGGTGGTGGATGTGGCTCGGGAAGTTGCCAAGGCAGAATTGCCTCCGTACCGATCCCACTTAGATGTGGTGGTGGCATGTGAGGATGATGAAGACAATGATATTGACATTCCTCAGATATCCATCTACTACCGCTGAGTTATTTTCTTTAATCCGCCTCTGATCTCACAATAGGCTTCTATTATTCTGGTGTTATAGCATACAAAATGGATTTACATTTTGCAAAGACGGTTGCACATTTCGTGTAAAATTGAAGTACTTTAGTTGCAGCATATGATATAATCTTTTTATGTTATTTCTTGGCCATGCATGTTTCTATATTGTTATTTTGCATTAATGTAACTGGATTGCTAAATTATCAGGAGACACTTTGCACCCAAGTTTTAAGCATCAAAAAAGAAGAAAATTTGGATTCTTGTACATTATACAGGTTTGAGGCGTGAGGTCAACCACGGTCGCCTCGCGCCAATCGAATCACCTTGTAAACATCAGTAATTTTTATAACGAGTCAATAATGTTTAAGCCTTTACCGAAGGATAGTCTGTCTCGGTACCAACACACTCCTACTCAACTCAGCCCCAGCTGATTCTTCTCCTTTTCTTCCAGGGTAAATCAGTTTACCTCATTTCTTCTTTGAATAGTCTCACTAAAGCAAAAAACATAGAAGATTTCGTAACAATATTAAAAGTGTCTTCCTTCTCTAACACTAAAGATTCTATTCTTCTGTTTCTAATTGTCGTAACTGGTGCGCTTCCTTTTCTTTTCTTCTCTTCTCTGCCTTAGAATCATGTTCAATTTAGGTTTTGGTTTTAGGATTTATGGTTTCTGTTACGATCTTTGTCGGATTTTTCCACCACAACTTTCTTCCTCTCATCCAACATAACTGCTTTTTTAATTTTTATAGTATCTTGTGGCACTGACCGTAATTTCTATGGGTTTTTGTGGCATTTTCACCAGTTTTGGACTCTATATGCTTCCTAGAAAGAGAGCTGCTGCTAATGAAGAAGTAGTTATAGCTGACCCTGAAACCACCGCCACCATCACCACCACCACCAACAGCACAGCTTCATCATCCTTCAAGAAGCAACGCCTTGATAGCTGCATCATCGCCGCCACTGCTAACGACTCAACGGCTGAGATTGGTGATAATAGTGCAATTATAGGAGGCAACAGCGACCAGAGTAACAGTAGAGTTGTTGAATCTTCACCGACGATCATGGTTCTTGGTGATGCGAATCACACTGAAATCGATGAGGATCTCCACAGTCGGCAGCTGGCCGTCTATGGCCGTGAGACTATGAGGCGGCTTTTCGCATCGAATATTCTTATTTCCGGGATGCAGGGTCTTGGAGCTGAGATTGGTATGAATTTTCGAAACTTTATTTTCTTTTTATCCTTTCTTAATTTTTGATAAAAAGTGATTTTTTTATAGAACAAAAAGAATTGATTTGTATCTTATCTATGTGCAATCATAATTGCTTTTCCTTATCACCTTATGTGTCGAGATGGATCCAATATGTAGACAGTTGCTTCGAAATCATAATATTAAAAGTTGATGAGATTCTAAGGTATTGATATTTAGGGTTTTAAAATTTTTAGGTATGTCTTGCTTATGATGATTTCATTTGATGGCTCCATTCTCTCTCTGAATTTGCCTTTGCAAATATTAGTATTTGGATTCTAATAATCGCTGTATGGTAAGTGAACAGGTCGACAAAAAGGTGACAGTAATTCATGCGCTAATGTTGAAAATTATGAGCTAAAAATTATGCTAGAACTAATCAATCTATTTTCTCTATGTAATGCATGATATCAATCCCCTGGGTTTAGAATTCTTTTCGGTTGTCTTTTGGGATGTATGTCTGATGGTTATAGATTGATGCTGTGCCGTAATTGATGAGGGATTGGGGTTTGATGTCCTAGATTTTTTTTGTGCCTTGTTCTTGCGGTATCAGATCTGATATTCGCACTTATAATTTTATTTCTTCTGCTTGTGCAGCAAAGAATCTCATTCTTGCTGGTGTCAAGTCTGTGACCTTGCATGATGAAGGGGTGGTGGAGTTGTGGGATTTGTCCAGTAACTTTGTGTTTTCCGAGAGTGATGTTGGTAAAAACAGGGCTCTTGCCTCTGTTCAGAAGTTGCAAGAGCTTAACAATGCTGTGATCATTTCCACCTTAACAACAAAATTAACCAAGGAACAACTTTCTGACTTCCAGGTATTTCCTCATCTTTGGATCTCTGCTCATTTATAATTCTTACCTGGTTATTTTTGAATTTTTAAAGGTTAACTGAATTTGGAATTGCTCCATTATGTTTTGTAACAAACCTAGAGAAATCATGCTGAAAATTGATTATCAGCACCTCAAAATCCTACTGTTTATATCTAACTCTTTAAGGAAGAAAATAAGTTCAGCTATTTTCAAACTGGGAAAAGATGGGATATGAAGGAGAATTCAGGAAAGTGTGTTTAAGCTAGAAAAATGTATGTAATTTGATTTAAAATCTTGCTCTATATTGCATGTGTTTTTTGATGATTTGTACATTCTCTGTGTATTCCATCACATAACTCATCTTCATCCCCGTTGTACAGGCTGTTGTATTTTCTGATATCAGTTTTGAGAAAGCCATTGAGTTTAATGATTACTGTCATAGTCATCAGCCTCCTATCTCTTTCATCAAGGCTGAAGTTAGAGGTCTCTTTGGTTCTATATTTTGTGATTTTGGACCTGAGTTCACTGTAGTTGATGTTGATGGAGAGGATCCTCATACGGGTATAATTGCATCCATTAGCAATGACAACCCAGCACTTGTATCTTGTGTTGACGATGAAAGACTTGAGTTTCAAGTTGGAGATCTTGTTGTCTTCTCTGAAGTTCATGGAATGACAGAACTAAATGATGGGAAACCAAGGAAGATTAAGAGTGCAAGGCCATATTCATTTACTCTTGAGGAGGATTCTACCAATTTCAATATGTATATTAAAGGCGGTATTGTTACACAAGTGAAACAGCCTAAGGTGTTAAATTTTAAACCATTAAGAGAGGCTCTCAAAGACCCTGGTGATTTTCTGCTGAGTGATTTCTCAAAGTTTGACCATCCACCTCTGTTACACTTAGCATTCCAAGCACTGGATAAGTTTGTCTCTGATTTGGGACGTTTTCCAATTGCTGGTTCAGAAGAAGATGCCCATAAGCTTATTTCTATTGCTGGTAACATTAATGAGAGTTTGGGAGATAGAAGGGTGGAAGATATAAACCCGAAACTTTTGCGGCACTTTGCTTTTGGTTCCAGGGCTGTACTGAATCCCATGGCTGCCATGTTTGGTGGAATTGTTGGACAAGAGGTTGTCAAAGCATGCTCTGGAAAGTTTCACCCTCTCTTTCAGGTTAGTGTTCATTATTCTTTTTGCAAATTGCCTTTTGTTGACATAGTCAAGTTAGAATTTAGTCTTACTTACCCTTACACATGAATTTTTGGAATTTTTGTAATCATATTGCGCTTTGAACAATTCTTTCTGGGTAGGAAACGGAGAAGTTTAAGTTTGTTTGACTTGGGCATAGAAGAGGAAAAGGAGGAGTTTTATTATTAATAATTTAATTTGAGTCATCTGAGAAGAAAGGTGTTATACTTAAAAATGGGATGGAACACCTTGGATTGTGGCTCAAAAATCTTATTGCAGCCACTTGGCCTTCCCGACCTCCTCTTTCATTTATTACCATCTCCGAGACTTGAAAACAAGAGTTTATGGCTTTTTCTTTAGAGTTTATTGAAACATTTTCAACTTGCATTTTTGTTCTGTTCTACTAATTTTTTGTCATTTGATTCTACAGTTCTTTTATTTTGACTCAGTGGAATCACTTCCTACAGAGCCTCTGGACCCTAGTGATTTCAGACCATTAAATAGCCGTTATGATGCACAAATTTCAGTGTTTGGGTACAAGCTCCAAAAGAAACTGGAGGATGCAAAAGTGTTTATTGTGGGATCTGGTGCGCTAGGTTGTGAGTTTCTAAAAAATATTGCTCTAATGGGAGTTTCATGTGGTGGCCAAGGAAAGCTGACCATCACTGACGATGATGTAATTGAGAAGAGCAATCTGAGCAGGCAATTTCTTTTCCGGGATTGGAATATCGGCCAGGCCAAATCCACAGTTGCTGCTTCTGCTGCTGCATCCATAAACTCTCTTTTAAACATTGAAGCTTTGCAAAACCGTGTGGGTCCTGAAACTGAAAATGTGTTTGATGACACCTTCTGGGAGAATTTAACCGTGGTTATTAATGCATTGGATAACGTCAATGCTAGGCTTTATGTTGATCAGAGGTGCTTATATTTCCAGAAACCACTTCTTGAGTCTGGAACCCTAGGTGCTAAATGCAACACACAGATGGTCATTCCTCACCTCACTGAAAACTATGGTGCTTCAAGAGACCCTCCTGAGAAACAAGCTCCCATGTGCACTGTGCACTCATTCCCTCACAATATTGACCATTGTTTGACATGGGCTCGCTCTGAGTTTGAGGGTCTGCTTGAGAAAACTCCTGCTGAAGTGAATACTTATTTGTCTAATCCAGTTGAATATAAAACAGCACAAAGGAATGCCGGAGATGCTCAGGCTAGGGATAATTTGGAACGTGTTCTTGAATGCCTTGAGAAAGAAAAGTGTGAGACATTCCAGGATTGCATCACTTGGGCTCGTCTAAGGTACTTCTTTTGATGTTGAATTGATATTATATTCATGATTGAAGATAGTGCTTTTGTTGTGTCTCTTTCTGATTTTATACTTCTGCACCCAGATTTGAAGACTATTTTGTGAACCGTGTAAAGCAGCTGATTTATACGTTCCCTGAAGATGCTGCAACCAGTACTGGGGCACCCTTCTGGTCTGCCCCAAAAAGATTCCCTCAGCCACTTCAGTTCTCAGCAGCTGATTTGAGTCATCTGCAGTTTGTTATGGCTGCTTCTGTCCTGCGGGCTGAAACATTTGGCATTCCCATTCCTGAATGGATTAAGCAACCTAAGATGTTGGCTGAGGCTGTTGAGAAAGTGATGGTCCCAGATTTCCAGCCAAAGAAAGATGCGAAAATTGTAACGGATGAGAAGGCTACTACTCTCTCTATTGCATCTGTAGATGATGCAGGAGTTATCAATGAGCTCATCTACAAGTTAGAGCTTTGCACGGAAAATTTAGCTCAAGAGTTCAAGATGAAACCTATTCAATTTGAGAAGGTTTGTCTTGTTACTTGTTTTGATATATTTACCATGTGTATCCTATGGGTTTCTTCACCTTGTTATTATATAAATTTCAGTTATTGAAGCGAATTTTTTTTTATTAATATTATCTCTTGAATTTGCAGGATGATGATACGAACTACCACATGGATCTGATAGCTGGGCTTGCAAATATGAGGGCCAGGAACTACAGCATTCCTGAGGTGGATAAGCTCAAAGCCAAGTTTATTGCTGGAAGAATCATCCCAGCAATTGCTACCTCCACAGCTATGGCCACAGGTCTTGTCTGCCTAGAGCTTTACAAGGCTCTGGATGGATGCCACAAACTGGAGGACTACCGTAACACTTTTGCAAACCTTGCACTGCCTCTGTTCTCTATGGCGGAGCCAGTTCCACCCAAAGTCATCAAACACAGTGACATGAGCTGGACTGTTTGGGACCGGTGGATCCTGAGAGATAACCCAACTCTGAGGGAACTCATTCAGTGGCTGAAGGATAAGGGGTTGAATGCCTACAGCATATCTTATGGAAGTTGCTTGCTATATAATAGCATGTTCCCTCGGCACAGAGAGCGAATGGACAAGACGATGGTAGATCTAGCCCAGGAAGTGGCAAAGGCTGAATTGCCTCCAAATAGAAGGCACCTGGATGTTGTCGTGGCTTGTGAGGATGATGAGGACAATGATATTGACATTCCTCAGGTATCAATCTACTTCAGCTAGGTTGGGTTTTTTTTTTCTCACCCGTTGCTGCGTGGGGTTGTGATTTAGAATAAAACTTTGACAGAGATGTTATATTTTTATATCAATGAGCATACAAATTGGATAACTTTGACATCCAATATGATATCTCCCCTAATTGCTTGGGTTTCGCTTTTTCTTGACTTGCCATTCGTCATTTGTGTATTTAATATTCTCATTTATCCCATAGAACCATAAATTGCTTGTATGTTTATAAAGATCTAATCTTATATCAGAATGCTTTGAAGATTTGATATAATACATATGAAAAGATTTAACTTAAATCTGTAAAGCATTTTTGATAAAATAAAATTGTGAAAATTTTAAATCAAAATAAATAATAACTCGGCAATCAACTCATAGTTGGATGCAAGTTTTCATAATACGTTTGGTTGGCTTCTACGTAGGAGCATAACTTTTCTTTGCCCTTGAACTCAAAAGATTTTTGCATTTTTACCACCATGTCTTTTAGTAGAGAAAGAAAATGGAAAATTCATTATTTTATTTTCAATCTTACCCTAATTTATCCCCTTTCTTATTTCTCTAGAACAAGGAAGCCTTCTGCCATTCTCGCATTATCAACTCCCAAGTCTTTACCTACGTACGATGCAGCAATATAATCGTTTCTTTTACAGACACGAATTTGCAATATCTTCATTACAAAAGAAAAGCAAGTCAATAAGTTAACGTCTATATGTTGAGTGTTCTGGCCTTTGACTGCCACATCAAAGTTGTCTTACCCCTTTGCCTATTACCTGACAATGTTCAAGAATGAATTTGCTTTTCCTGAATTAATTAGAGAAAAAAAAGGATTACTGACAACACTACTAATTCATTAAGAAACTGTTTTTTAAAACGAAACTTTTGTTTCATCTATTCACAGCATAAATAGAATCAGCGGTTTGCTTTTTTTTTTTTTTTTTTTTTTTGGTGGCTGCAAATTACAGAATGATATATGTAGAAATTAATTTTTATCAGCACCTTCATCAAATGCAGCAGAGCTTACAACTCGAAAATCAAGCTGCTTCTGATGCTATGAGCGCCTGCGTTCATCAAACTCTTCCCACCCTTCAAACTATTGGGAGGATGGGCCAAATTAGGCATCCGAATTGCCTAAACAAAAAATGAGGCCCACTTCAAGTATTATAGGAAAGACATGTACATACCTGACGAAGGACATCCATCGTGATTTCTGGGTTATGGAGATCCAGTGTTGTGAGTTGGAGACACTCCTTTAATAATGTACAAGGGAGGCATTTCAGCCCATTATTACTGAGATGCAACGCCTGCAGAAGCAACAAGGAAAAATGTAATAAACATACCATAATCGGTTCTCTCTTGCTCTCCTATTTCATCTGCCTTTCTAAGTACATATTTTAAGAAGGGAAAGTTCAAGAAATGAAAACCAACCATTTACCAGATGGTATATGCACTGGCTTCCCATGTGAATGTCTTGAATGACATTCAAAATTAATCAAGCAGATGGAAGGGAATTTATTTCTAGAATTGCTACAACGAGCTTAAGCTGTAAAGCAAAATTGATAACACAAAGGCAGATAAAACTGACATAATAAAGAACCTAGTGGGGACCTTTAAATTGTGCAAATTCCCAAATGTCTCTGGAAGCTCTGACAGAAGATTTGCTGAAAGCTCAACCTGAAACACATTAAGCAGTTTACTCAACTATGCACAATACTTGGTTTACGATAGCTTGATTACATATGTAAAGACAAATGCCAAGAATCCTATACCTCAACAAGAGAATTACACTCTCCAATACATGCAGGAACAGTGGTAATCCTGAAACAAAATATGAATAACACCAATTGTAACATAAGTTATTTTATCATGCATAGGAAAGAAGCCTATTTTACAGCCCTTTAATGCATCCTAATCTAAATATTACCTATTATTATTGGCCTTCAAAACTTCAAGCTTAGTCAGAATGCCTATTTCATTTGGAAGCTAGTCAACTTATTGTTGGCGACATGGAGTTGCCTCAGAGAAGTCAGAAAGCCAAGTGCAGAAGGCAAAGTGGTCAAGCTGCAGATCGAATTTGGTTTTGGATATTATACATGCAACCCTGATCATGAAGTAAACAAAGTAAACATGATATTAACATTTCTGTGACCACATGTTTCCATATCACTGTACATGAAAATTGTGTTTACCTGCCTTTGCAAGTAAAATCAGAGGAAAGTACATTGGGATCACAATTTGAATAAACAAGAAGAAAAAAAGTTGATATTTAGATGAGAAAAAAAAACTCACTAATTCTGACAAATGGATAGAACAGTTAGATACTTCAGAGATATTAGTTCTTCCCAATGAATGGCTTCATCAGAAAAACAATTTGCATTAAGGAACAGTTTCTACAAAGTGTTTAGATTCACACACTAACATGTATCAAATGATCTATGAATAAAACTAATCAAGTATCTCAAATGAAATTCCTGGAACACAAAGGAAAAAGGTCTGTTTACCTGAACGGAATTCAAACAGCTGATTTTGTTGGGTACAACTTGGATGCTGTTGTTATTGACATCCAGGACTCTTGCAGATGATCCACAATCCCAGACTTCATCAGGTATGGCCTTACAAAATTCAATCAACAAGAATAATTTGGAAAACGATTAACATCAAAAATTGAAATGATTTGTTTTATAAATGCTAATAAAAGTAGGATTGCTTCTTCAAGCTATAAGTAAATCAAATGGCAACAAATTACACTTAAACTATGAAAACAAGCAAAAGATCAACTGACTGAAGCAATGAGCCTGAATCATCACAACAACGTAGGTTATTACACAAAAATACCTTCAAATTGCAATCGGCTAATGCTACCACTCCAGTAGCCTTCCATCGTTCCAAACGATTCTTATCCATAATAATTTCAGTCCTTGCAAAGGATTTTTTATAGTCATTTTCTGTCCTTGAAATAGGCAGAGTTTGAGCTTCTTTTAGAATAGGACCGCCCTGTTCATAAAAAAAAAAAAACCCTTAAAATTAGACAAATCCTTTCAACAATCCCTTTAGCGCAACAATCTTTTCACACCAAAGAATTAAAAAGAATTCCTTTCTGAATAATCTCATTCCATTTTAAACTTAAACCGAAAGCATAAAAGGAGAGAGATGAGTTAAAGCTAAAATACCCCTTGGTGTAAACCCTGAGAAGTCATCAGCATGAGCTTAGCTCCATTCATGACCTCCGATTCCTCCACGTTCATTGCGTCCGCCAAAAGCTTCCCTTCAATTTCAAACCACCCAAAATAAAATATACTTAAATTTATCAAGCATAGATAAATTTACAGAAGAAAAAAAAGAACGAAAGAGAGAAGATAGAAAACTTTGAAGATGAACTTTTGGCCACGAGGCAGAACATTGGTAAGAGTCTGGGGATGAGATTTAAGGTCTTTGATTGGTGAATCCTTCGCAATCGATATTGGTATCGATCTTCCTCTGAACTTCACTGTTATGTTAATATTTACGCTGCTTTCGCCTTCGTCTTTGCCCCTTTTTTTTTTTTTTTCAAAACTTTCTTTTTTTCCCCTTCTGATCTTTGATCTATTCGATCGATCAAACTCAAAACTCAAACTCGACCGGTATCCGAACAAGGTTGTCGTGTTTGTGTCACTGTCGCTTTCGCTGTTTCGAACTTTCAACTTTGGATGGTTTAAAGTATGCAATGACTTTAATGGCCTTAATAATCTTCTTTATTTTCCATGTTGCCATGTACTATTATTATTCTTTCCCAGGGGAAGTAAAATATTTTCAAGATTTTTCTGTTTCATATGAAGTGTTTTTTTTTTTTTTTCTTTAAAAAAAGTGTACTCTGAAACTAGGAGCTATATGTATATATATTTTCCCATATATTTCAAGTGATATTTTTAATTCTTTCTTTGTATTTTTATTTTGAAAATTCTAAATTGCACATGAATACAACTAAAGCATTATTGAAAAGGAGACGCATGAATTTGCAACCGAACCAAACATGGTTTCTTTAGTGTAAAACACTGGGAACTAATGACCAAGTTTAGAAAACACAACTTGCCTTAAGTGGGTGTCCTACAAGAGTCGATAAACAAAAGGGAAAGATAAATTTTGGTCATTTTGGAATGAAAAACAAGAGTTTTCTTTAGGCCTATTCATTTTATGTCCATCAATCGGCATGTGGATTCTGTTATCCACTACTTTCTTCTGCAACCATGTGAAACTTTTCAGAGCCCACCCACCTTGGTGGGTCTTTTCCCCTTTTAATCTTTAACCTTTAACTTTTGGAAACAATTGATTCAGTCCTTTCAATCTCTTGTCTCTTTGTTACAGGAATTAATGATGGCCTATGGTGTCCCAAAGTCCACTTGTTGGGATGGGATCCATCTCTGTTCCTTTCTTTTTAATGTTTTCTTTTCAATATCTTAATTTCCCTTTTGGCAAAGCAATGTCCATGTCTCATTAATGTTATTGTGCTAATATATTCCCATCAGCTTGAAAATGGGCAAAATTTAATGAGTTTCATGACTGAAATTTCATTAACAGAAGTTGGTAAGTAACAAGAAGCTTGAGCTAAGGTGGTGAAGTGAGATTTAAGGCATCAGAAAATCATGTTCTTTCTTTCTGTACGAAAGACATGGAAAGCTCAATATTCCTACCACAAACCTCTTTCAACAGAAGGGTAAGGGAAATATCCCCAATGAAGGATCAATGATGAGGGTTATTTAATATTAGTTCCAGTGATGGGCAATGAGTTGAGGACCTCCCATCTATCATGAGCCTAAGTGAGGGTAATGCCATGGCATCTGGTAATCACAATCACAACCTCTCTTTCTTCCTTTTAGACTTCTTTTGAAGCTTAATAAACTAAACCCACCCTGTCAGCTACCTCGACCAATAAACCAACCGCCCCATCTCTTCCTCCCTCCTACCCCCAAAGCCAAACCTTAAAAAAGGAGTGAAAAAGCTCACTCTATCCCAAACCCTGCAACTGCAAAAAGAAAAAGAAAAAGAAAATTCCCCGCCTTCGGAGCTCCTCCTTCCCTTTAAGCAAGGCTATCTTTCATCCTCTCATGGTATTTTGACTATTCTAAGTGTTCAAAAATTGAATTTTGAAAGGAAAAACCTCATCTTTCAACCGCTATCAATGTGGCGGCCGTGGGGTAACAAAAAAACAACGGTGCCGATTCATGACACGTCATCTCCTTTCTCCTGCTCTTCCTTCAAAGATATCCAAAACCTTTGCTCGGAGGATTCTTCTCTCTCATTCGCCACCAAAAGAACCGCCAATGTCTTCCACCGTGTCCGAATCGCCAACTCCCTCCTCCGCTTCTGGGTCCCCGCCCGCTCTGAAACACGAATTGACCCCAATGGGAAAATCTCGGATTCGGTTACGGATCGCTCCATTTCAATCCCAGACGCTGACAAGCGCATTGTCGTTTACTTCACGAGCCTCCGCGTGATTCGGTCGACATTCGAGGATTGCAAGACCGTTCGATCGATCCTCCAAGGATTCCGAGTCTCGATCGACGAACGAGATCTGTCGATGGACTCCGGGTTCTTAAACGAATTGCAAGGGATCCTTGGTCAAAGCAAATTGACTTTGCCGCGGGTTTTCATTGGCGGGAGATACATGGGAGGGGCTGAGGAGATCAAACAGCTACACGAGACAGGCGAGCTCAAGAAGTTTGTGGAAGGATTGCCCGCAGCTGAACTCGGCACCTGTGACGTCTGCGGCGGTTCCTGGTTCATCCTGTGCAACGAATGTAACGGTAGCCGTAAACTGTACACTGAAAAGCATGGGTTCAAGACTTGTCCGGCCTGTAACGAAAATGGCTTAATCAGGTGCCCTTCTTGCTCTTGTGCACCCCTCTAAAAATACCTCTTTTTTTAACCATAAAAGAAAATTTTGGGTCAATTAATTGTGGTTTTTGGTTTTTGTTTTTAATATTTTTGGGCGGAGTGAGTGTCAAAAGAATGTGGAGGCCCAAGCAATGGATTTGTTGCTTTAAGATTGTAAGAGCTGACCTTTTTTTTTTTTATTTGTAGCTTTAAAAAGTAGTGAACATTGAAAAGGACAATAGTAGAATTTAGCAGGCTTCAGCTTATGTAACCGTAACTGTTTTTACTGTTAATGGGTAGAGGCTTAGTTCCCATATTGGTGATGAAAATGTATTTAATGTTTTCTGTCGTATTTGCTGTTGATATACTTGATGGAGATAGTTTCTTTACTAAATTTGTAAATTCCTCCTTTTTTAACTTTTATTTAACACTGGTTTCCACTTGCCTGTGGATTTTTGTAGTCATTTGACAGATTCTTGTTATTGCATTGCCTGAGCAGAATTTTACATTGACTCTGGTAAGAAAAACAGAAATTTGCAAGTTAGAAACAAGGCAGTAGCTTTAATAAACAGTCATTTACAAGAAAACTTTTGCAGTTTCTCCTCAAAATAGGAAGTCCTAATTAATTCTGTATTCCAGCTTCTGTTATTACAGTAGATTGGGAAAAAGATCTAAAGCTGTTACTTGACATATAAAAGGACGAGGGAAGTATGGAATTTCCCGCATGTTCATGAAATTTGTTCCATAATGTTTAGTAGGCTTGACAGTATAATAGATGTAGTCAATGTGGAGATGAAAGCTGGGTTTAATTATTAAAAGCATGATTGGTAGTTTCTGAATTAATTGCGTTTTATAAGGCCTCTAAAATTCAGTTCCAAGGCTTTAATGATAGTATGATACCAGTTTAAATTCTACTGGCAACTTGTATCTTATACTACTAGACTTTCGACGTTCATCCCACCCTGCTGAGCTTGCGGATCCAGGATTCACGGGCAATTTCAGACCTTAATCTGTCTTGCTCTTTAGGCTTTAACTTGTTACATTGCTCCCATGGATGTACTGTGACAGTAATTTGATGAAACTTGGCCTTTGAGGATTGGTTTTGAATCCATCTCCATCTTTTTTATTGATCAACATCGATACTTTTCTTAAGAAAAAAAGATAAATTTCTTGGCTTTTAAACCAGGAAAGAACCATTAGTCTGACTACGCGTCAGTCCTTTAGGAACAGATATGTGAGCCGTTGACACTCTGAGGCAAAAAAAGATGCATTCAACTAAAAAAATATTATACATATCGATGGTGCATTAAACTATTGGCCATGAAGTGAAAATAAAGTAAACGACAGTAGCTAGAGGCCAGAATTGCAGCCAAATGAGGGGTAGAAGATGCGTCTGTAACTCATATTCAACGTTGCTTCACCACGTAACAGCCAATGGAAGTGAAAAGTTTCAGAAAACTTCGGGATCATGGAGGAATGCAATACATAAGACAATTTTTGTTTTTAATCTTCGCCGTGAAAGACTGATCGCAGCAAATTCTTGCTTTATACATAATTATATATATCATGACAAAAAGGGATGGTAGGAAATGATCCTGTCACCCAAAGATAAACAGGTTTCAAAGATAAAGCTGGAAAATATTTGATGTATCTTAATGTTTAATCATTTCTTCATAATAGAAAGAAATCACAGTAAGATTACAGCTCAAGAATCAAAGCTAAAATTACATTACATATCCAAGAAGACTCTGTAATGCGCCTTCACGTAACTAATTTGTTTTTCTGTTCAATGGCATACATATAATGGTTGGAGGAAAAATGAATATATTTAACGGCCAGGATCTTATGCTAGATAATCGTTAAGAATTTTATATTATTAAAAATGGTTATTTTGACATGGCAGTGATAATTATTTGGAAGAAACTTTGATTTGGATTTGTGTTAAAAACTCAAAGAATTCTCCATCCCTTCATTATTTTAATCTAAATTTGAGATAGGTTTGATTGATTTCAAACACGTCAACATTAAGATCATAATTGATAATTCTTTGAAAGAGATTTTGATGTAAAAGGATAATCTAATCCCATTATTCAATTATTAAAGGAAACTTTAAAAGAATGATATAATGTAGCCTGTATCTTAGGATTTTCTTAAAATTCTTTTTTTTTTTAACAAGCGGAAGAGCGTTTGACAATGACTATTGAATGATTACGTGATATATTAATATTCTAAACCAAGGGGATAGATACAGGGCGCTAAGCTTCCTCAAAAGCTGCCAAAGAAGTAGGAGGAATTTAATGGGAACTTCAGTGGAATAGAAGTATTGAGAAAGTGTCTATATATAAAAACAATGTGCGGAATTTTTATGATTTTTTTTTTATTATTTCTATCTTCATCTATATTCTTGGTGCTTGATCATAGCTATATATATAGTGCACCTTCTTTATCCAAGAAAAAAACACCAATCTCGTTTTACATTGAGATCCAAGATGTTGCAAATGGAGTTCCACCCTTCTTGGTCAACTTACAACCCATTAGACTCATCCCTTGAAGTAGGATTTTGTTTTGCAGAAATGGATGCCCAAGTGAGCAATTTTGAGTTTTCCACTTCATCAGTATCCATTGAAGATTTCTATGACATTTCTTCTTCTATGCTGTTATCTTCAACTCTATATGGCAGTGAAACCTATAGTTGTCCCTTTTTGGCCAATAATTTGCCAGTCATCTTACGAGGGGAACAGTGTTTATCAAGAGTTGATGAGGATGATACTTCTTCCAATGACCAGTTTATGCTTGATGGTGTTGAAAACTTCTCTGAATGGATGGCTAGTGACAGCAGCATCTCTTCACAAAAAAATTTCACTGAAGATATCAGCAGCCAAAATCTCTCAGCAATAGCAGGTGAAGTTTCTTTGGATGTCCGATTAGTCCAAGCATCCTCGGTTTTGCCTGCCGCATATATGGAAGTAGAAGACCAATTGATCATTCATCGTCTACTGAAAGCTTGTGGGGTTGCCTTGGGGAGCGAACAGATGGAGCTAGCAGAAGAAATTCTTAGGCGACTAAAAGAGAAGGCCTCTCCAACTGGCAAAAGCCTTGAACGCTTTGCATTTTATTTGACCCTAGCATTAGACAAGCAAGCTAACTACCTAATGCAGGAATCAAGCAAAAATTATGAGGCAGCCTTCAAGGCCTTTTATCAGATCTTCCCATATGGTAGGTTTGCTCATTTCACTGCAAATTCAGCCATACTAGAAGCCATCCCTGCTAATGTTATGGCAGTACATATTGTGGATTTTGAAATTGGCAAAGGCATACAATGGCCTCCTTTGATTAAGGCACTTGGAAGGCAAGGGTTAAGAACGTTGCGAGTGACCTCAATAAAATGGGGGAAAGAAGATGGCAGTTGCAGTCCTACAACTTTTGAGGAGACAAAGAAGCAGCTATGTGGACATGCAATGAATTTTGGTCTGAGACTGAAGGTGGAGGAGATGGACATTGAAGGCTTAGTGAACGAGATTAAAAAGGCTAGGGAAAGGCCACGAAACAGCGAGTGGTTAGCCTTTAATTGCATGGTAGGGCTCCCTCACATGGGAAGAGGGAGGAGTTTGAAGCATTTTGAGGATTTTCTTACAACAGCAAAGGCATTGATCAGGAGCCCTGGTGAAACTGATGGGAGTAATAGAGTTGTCATTATTTTGGGTAGTGGCAATGGTGTTGAAAAATGGATGGACTCTAGAAGTTTCAATTCTTTCTTTGAAGCGCAGATGGTCTACTTCCAAGCCTTGCTTGACTCAATGGAGCAATGTCAGCTTCTAGATGCAAGAATAGCTATGGAATGCTTGTTTGTGGTACCCAATCTTTGTTCCCTTGCAGATGTTCAGGAGTGGGAGGAAACTACAAGGGAGTGTGAATCCCTCAGAGAACTAGGCTTGGAGCCTCAGAGAATGAGCTGGGAAAACTATCTGGAGGCCAGGGAGCTAGTCAAAGAATCGGAGAATTCATATTGGTTAAGAATTGACAGAGAGGATAACAGTCAAATGGTCTTGGGTTACATGGGTGCTCCCCTGGTGAGAGTGTGTAGCTGGAGATAGTGTAAGAATCATTCAGAAGCTAGCAACACTTTCATACAGTAGACAGGCTCGGTATACATCAAATATATGCAGCACTAATTTTTTTTTTTTTTTTCTATAAACAATGCAAAGGGAGTTGCCAGTGTAAAGCAATAGAGACTTAGCTCAAAAACAATCAAATTACTATTGTTTTATGAACAGTGTAGAAAAGCACAGGCAATAAAAGTTGATCAATATATCTAGAAATTATGTTCCTGCTTCCAGATAGGCTGATATTAAATTCTCTAGGCTGGGTAAAAGAATACAATGGTCTGTTTAAATTTGGATGACTTCAAATTTTGATGATATATAATAAGGTTTTTCCTATGCCTGCACTATTGCTCTGATTTTTTGTCTGTTAGTGTTTCCACTGTTGTCTTTTCTCTTGAGTCAGTCTATATTGAATCATTCGTCTGCTCCAATGTGAAAAAATTTACTGAATTTCTTCTATTTTGGAATAAAAAGTTTCTTCTTTAGAAAATTGTCTTATCTAAACTCTTTGGTACATAGATATGCTTCCTTTCTGACTCGACTAACACCTGTCACAGTTTTTTAACGCATCAATTTAGGTGTGAAGTGGACACAGAATTTGGGATTAATTCCTCAACCAAATATTTTGATTTTGAGTTGAAGGGACAATTACTTCATAATCACTGCAAACATCTACTAATTGTGATCTATCGCTAAATCGAACTCTATTGCCCCATATGTACATTACTAACTTATGTTGACCTTTCATCTTGAATATTCTTTCTAACTGGACTTCTAATTTACTGCTTCCAGGGTTGTTTCCAGACTGAAACTTGAATCCAAGACAGCAAGACAAAGCAAACACCAGGAGAAATATATATATATATATATATATATATATGAATTTCCTGAAGCTTTGATGTAGTCTATCAGAAGTTTTCTTCCCTCTCTCAACAATGAGACTGCAATTACTCCTGATAGCTTGAAATAGCAGCAACCTATGCCTTCAAAGATAATGCTTCGAATACATGTTGGCCATTGAGATAGTGATTTCAAAGAACATATTTTAACATCTTGCAGTAGGTAGTTCTGAAAAAAACACAATAATCAAAACATGTCAATTTTATGATTATAATCTTTCGGAAAGAGATATTGGTGTAGAACTTTTAAGATCGTAATATTGAACTAATAAAAGAGGTTTAGAGAATAAATTATGCTGACATTGGTAATTACAGACATGGGGGAAACCGTGATAGGGACTTCAATTCTAATCTGATTAGCCTCATGGCTGATGGAGACATAACAGTAGCATTTCTGAAAACCTTCCAGAAATTTAAGATGATAAAACGGGAACTACCATGGAATCAAAGTCCAAGGAAATGGGTCGCCCGTTGCTGGTCTGATGGGCCTATATATACCGTTATATGATCTTCGTCTTCCAATATTTACGTATTCTGCTTGTTAGTTCTTTTCTACAAGGAACCGTGACTGCATGAGATTGCTTCAAGTTAAACTCCTCTCTCTCCTTTGACATATTGGTTGTTATTTGTTAAAGCCAAACTCTTCATTTTTCTGGGACATTGATTTTTTTACATATAACTAACTTCTTTACACTTAACTAACTTCCTCTCTCCATAAGACTCTATTGTTTGCAAACTTTGCATCAAAGATTTACAGTTGAAAGGGTAACAAACATTAACAACTAAGAATGTATTTGATTTGTTTAAAAGTTTTATTCAACATATTTATCTACTTTTTGCTACAAACTATTTCTCAAATATTCTAATTTGAAACTTTCGTTTTCAAATTGATTTTTCCGAAGAACTAAAATGGCTGGGCAAGTGCCTAGAAAAGATGGGCCCCATTGAGCTCAGTTCGGGTAGATTGCAATCCATTCCTTTCTGGGTTTTACCTATTCAAGAAAGCCCATTTCAAATCTGCAAGGTTGCAACAGATTTTATGCATGAGATTTGGGCCAGGCCTTTGGAAATTAGCAACCAATAGCAGTAAGCATAGCAGCACCTCAGAAGCTTACCAGGCAATGAAATGTATCAACATCATTTTCATATGGAACACAAAATTTTATAGCTTAAAAAGGTCGTATTGCATTTTCTCTTGCCCTAGGGGAGGTTGTCTTGTCTCTTTTAGAAGGTGACTGAAGGGAGCCAACTTCATGTTATGAGTCCGACTCTGCTCATAAGCCAACACCTAGAAGCATTCTGGTTTACGTAAGTACGGTCCACAAACCAGATCATGCCACAAGGCTTTGCACCCCTACCTAAGTTGGTGGTGGTCCGGCTATGGGTCCAGCCCCTGAGCCCCCCATGTGTAATCATAAATTAGAAATACAGAGCCATGTCGGACACTTTTTTGTTATACTACTACTTCAAAATTCAAATCATTGCCATTACCATCTAAACAGAAATGAACAGATTCTTGTTGGTTTTTGTACGTTGGATTGCCAATTCCTTGGCACATTTAAGCGTCATCCACAGTGGGTGGTGCACCAAATGGCATTTTATCATTCTGCAATGCACTTATTGGATCTTGGAGTTAGTCAAGTGGCTTTGAAGAGCTGTTGCCTGTTGGAAATAGACTGGAACCATATCATTTGAGGGATAGAAAAGGGAGGGAAGCTGAGAAGGAGAGAGAGGGAGAAACATAGAGGAAGAAATATACTAAAAAAGGAGGTAGTCACGTTGGTAAAAAAAGGAGGTAGTCACGTTGGTAAAAGAAAATTAAGAACGAAGAATTTCTGTTAAAAGAAGAGATTTAAAACCTATTTTAACATTATTCATGTACAAGATGACCTAAGAGAGATGACAAGAAGTCCTTCTCAAGTGATAAAGATATTTTGAGAACTGTATACCGTTTCGTAAGCCATGATAGAGACAACAGTGTAAGTAAACAATTTAACCTACATGGCTAAATCTTATGCCACTTTCGTGTAGACTTGATTATGTTGCATAAAACTAATTTCCACGAAGGTGGTGGATACGCTGCTCGCTCTATTACACCATTATTATTAGTTCCATAATGCTCACATTTACAGGCAACTCTCTTGGTCTTTCTTTTTCGTAGTCATTCAGCGGCTAGATGCTCGCAAACCCATCATGCCCGGAAGGAAATAAAGCTATGTGAAAGACTCCATGATTCTTTTCCTTGTTCCCCCAAGTTTATCAAAAGTAACAACAGTGCTTCTCACATTTCTTGACGATGGTTGGCTCGGCCCCTGGCTCTATTATACAGATCAAGCGTGCCTATATGGTTCGGTTCCAAGCGGAGAGCTGCTTCACAATCACTGAGAGCTGAGTTGAGATCACCCATTGACTCATAAAATGCGGCTCGAAGATGGAGCATTTGCAGGTCAGGCTTGAAAGCTATGGCTTTTGAAAGTTCTTCAACTGCCTCAGTTTCTTTTTGGTCATCCATTAGCACTAACAAAGTAATGCAGTAAGTCAGTACTGATTTTAAATTTCTAAGATGATAGATACGTATTGAAGAAAAAAAATACAATAAAATACATAAAAACTAGGCCCAATAGAAACACATATGAATAAGGGGAAACTATTCCTCCTTAAATATATTAAAATGGAAAATTAGATTATCCTTTCTTGGAACAAAGGAAAACTAGGCTAGTAAAAGAGTGATGCTCAGCAAATCAGTTGTATTTGCTCCATCTTTACAACATATCTAGATATAAGCTTCATGTCCCTTCTTATGATAATGAGGTCATTAAGAATAGTGAGGAACTGGGTGCTTATGGAACTCGAAGTGAAGATTTGCTTAGAATGATTGATCGCATATACCTAGTTAACCAAAACAGAGCCAACAATCTATTTCTCAGATTCACAACTAGTCTTTCTTTGTAAGCAATGTGTCATGCATGCTTACAAACCATAAGGAGAAATATGGGTCACCCAGACAAATTTCCGAAACTGAGAAAAGAAATTAGAAAATTACCAGCTGCCCTGTATCTGTACGGGTATGTTCTAAGTGGATCCAGCTTGGTTGCCATGTTGAGATCATTATTTGCCATCTCGCGATCACAATATTCGGACCGTTTTTCATATGCCGAGGCATTATTATGTGCCTTCTCTATCAGTTTGGACATCTCATCATACGCAGCTTTTCGCTGATTTCTTAAAAAATATATGCGAGCTAACCCTTGATGAGCTCTTGTATGCTTGATTTCAAGAGCATTCGTATAGCAGTTTGCAGCTTGATCCAGTTTACCAAAATCCGCATAGATAGCGCCTAAATTATTCAGTGCCTGCAAAATATCACCATAAACAATAAAATAATAAGTATGATGATGGCCAAATGACAGAGTCCAAGCATACATTTACTCACTTGTCCTTTCCGAAGACCATCCGAAGGGCATCTAAGGGCTTCCTCGAGAAGTTGAATGACATAAGAAGAAGGCTCAGCACCCAGGCTTGAATCTGCCAATGTGTACGCTTTCAAGAAAAAGGCTTCAAATGACCTCTGAATCAAAATGGACTTCTCAGCTCTAGCAAGAGCTTCTTCACGATGACCAGTGTCATACAAAAGCCATCCTTCATAAACTAACTTTTCATGCTCAGAACTAGAAAGATTACGAGCTAATCTCAAACATCTCATGGCAGCTTTTTGACAATTTAGCCTGCAATGTTAGTGTTATTCAGTATTCTACATCTCATAATAGCAGGATCAATGCTGAGAGCAACCACTTCGCAGAACAGGAGACTTGAACAGAAAAAATCATCAGCACAAAAAACAAAAAAAAAAAAGAGAAGCAGAATAAGATGTGATGCCAAATCCAGTCCACAGGTATAAGTCTACCATCTTAAGCTTCAAGCAGCACAATTCCTAGAGACTGCATTTGAATTACTATGGATTTCACAAAACACCCAGATGCCAATTTTGAAGACAGAAGGATTTCAGAAATGTAACAATCTTTTTAAAAATCCATAAGCAGAATAAATATTGCAGTTCAATAAGACAGCTAAACAAAATCTTGATAACAGAAAGCTTACCTCAAAAGAAGCAGAGATTGCCGAAATCTAAGAAGGCTTTTTCCAGGATCTTTAGCCAGCATCTGGTGAATGACAGCTAGAGAGCCAATATCATCTACACAAGACCATCGATCATAAAGTTGCATCCAGCAGTCAGCCTGACTTCCCTGCTGAACCTTATGGTTCAGGAGCTCAATCAAAGTATCCCCGCTTACTTGCTCATCGAACATCCTGTAATTTGGCTCCAAAGTTAACAGTGCTCTAATATCTCTCAAAGCACTTCCATAATCCTCAATTGCCATGAAGAACCAAGCTCGCAATTCTAGGCAGTCTGGTGCAAGCTTGAACCCGATGATTCTGTCAATCTCTGAAATAGCAGCCCTAGTTTGCTTCTCCTCTGCCTTTGAGACTGCTCTATATTTATATGGGAATGGCAGGGTGGGATCCAATTCAGTTGCAGTGTTCAAATCAGAAATCTTATCCATCCCAAAATTATACAAAGCTCGTTCCTGGTACATCCACCCAACTGCTTTATACTCAGAGATAAGTGAACTCATCAACTTATAAGCTGAATACCGTTGCCCTTGCTTGTACCTGGATCTTGCCGTACCAGCTAAGGAATAAACATGACCTGCCTCAGTAGCTGCTTCAAAACAACATTGAGCACTTCTGTACTCTTGCCTCTCAAGCAACACACAACCCAGTTGATGCAAAGCTAGAGCCTTCTGCCACTTTCCTGTGGCAGATTCTCTCAATCTTTCTAACAACATCATTGTTACATTTGACACCATATTCTCTTCCATAGCCACCTGGCTTAGGAAATAATACAAAAAGAACGAAGCATGCCCTGCTGACGCCAATCTCACCCTTGCCTCAAAGCTACAAAATATTTTCATCACTTTGGGGTTATAAAGAGAACTTGGGAGCTCTCTTAGCAACACCTGCAAACATGAAGCTACAAGAAAATTTGCCCTTTCCTCTAACCCATATTCAATAAGGACCAAAGCATCCTCTATACAGCTGACTAAAGAAGCCAAATGAATATCACATGCAGACTTCATTTCCTCACAAAAGAACCTATTTGCAAATGATAAGAGCTCCAGAACAACCTTAGGAGAAAACAAGTCCGCCCTCCTAGTCCTACTGTACAAATCCACAGCTCTCATTCCCTCTACAGAGATACCATTTTGTGAAAAATCAATTTTATAACTTTTTGACTCCATGAAACTCCCATATAGCATTGTCTTAAATGGGCTTGACAGTGCAGCAATTTTAAATCGAATACAATTAATCTCCTCATTGCCAACACAAAAAGAAATATCACCATCTTCTTCCAATGTCAAGAAGTTGTTCACCTCAGAGATTTGCGAATCATTGGACTTAGTACACTCATGACAACACTTGCAGTGGTCATAAATTGAGTTTGGGTCATACCCGTACACCAGAGTAGCTTTAGGACATTCGAGATTGAACCTACTACAGTCAATTGGCGATACACCATCAAGCTCATCTTCCCTCCTCTCATACCGTAACCAAGCTGATAAAACAACCTTCGAGTGCACATCAGAGGCATGCTGCCTCGCAGCACAGAGGCATCTTCTCAGTAACTTAGGATCACCAAGGCTACTCAAAATCGAGTATTGCTCAATGCATATCAATGATTTCTCTGATTCTAAACAAGTTTCAAACCGGCGAAAAAGATCAGCTAAGGTTTCTACCAACTGAATGGGTTTTAAGTGAGTTTCTATGGGTGGTTCAAGAAGGTCAGTTCTAGGGAGTCGAAAAGGAATCAGAGTTTTAGCTCCCGAGACAGAGCAGGCCTTATTGGATTTGAGTTTTGACCCTATAAATTTGACTCTATGATTACTAAGCTTAATGGCTGTGGAAGAAGAGCCAGTAGTGTTTACAGCAGTACTATCTGGTGGATTCAAGGCATGAACTTGACTGCTTTTGAATCTTTCTTTTAGCTTAAGACTACGCATTTTCTATTCAGTATATACCATATGGTAGTTTTTCTCCACTTTTTCAAATAAATATATTAACTTCTATTGACATAGAAATGTCTACCCTTTAACTCAAAAATCAACAAAGAAAACAGAAAGAAAAGAGCTTTAAGTAATATGGTTGTTTACCCTTTTTTTTTCCTTCTTCAAGCACCAGGGAAAGAGAGAGAGGGAAGGTGATGCAGGGCATAAGCTCAACAAAAAAAAAATTTGTGCAACAACAGTTAGCGTTTGAATTTCCTTTCTTTCTTTCATAGGATAGCTTCTTTGGAGCTCTCTCTCTCTCTCTCTCTCTGATGGAAGGAAAACACCAAGCCTTGTTCTTATAAAACTTTGGCAGTTATTGGTGTTGGTGATAACTAGAAGAAAATGGTTGATTTGGTTGCTAACTCCAATGCTAAACAAGGACCAGTATGGAGACGGTACCCATTGGATCATTGCCAAGTCAGCATCAGACCAGGATGGGATTTGGGACCAACTAATCTTGGTCAACTGGGAGCAGATGAGTTGATTTCTTGTAATTAAGGTAACCTAAGGTTTAACTGTTGATTAATTAACATCAAAGAATGGATTAAAAGTGGTGGGGACTCGGTACCCTTTGGACCATGCATTATAATAAGGTCATGGGTATCATCAAATACCAAACAGAACCTACGGTTGAGCATGCTGTTTTCAAATTCCAACAACAATTTCATTCAGAATTTAACAAGTTTGGTGCTTATCATTTATTAGAAGTGATGGAATAATCCATGATGATAAGATTGAATCAATTAATGTTATCTTAGGGGAAACATTTTTTGACATCATAAACATTGAATTCATTAATTGTTTTTTTGTTTTCTTGTTTTTTTTCGAGGATTGTCAAATGTAAGGATTGCAGTTTGAATAGAAATTAAGCTTCAAATATGATTGATTGTCAACTGAAAAAATAGGCCAATAAATGTGTTAAAGAAAGCATCTTTCATTACATGTACAATTTCCTTATTAAAGGTTGATATTTCTCTGGCAAACACCATTGCTATCAAGAATAAATGTTAAACAAAAAAAAAAAAAAAAAGGAAAATACAATATTATGTTATCACTAATAATAAAAAGAATACGAACATGGTGTGGTGTCTAAATCATGGATGGTCCTGCATATTTAAACTATAAAAATTATTTTTTCACAAAATAAAAAATTTATTAATAAGATAAAAGGCATAAATCCATTAGTTTAGTCACACAAAAAACTATGAAAGTAGATCTCACATGCATATGCAAGACATACTGATAATGATTTTCTAAACAAATGAAAATTAAAAAAAAAAAAGTGAAGGAAACAATGAACCAAATTATTGGAAGGTTAGATGGTCAATAGATCTAATTCAGTGCATCTTTTTCATAAAGTAAATTACAGATCGCTTTCTTCCATGATAAGTTTCTGAAGTTGATTGGGTGAACAAATGAGTTAACGTTCAGGTGAACATCTCCAATATGTTTTATACTTTATAGACATAATTACAAATTGCAATCGATAATGAAAAAAAAATAAAATTGTCTGAAACAGAATATATCCTGGTATGAAAGGAGAATAGAGCGCCCATACGATCACGTGGCTAGGCCCCCACGTGAGAATTCTGCATCAGCCTATTTTCTTGCCTCCTGACATCTTGATTGAGAAAGAGAGAGAGGAGCACGCCAATTTGCATCAAAACTGTGCCAAATGTCCATGAAATGTTAAATCAAGATTTTATAAAAATCTTTGCAATATTGACTTGTAAATGACGTCTCGCTAAGGAAACCAGAAACCATACCATCCCTCTTAGCATCTAGGTTGAGAACATATCTGGGTGTTCGAAATGTAGCCATATATATGATGTTACAAGTTGAATATTTTACTAGTAATTGCAGTTATCAAATGTCTCAGGCTAGACCTGTCAGCCAGTTGTCTGCTAGATTCTAAAACCCAAAACATGACCTAATACAAATCTAAATTTACATACCAAATATATATATACAATCTAGAACTGTTTATACGGTATGAAAATATGAAAGGATAAGATGGAAAAGGAAATGACCCCTTACAATCAAAATGAGAAAAAGCAGCGGCTAATAGTAAATACTTGACACTTGACAACGTATATACAAATATACCAAGCAGAAAGTGAAATCTAATGCACTTCCTTGTCAGTCAACAGGTTCAGAAAAACCAGTTAAAAGAGGAGCAACTTGGTTAAGGTGAAGACAAAGAACAGAAAAAAGAGGGAACATAGAGAGAAGAGAGACAGAAGAAGTAAACAGCGAGGACAAAGTTGATTGGAAATAAAGAAATAGTGCCGAAATACTATTAACATAGTATTTTTGCTACAATGCCCGTAACTAACCTAATCCTTAATAAATAGAGAATCCCAACATTAAGTTATGAACATGTCTGATTAACTGATATATCAAAGTAGTAATAACCAAAAGTAACATATTCCCGTAATTGAGACTTGAAAGTGACCGGCATCACTGACAATTTAGCCCTAACAACCCGACTTCTAATACATACATACATTAGTTAATAGTAAACATCGCTTCCTATGGATTTACCTTTGCATCTCAACAGTCCTTTTCGGTTATTTTATCTCTTTTTTCTTTTGTTGCATGTTTTTCTTATAAACCTGAGCCTGATTTTTTAACTCCCTTTGTTTAACATTCGGCCTATTCAGAATCCAATATAGGCAACACAGGCCACAATCAAGGCCAGTTCTTGCCCAACGTTTTATCTCTAACTCAGCCAAGTAACTAAACCACAGGGAGAGGAAAAATATGGGTCCATAGTGGGATTTGGGTCTTTTGATACTATCGATTTGGCCATGATTAGGAAAGCAAAAACGTAGAGCCTGGAGTAGCTTTCGTCTGACTGGATCCATAAAGTTTCTTGGGCTAGATCCAACAAATTATCCATTAATAATGGATGATGTACTACTGCCTTTGCGTAATGCCTTTATGATATATGCCTAATCCCTAACTCACCCATGGTATGATGTTGTCATGACATGCATGTATGTGTATGATGAATTACCCACAGTGGGAACGTGATGGGTAGAGAAAGGACAAACATACTCATTCTGGAATATTGGTTTGATCCACATAAAAAGGCCGACGTATTCTCATGCAGTATATTGTATATGTTCGTTTACGTGACATAATTGCCATGGATTAAAATAATGGGAGAGATTACTAGGAGTTGACCCTGGCTACAGTTGCACTGATTTAAGCTTCTCAAGTCTCAATAAGCACATCAAACAAAGAATTTTGCCTGTACTGTATTTTTCTATGTTCTTCACATGTATGCAGGTCTAGAGACCTCCGTTTGTCGCTCCCAAAATAAAAAAATAACAATAATAAAATAAGTTAAATTGTGAAATAGCTAAAAGCGGCACAATTCTTAAAAGTCAAATTGAAGGACAAAAATTTTCATGAAAGACAGCATCAATTCTTAATAACCTAAGTATATATTTAGTATTATATTGATTTGTGGAGTTTTTCGAATTATAATATACATTAAAATCCACATGTCAATGACAAAGTTGTTTTATGTGACTATTCCAGCAGTTGAACAAATTCATTTTTAACCTCTCATGCATCTATATATCACTTTAATTTTTTAGGTTGATTAACGGATTTTTGAGAGTTTCTTTAATCCGAAATGTTGTTAAGACTTTAAACTCCATGCAATTTTGCCCAAAAAAATCTACAGTTGTCATTTCTTTGTCTGCGCGAGCTAGCTGATCATGGATCATGAGCTCTGCAATATTAATTTTGCTTAAGTTCCTATAATTTCATGCATATATATGATATAAATACAACCTTGGCATAGCACATTTGATTAGTTATAGTTACTCATAACAGCTCCAGTTGGTCATCTTGTCTCCTGTACATGTTGGCCAATATGCCATGTGAAAACTTTACAGGAAGAATCTCCTCAAAAATCAGCATTTTTCATGGAAGACAAAACCTCAGAATCACATAAAAAAAAAACATTATAAATTTTCGTGGTCATCAGAGAATCGCGATCGTGGAAGCTCTGATGTCGATTAATTGATAAGAAAAATGAAGAGAGCATTGAATCCAACGTAAAACTGTTACTGTGAGGACCATCATATATATATATATATATGTCATATAATTAACATTTTCTAGGAGAAGCTGAGGAATCTTGGGAGAAGCCAAAATAATACTAGCTTTGTTCTTATTAGGAGCGGTCATATGGTAAGGGACAAAGGCAAATCCGTGATCACCGACAGCAGGAATCAACCGCACAGTCTTCCTCAACACCCATAATATTTTTATTTTCTAGGGGTTTATCTCATTGTTTCTTCCGCTAGAAAAACAAGTCTTTGCCTTCATTAGGGATTAAAAATAAATAAGCCATTAAATTTTCTATGAAAATAACAATCGATCGGTGCTCTTAAGAAATGATATTATTTGTAGCGCTAAAATTTTGTGTGCGCTTCCCATATCCTCCGAGTTGCATTTGTATTAACTCGTACGGTAGAAAACATTAAAGACTTACTCAAGCAATTGAGGTTTTCTATAAACAAAAATTTTATTTATTTGCATCTTGGATTTATCAATTAGTTATAGAATTACTTCACGAATATTTTTCTTCTTGTTCATCTGATTTTAAATCTTTTACTGCCCCAGATAAGGCATCTAGTATTCCCTGTCATTTAGTATGACTGCATCCATGGATATGCATGACATGACATGTACATCTGGGTCCGCTATGTATGTAGAAAAATACTTTCTCTCCAAGACTGAGTGTTAGGCTTTGTACTTTCCATTTGGATTGGTTGGAAAACCAGCTCTACACTCTTCCAAGCTATGGAACCTTCTTTGTCACAGGACTGTTTGAAGAAAAGGAATGCAGGACTTATCAAAACCCGTTTGATCACTTCTACTTGAATTATCTCATATTTCTTTCACAAGGCATCCATCTTGTAAGATTAATTATCAAGAAGAGGAATCCACTAAACATGGATGAAGATGTAGAAGGAGAAGATGCAAGTAAGACTGGAAATGGTGTAGGCTCAAGCAACTGCATGGTTGAAGAAGGTGATCACAAGAAGGCAAGTTCAAGTAGGGTGCGGCCATATGTAAGATCAAAGATGCCTAGGCTGCGATGGACCCCTGAACTTCATCTTTGTTTTGTTCGAGCTGTGGAGAGACTTGGTGGTCAGGAGAGTAAGATCCTTGAATTTCTTTAATACATATACTACTTTTCAAACTATTTCTTGGGGGATTGACTTCATACCTATAAGATCCTATATACTTATAAGAAAACTTATTTCCAGTTATTCTGATATATTCTTGAAATTGTAGGAGCAACTCCAAAACTGGTCTTGCAACTAATGAACATCAAGGGTCTTAGTATTGCTCATGTCAAAAGCCATTTGCAGGTAATTTGTGAAAAATCAAATATTAAATTCTTTAAGTAAGATAGCACTGAAGTTATTGTTCTAATTTCAATTTTGGTTATTGAGCATACAGATGTATCGGAGCAAGAAGATTGATGATCAGGGGCAAGGTACAACTCTTGACCATACAAAAATGTATCCTGAAATTTATATTTAGGGTTAATTTCTATCAATGTCTAATACTTAACAGTTAATATTTCGTACTGTCTTTCATTGTATGACAGTTGTAAACAACAGGCATCTTTTGGGAAGTGTAGATTACCTTTCTCAAAATCTTTGGCCTCAGTCCACGCTTCATGATCAAAGAGTGATCAGGTATAGATTAAAAGTGCCTAACTATTTTTGCTTCAATAGATTGAGCTTTTAGTTCTTTTGTAAGCCTAACAACTCTGTCATTAACATATATAGTGATATTTCATGCAGTGCTTTCCGAGGAAATAAAATGTCTGACCCTTACTTGACTAATTGCATAAATAGTAGAAGGGAAGCTGGTTTTCGCCGTTTAGACACGAGTGAAGAACTTGGTTCAAATGCAAGGAATGAGGTTTTCTACATGAGTAATAACTTCATCTTCAATCAGCAACCTGTCAGGGAAATGGAAGAGTTTCAAGATGAAGTACAGTTTCCAGATGATCGTGAAAGCATGCAGGCAAAAAGGCAGCCAATACTAATGCATCCCTCTTTTGCAAACAAGTGGCTTGGCAGAGGAGCAGAAAGGCAAAGAATTGCCAAAAGAAAAGCTTTTGACGATAACCTTGATTTGAGCCTGTCACTTAGCACAAAGCTGAGGCAAGAAATTAGGAGAAAGACCTCCAATGAGGTAGAAGCGGCCAATAGCAATTTGTCTCTTTCTTTATCTTCTCCTTCAAAGACAGAAATGTATTCTGTGAATGTAAACATGGTCTCAAAGAGCAGTAAGTTGAAAGAAGATCATTCTAAAAGGAATCTTAAACTGGCAAGTACCCTGGATCTGACTATATGAATTACAGAGAATTCTAGTCAGACCTTGATGGTACTTGTACAAGACAAGATATTATTATCATAGATTGGTATCCGACAGTAAGAGGTAATACCAAAGCTTAATTTTCATGATTTATGGTGTCTATTTTCCAGGCTAAAATGCATGTATTTGCAGTAAAATTTCAATTCCTTTACTCTTCATTTCCTCAGTTTTGTTGTTCTCACTTTTTCACGCTAACACATAGTATTTACTTAAATAGTTTTAGCCCGGGGACCTGATGCTACTTTTCAAGTACACCCAATTTTACTTAGATGAAGTGGTTGAACTATGAAGTTTTCAGTAGAGGTTTTTGGCTCTATCTACAGTCGTCTCATACAGATAAAATAAAATGAAGTACTACATGGCTTAAGTGCTTGGTTTATTCCCAGCTATTGATTGTTTCGAGAGATCAAAAGAAAAGTGTACGTTAAAATCACAGAGCTATATGTATTTCACAGAAAAGCGTGTTAAAATACATATAAGCCCCATGGTCTAAATCACGAAATATATAGTCCAAATGAAATTTATATATCAACTTTTCTTATAGCTTTTTCCGTCTTCATAAACATTCCAGCTTTATATTGAGTTCCAAACCCCAGAATGATCCTATAGCTCTTTATAATTAAGATTGAAAGTTGAAATATAGAAGAACAAAATGATTAAAGATCTGAGAAAGGGAAAAAATGAAGGACTCATGCGATTCACAGATGCATGCTGTGATTTCTGATTGCATCCCGTAACTAAACATTTACTAGAGCATGAGGTCACCTTAGGAATGATTGTCATTCTAGTTACCGCCCTAGAAGAAAATAGTGGTAGTTTGGGTACCATTCCCAACTATAAATGATTCAAATTATCCAAGACCAGTAGTATAGTGTACTGAATAAGGCAGGAAAAGCTGATACACGTGATTGCTAATTTACCATAGCGGCTATGTATATAGCAGTCATGGTCATGGAGATACTATTTATGGTGAAACCGTGAGAGTGGTTTTATTGCTTAAACTTTTCGTTAAGATTAAGTGGTCATGAAAATGATCATTGATATATATTCTTCACACTATAATATTAATTAAATTATATAGTGTTTTTTAAGCGTACAATAGATATATATTAGCGAAATCTCTGTTTAAACATAAACTAAGAACTACGATAAAGACACCGAATTATATGTAGTGTAAAATTTAAGACACCTTAATTGTCCAGCGGCTTGGTCCCGTTTCATCCATACATTCATACCAATCTCATCCTTCAACATTCGAATGGACGTACCTATATATACGGGCTTGTTTTTCTCCTCTAATGATCTCAAAGTACTGCTGATCAACTTTCTAGCTGTTAGGAGCAATTTGACCTTTCTTAATTTGCCAATGGAGTAGGTACTTTTTGTTTTCAATATTGCAAGAGGTGAAAACGTCCATAGAGAGGTTGATATATAGTAAATCAATGTGATTCCCTCTCTGACTCTGAGTCCTGTCTTCGAACCATTGCTCAAAATTACCCTAGCTTGGTAAGGGCAAATCAGCACTATATATTACACATTTTGCCCTTGCCAACCTAATTATTCTATATAAATATGGCTGCTGATTGGGTAGCTAATCAAGCCAAGAAGAGGATGTGTTTGTCAAATTGGGTGTTGGTGCCCCCATCCTCGCTGGCCTTCATCCTTGACAAAGACGGGTTACCAGCGCCCCCTAATTATAGTTAGTTTGTTTGAGCCTTAGTCCTGAGGTGTAGACTGTCACTTTGTTCTAATGGCAGTTTTGTAGAAATGGAAAAGTTTCTAATATGTGTGAGGAGAAATACAAATTCTTTGCTTTTTTGGGAAAAAAAGAAAAAACACCCTAAGATGGGCATGAATGTGCATGAATTAATATGTAAACCACGGGGATCCGCTACCTATCTCGAGCCGAGCCTAATTTGTATGCACTCTTGAGAGGTCCATGAGTTGTTGTGAGCCCAATTACATCCTCAGATCCGTGAATGTAAGCCATGTTATCCACTAGGAATAATTACTTGTCCAAAAACACTTTTTTATTTTTCTAAACGCCATTCTCCAACAACTAGTTGCAATGCACCAAGAAAAATTACCCATTACTGCTACTGCTATTGATTCCATCCATTAGGATTTTGTAATTGTTGCCGTTCGTGCCTGCTTTCGGTTCAGTTGATTAATGGTATTTCACTTTTTTTTTTTCCAAAAAAAAAAGAACCTTTTAATTTTATATAGAATTAACCCTTTAAATCCTAATGCAATATCAAATTCTAAATATTACTCAATTTACTCATAAGGACATATTTAAGACAATGCGTGGAACAGGCGCTATGTTATAGCTGTCTTTTTCTGATTCTTTACTAAAATGGTTCGAGGTTTTGACCTCCATAATGCAAATCAGGGTTACTGCTGTAATTTCTGGACGGTAGTTTCTTCGGCATTTGAAAGTTATACTAGTACTTCCTAGCTCCTAGAGGACAACACTGCACGAGTTTCTTGAGTACGCTCCAAGTTATTGAGCTTCCATTTAATCTCCTAAACGCTGTGGTAATGGAATCATGCATTTCCTGGAAGGGGAATTTCAATTGAAAAATGTCGCTTGCCAAATTCTTTAGTTCACGAAAAGAACAGGTAACGTAATTCACTGATTCTGGAATGGGGAGCTTTGCAAACCGTATCCTGCTTCACCTAGCGTTGATTAAAGATGCCAACAGTGAAGCAAACTGAGCATGCAGGAGATGCATCTTCATTATCTAGCATGGCTCAATCTCCATTTATTTGTACTGAAAAAACAGCTATTCACAACCAAAACTAGCAAATAACAGCATAAGGGCTTTGTTTCACATTTGTCCTTTACTGACCGATAGATATGAACTTCTGCTTAATCAAATACTTCCCAATCTTGAGTTATTATTGTAGAGGATGGTAATGGGGCGGTCAGGCTTCCTACTCCAGACTCAAATGCCTCCCATTTCGTAGTCACTGACACTGCATTGCAACTACTGCTGAAAGGATTAGAGTTTCTAGCCTTCAAATTGTCTAGGGTGTCCACAAGACCTTGGACACGACGAACCTGTGCACGGATATTGAAAATGAAATGTTTTCAATTATCATTCTAGCAAACACAGTAAACGGCTAAGATAGAGATATCTATTCACTCGTGTAATTCAATAAAGAATTTAGTTTCAAGCTAGACAATGCAACAAAGAAAACTTGTAGTTCTCGGGCGTACCAATCAAGGCAGTGATAAGCCAGTGGAAAGTTAACAATTGTAAGGGTGCAAATGGTTGAAATTGGAAGCAACCAGATCGATCAAATGCAAACTCTCTTTTGATCACTACTTTAATTGACAATATCTACTTTGTCCTTTTCTTTCTTATTACCAGTTGGTTCTGATCCAAGGATTCTAGAGCCAGGACCACAAAGGAGGTGGACATGTGACATGATTAACCAACCGTTTCCAAGCAAAATGGATTCTCATCTTTCATCAGCACAGAACTCCAAAATTAAGAATACCCATGCTGAGGACAGCTTAATTAACTTCCAAACTATAACGCCACCAAATTTCTTATCAACAAGCACAATTATTTACCAAAAGAAAAGGGTATATTTAGAGCAATGAAGGATCAAGAATCCATCCATGTTGAATTCTTGTGCATAACTCACTGAGAATTTTCAAATCCCTGATTGCAGGTGTGGGCACCAACTCATATACAAGTCAAGTTCTCAATCATTTCAAGCAAAAAGGCTTTCACTTTCCAGCAACATTATGTTGGTATAAAACTTGAATGCTACAGTAGCTAACTTGAATTTTTGCGGCAAGTGAAAAGAAAGCCATCTCTTTTAAGCCAACAGGAAATTCTAACTTGATAATAAGTAGTACCTCAATTGTCTAGAAAATGTGGATCAGGTTTCCGTAAAGACCACCATCAAAATGTAATTAGAGAAAATTACAAAAGTCTATTATAGAAAGCACAACTGGATAATCACTAACCTCAATCCGCCTCTGGACTTTGGCTTCTCCATCAGCCTCAATTGTGTCCAATTGGAGCAATTGCACCATAAGCAACTCAGTTAAGACGAGGAATTCCTTCTCTGCAACCTTTGTACCTCCACGAATAATTGCGTCCAAAGCAATAACCTAAAATTTTCAGTAGGTTGAAAAGTTTTCATGTTGTAACATTGAAAATTAGTTTCTGTTTTCAGTGAATGCTAACCTTCTCAGAGACTTTATCAACCTCTGCTCTGACCTTAGCAACCTCTTCACAGGCTTTTAGTACACTTTGATTTCTCTTCATCTCCTCAAGCTTCCTCTCTTTGCTAGCTGGGTCCTCTAAAAGCAACACCTTTGACATATCTTTTACTCCTACCATATGCAAACATTCCTCATCATCCTTTTCTTTCCCTTGGAACAATAGCCTCTGCTCCTTAGGCTCCAAACCGGTTTCTTGTGCAAGAACCATTTTCAAATTCCCTTCAATTTGAATAAAACTCAGTGATTTAGCATCAATTCCGTATCGTACACCAATGTAAGCAGAGCAGCCTACCCGTCACACAATCCAGTTGCTAAATTCTGACCCACCAAAACAGTGAAGCCAAGTCCAGCAATCCAAGAAAAAACCAAAGCATACGCACAAGAGATAAAGAGAAAACATAGAGGAAATATAGAAACAAAGACAACAATTACAGAGCAGGTAACTATGATCAAACTTCAAGAGCTTCACTCAAAAGGCTAAATTTTGTCATCCATTGGATCATGATGGTGGAAGTGCAAATGTCAATGCCTAAATGCTTATGTTCGGAGACAAAGATAAAAACTCAAAAATTTCCTCAAATTCATCTACCATTAATAACAAAAGATGAAAATTTGAGAAACCGACACAATGGAGTGGAGATGATAATAATCCACTTTAATCAAATATCGAAGTGGAAATCCAAAGTTGGTGAAAAGGGAAAAGTATCATGCACTTGCTAATATGCATTTACACCCTTTTTCAAAATAAAAACCAAGAAAACCAATCTTCTACAAAATTTCAAAGGAGAAGACAGGCCATAAAGCATGAAAAGATAAAGAAATCGTTACCAAAAGTGGATTGAGCGGGCACAGCGATGTCACGGTGATAAGAACCATGAGAAACTTTGATCTTGATCATAGGTCCAGAAGAAGCATCCGCCATGTTCCTCTTTTGGACAAGCAAGCCACCAGGCCTAAGCTCCCACTCTATCTCCCCTTTAACCACATTGTTCACTACCCTTTTTGAAGATGATAATCTTTTCATAGTCAGAAAATGAACTCTCAGTACCATAAAAAAAGAAAAAAATAAATAGAAAAAGGTTAAGTTGGTTGAGAGAGAGGCATGAGTTTGACCTAACCGCAATGGCTAAGGCTAAACTAAAGCTTATTGACTAGGCAAACAAAACAGGCTTTCAGACAAAGACTCTCCAACAGAACTTTTCTTAGAGTTGGCGCTCGGCCAGCTTCAAACTGCCTTGCTTACTGTGTTTTTGTTTGTTACATGTACTGTCAAAGAAACTTAGATCATAAAAAGATAATGATGCTGACAAAATACCAAATCAGATGGAGCCTAAATTTGCCTGGTGGGGTTTCATCTGATGAGAATTGTTGGATCGAACGGCCTACGTTGCTGGAAAAAACTTTATCACGTGATATAACTGATGGGACTTGGGGTCCCACTCTTTCGGTACCGAGTTCAGGGGGAGCCGTGATTGGTATAGTTGAAGCCTTCCGAATTCTGATTCGAGTTGAGGATATTTGTTCAGAAAATTTATTTATGGCAATGGAAAGTGGAGAATATCCTGAATTTATTTATTTCAAATGCTGACTTTTTTTTTGTTTGAAAGACAAAAAAAAATAAATTATAGAATTTGAATTTCTTATAAATATTTTTTTGGGATAAAATATTATAATTAAAAAAATTATAAAAGTTGAGATTAAATATCAACTTCAACTTATTAAATAGTTTTTTAAATAATTATATAAATTAATTAAATTAAAACTTAAATTATATATTAATAACAAAAAATTATGCATATATATAATCTCGTTTAATGCCTTGAGGCATTGACCCAAGGACAATCAAGCCTCCATTAAAATATGAAAATAATACAAAAGAAAAAGTAGTACTACAATATGCCTTAATCACAAAGGGAAAGTTCGTTTAAGACTTAGATATTGTGTGATTTTTATTAAAATAATTCTTTAATCAAACAATGAGAATAGAAAAAAAAGTACCTAATTTACTTAAAAGATAACTTTATTTTAATTTGCAAGTGAACCCTTTTTATATTATAAAATATAAATTCTAGTCAAATATCAAGGATGAAATTTGACACAATTTAGGTAATTGTTTGAATGTTGGAAAATTTTGGGGTTTTTTTTTTCCAAAATATGCGTAAGTGTAACCCTGTTGAAAGGCCTGAGGTTGAGATTGCGGGCCAGGCAGAGACCATTCTGGGCGGAGAAAGACTTTCAGTCACTTTTCTAATGCTATCCAATTTGGCCCACACAAAGTGTGCACCCAATCTATAAACGCTGAGGTCAGCATTTCACTATAGACGATAAGATAGAAGAAATGAGTTTGGTCCATTTTTTCTCATGTTATAATCCATTCTGTTGGGGGATTTCCAATTGTGGACACCGACAAATCTCTATCCCTTTCGAAGGGTATTACGCAATCCCTACGTCAAATGCTCGTCATGTATTGTATGTTCAAATGTATACGTTTATTATATGTTTTATACTTCAAGTTATAATATATATGTGCAACAATTTTTTAATTTAAATTTCAAATTTACAAAATCAAATAATATGGCTATCCAAATAACATTTAAACATAAACACAACACAAATTATTAAAATACGAATATAATATAAATAATTAGATATGTCAAAATCTTAAATATGAATGCCTAAAGACAAATTCTAATAATTTAAGCTTTATTTGTATGGACAGTGAAATTGAAAACAGTAATAAAATTTATTATAGTTACAATTAAAAAAAAATTATTGTAATTATGATTAAAAAAAATTTTAATAAAAAATTTACATTGACTTAATTTCATTAAAGTTAACAATTTGATTCAACTGGAGATACGATAAAATCTAAATGGCTACTTAGTAAATTGTTCATGGACATTTGTAAAGATTGCAAAACAACAAAAACAAAAATTGTAAGAAAATTTTCATCTAAAGCACCCATAAATTTTATTTTAGATATCATTTCTATCTATAAAATCAATAAATTCACAATAATTTTTTATATATATTATAAGTGAACACTCCTAAATTTTTTTTAAAATCTATTACTTTAAATATGATATATTTATTACACATGTTAATGCAATACGGCATAACAAACACATTTTAAACATTATAAAAAAATAATACTATTAGATACGGTTAATACAAGTATTTATAATATTATTTTTGATAATAACACAACTAGTTATAATAATTTAAAATGAACTATCTATTTTTAATTCTTATGAGTATACATATAACGTAAAGTAAATTATATAATATTTTAGTGTTATACATTTTATTAAAAATAGATGTATTATTTTAATTTTAAATATAATAATTTTATTATGTGATTTAAAATAAAATATATAAAATAAATTATTGATATGTATATCTTATAATAATGATTTGTACATTACGTTATAAGTTAAATTATTAATATAAATAAACAAACATATCATAAAAAAAAAATAAGAATCTTGGTTTTTTTTATTATTGATTAATAAAAAATATTTTATGAGAAAGAAAAACAGCATGGTTTGGGCATTGGGGTTATGGGTTTATTATAATAGGCTTCTTTTCAAAAGTTGGCTTGAGTTGGATTGTATCAAAGCCCAAAGGATAAAAAAGGCCTAACTACTACCAAATGTCAAAAACACCCTTACCAAACCCTATTATTTCCTACCCCGGCCTCTTCAAATTTCAACCGAAAACCGACTGCAACTCTCTAAAATCGTTTCTCTAAAAAATCCATCATCAATGGTGAAAGATCAATCACTTTTCGTTTCGGAAGCCGTACATAAGATTCAACTCCACTTCCTCAATGGAATCCAAGACGAGAAGCAACTATTGGCCTCCGGTTCCTTAATTTCTCGAAGTGACTACGAGGATGTCATAACGGAGAGGTCGATTTCCAACACTTGCGGTTACCCCCTGTGCCGGAGCCCCTTACCGTCCGAACCTCGTCGAAAAGGCCGTTATCGAATCTCTTTAAAAGAACACAGAGTTTACGATTTATAAGAAACTAACATGTTTTGCTCTGCCGATTGCCTAATTAATAGCCTAGCTTTAACTGGAAGTTTACAAGAAGAGAGGTGTTTGATTTTGAATCATGAAAAACTAAATGAGATTTTGAGTTTGTTTGGGGACTTGGATTTGGACGATGAAGGTTTGGGGAAGAATGGGGATTTAGGGTTTTCAAATTTGAGGATTAAAGAGAATGAGGAAATAAAAGCTGGGGAAGTTTTGTTAGTAGGTCTTTCCAATGCTATTCAAGGCTATGTTCCACAAAGAGAATTAATTTCCTAGCCTTCACGTTAAAAAATTAGAAAAAATGAAGGTGAGAATTTTTTTTCCCAATTATTCAAGTCATTGTTTATAGAATAATTTAATTATGTTTAGATTAAAAAACGTTGAATTTTTATTGCAGTGCTTGCTTCTAGTATTTCTAAGCTGGGTGATAGCAAAGGAGATTTTTTGTTAATAATGAGTTGGACTTTACTAGTGCTATAATTATGAACAATGAGTATACCATTTCCAAGAATCCGGGTAGTTTTACAGAGAGTCAAATAACAAAGCCAAGTAGTATAAAAGAAGATTTTGTTACTAATGAGATGGACTTTACTAGTGAAATAATCATGAATGATCAATATACTGTTTTGAAGACACCCTCAGGGTTGAGACAGAGTTGTTCTGGTTCAAAACTAAAAGAAGTAGAAGGAAAATGAATTTGTAAAGACTTTGTGGAAAAATGTATGATATCAGGATCCTCATCTGCTTTAAGGGAAAAGGATTCTAGCATTGTAGAATTGACTTTGACAAAAAACGTCTACCATAGTGATCTGGATACAAGTAGTGCTAAAGCAAAGAAGGAAGCCCATGCTGACAAGGCAGCAGCATCAAGTGAGACTGTGCTTAAGTCCTTTCTTAAATCTGCAGGAGCAAAGAAACTTAATTGCTCTGTTACTTGGGCTGATAATAAGAAAGTTGACAATGCTTTTAGTGGTAATTTTTGTGAAGTTAAAGAAATGGCTACGCTAAAAGGAGATTCTGAAATATGTGGCAGTGCAGAAGATGGTGATGATGATAATATGTTGCGATTTATATCAGCAGAAGCTTGTGCTATGGCATTGAGCAAGGCAGCAGAAGCTGTGGCATCTGGAGATTCTGATGTCACTGATGTTGGTTGGTTTTTGTGTGCTTTCATTGAATTTTATATAGTTTGAATGCTGTATTCAGTGACCATAACCCCATTTTGTCGTAAAAAATATGTACAGTTTCTGAAGCTGGGCTTATCATATTGCCATGTCCAAGTGAGGCACACAAAGAGGAGCCCATGAAAGATGCTGATGTGCTTGAACCAGAAGCAGCCCCTGTAAAGTGGCCAACAAAACCTGAGATTCCACGTTCTAATATGTTTGACCCAGAGGACTCATGGTTTGATGCTCCACCAGAAGGTTTCAGTTTGACTGTAAGTCTCATAGACTTAACAACATTATCATTTTATTTCTCCATTTTTTGATAGGGTTAACAACATTGCCAGATTATTTCTGCATTTTCTACTTATATTGATTGCTTTTCCTGCTCTTTTTGATGTCCACCAGCTGTCAACTTTTGCAACCATGTGGAATGCTCTTTTTGAATGGATAACATCATCTTCTTTGGCTTATATCTATGGAAGAGATGAAAGTTTCTCTGAAGAGTACCTAACAGTTAATGGGAGAGAGTATCCACAGAAGATTGTCTTACGAGATGGGCGTTCCTCTGAAATTAAAGAAACTCTTGCTGGCTGTATTTCTCGTGCTTTACCTACTATTGTTGCTGATCTCAGACTGCCACTACCAATATCTACTTTGGAGCAAGGAGTGGTACTAATTCTGAAATTTGAAATGGTTAATCATATTGAGAAAATTGATGATAATTCTGATTAGGACCTCAAGGACATTGAACTGGTTTATTTAGGAGGCTTATTGTGATTGTAAGATCATTTTTCGAGCCATAACTTACTACTTCTGCTTATTAATGAAAGCTCATTTTACCAAAAAAATTTCTTTCATTTCGCATAATCTTGAGTTGAGTTGCTTCTGAATGTTTTCTAAATGTTCTTTTATATAGTGGTGCCTACTAGACACAATGTCTTTTATGGAAGCGCTTCCAGCATTCAGAATAAAACATTGGCAAGTAATTGTTCTTCTGTTTATTGATGCTCTTTCTGTATCTAGAATACCTGCCTTCACTCCACACATGACTAATGGGAGGACGCTTCTTTATAAGGTGAGGC